AAACTAAGGTTATAATAATTATATATAAAGAATAAATCTTATATATATTACTTTATAAATTATAAATTATATAATATAACCTAAATATAAAGTATATATTCTAATATTAATATTAGGCTACCTATAGGTTACCTACCCTTTTCTTTACTTAGGTTTTTTTCCTTTTAAACTTTTAAAATATTTTTTAATATTATTACTATTTTTTCTATTATTTTTTTATATAGTAATTTTACTTTAATCTTAATAGATTTTAATAAAAAAAAGTATATTTTATTAATAATTAAAGATATAGAAAATAGTATCTTTTAAAAAAAAGCTGCTAAATAATAGGGAATTCTATAGTTAATATTTTATTACTGTTTTACTGACGGTTAAAATATAAACTTAATAAATAAATAAAAGTAATGCTTTTTTAAAAAGTAAGAAAAGTATTTTACTAATTAAATTAAGATTTAAAAAATCCTAGGCCTTGCATTTATATATTAATAAATTAAAGAATTTATAAAGAGAGTTTTTAAAGTTAATAATAATAATTAACTATTTAAAAAAGGGTAGATAGAAGGTTTTATATATAGAAATCCTAAAGTTAAGAATACTAAAGGTAAGCTTATTAATCCTAAGTGTATAAATAGAGTTATATATAGTAACCTTAAGGATTTTATTTAGTGTTTTTATTTTTCTTAAATAGTAGAGATTTTACTTAAACATTAATATAATATAGATAAAACTAGTATTCTAAAAGGCCACAGAAGCAGCAGTTTAATATTTAGTAATATTAAAATAAAGTCTATAATAAAAAAATAACTTAAATTATATTATTAAATTATAATTACTAAGTGTATTTTAGTAATTAAAAAAGCTTTTATACTGCTAATTATTATCTAAAACTTAAGTAATTAAAATTAATAGCTTTTATTAAAAGCTAATTTTTTTACCAACTAGGCATTTAAAGTATTAAAAAAAAAGTAAATAAATAAAGCTATTGCTCTTAAATAACTACAGGAGATTTTTATCTTTTAAATAATATTAAAAAAGTTATTAAAGCAGCTGCTTATTATTAACGGTTATAAAAGTTATTATATTAATAATTTTTTATATAAATACTATAAAAATAATATTTATTTACTATTCCTACTACTATAAACCTCTTATATTTTTTAACCTTTTACTATATTAGTTTTCTTATTAATAAAAAAGAATTATAATAAAGCTTTTATTAAATACTTTAACTTTAAAAACTCTACGTTAAAAAGTAAAATAATATTCCTTTATTACTATTATAAAGCTAGGAAGCTTAAAATAACTAAAAAGAATATTATAATTAGTTAGAAAATATTTAGTCTATAGCTAGTTAATTTAATAAAGTTATTAAAGATTAGGTTATTTATGTCTAAGAGTAAAGAGCCTAGAGAAGTATTACCGTTAATAAAATTGCCTTTTATTATTTTAATTATTTTAATTTAATTATAAAAAGTCTAAAAGGTTATTAAATTAATTAATATTGTTAATCTAACTATTTAAAGACTGCTTTAGTAAATTGGAAATTATATAAATTATTAAAATAAATAATTAGCGGTAGTTAATACTATAATTTAAAAGTAGCAGTATAAAATTAAGGTTTTAAAACTAAAGAAAAAACAAAGAGTTAATAAAAATCTAAAAAGTTAGTTTATTAAAATTAAAGATATAATAAAAATAAAAAAATAGTTAAAAAAGTAACTGTAATTATAAAAAATATTAAGATCTATAACTGTAGTTAATTTTTAAAACTTTTATTATATATAGTAATTAAAATAAAAAAAAAATAAAAAAAGAAATATATTAAATTAATATTAAAAATATATTTTATAATATAGTAATATAATTTTTTTTTTTTTTTTTTTATTTTAGGGTTTTTTTTAATTTAAGTAAATAAAAAAGGGGGTGGGTAAAGAAATAAAATTTAGATTTTTTTAAATTTAGGTAGGTAAAGAAAGGGTTAAGTAAATAAGGAAATAATATTAACTTTTTTAAATTTAGATTCTTTTAGATTTAAATAAGTAAAAAAGGGGGTAGGTAAAGAAAAGGTAGGTAAATAAAAAAATAATATTAACTTTTTTAAATTTAAATCTTTTTAAATTTAAATAAGTAAAAAAAGGGGTAAGTACTTTAGAGAGTAATTAATAAAGAATATAAATATAATAAAATAACTAAAGTAATAATAATAATATTTTATCTCTTTTTTTAACGTTAGTATTTATTACTTAAAGATATTTAGTAATAGTCTTTTATATTTTATAAGCTTTTTTTTTATATATATTTTCTAATTTAGTAACTAAGTAAAGGAAATAATTAAATAATAAAAATAATAATTATAATACTATATATTTTTCCTTTTAGTATTAGTGCCTATTAATAAAATATATAGTTAATAATGGTTTTTTAAGCTTTGTAAGCCTCCTTATGTATAATTAATCTATCCTTATTATTATTATTGTCTAGCGGTTTAAGCGCTGGATTATTATTATTAAGTATATTAAGTATTAGGCGAAAAGTTAAGCAGTATTAATTTATTATTTTTTTATTATTTTTTTTAATAGTATAGTTTATCCTTTATATAAAGGGTAATAGCTGGGGATAATTATAATATAAGATTAATTAAGAGTAATATAATAGAAATAAAGTAAGCTTATTAAGGAGGGTATATATAACTGCTGTTATAGTAGAGCAGGTATTGATTAAAGTTAGGAGTTAAATTTATATATTGGGTAAATAAAGTTGCTTTTTTACCTGCTATTATACTCTAAATATAACTTTTATATAGTAGATCTTTTAGTTCTGGGTTTAGGGGTAGGTCTGCTTTTTTAAATAAAGATTATTTACTGTTGTTATTAAAAGCGTTATTATTGCTATTAAAAGTATTGTTATTATCTGTGCTGTTGCCTATGCTTTTACTTTTACTTTTACTTTTGCTTTTAGGATTAGCAGGTATTACTTTTTTTAATAATTTTTATTAAAAGTTAGTTAGTGTATTTAAAAGTAAAAAAGAGTAAATAAAAAAAAGAGAAGATGTATTATACTGCCAGTAGGAGCTTTAGCTTTACTTTTGCTTTTAAAAGTAGTAGGCTTTTAGGGAGGTATAATAATAATAATAATAGTAGTAATAGTAATAATAAAAAGAAGGGTTTTAATAAAGAAAGAAAAAGAAGGAAGTAGGTAAACTGGTTTTATTTATTTTTATTTAATGTGTATGTGTATATAGTATTTAATGCCTTTTGAACGTGCGTTTATTAAGTAACTATACGTTTTATATATATTATAAAGTAATATATTAAAGTTATATAGACGTTAAGTTAAGCAGTGTAATAAAGAAAAACACTAAAGATATTATTATTTATTTAAAATAGTGTTATTATAATAGTTTCTTTTAAACCTTATTATAATAGTTTTTTTTAAATAGTATATATATAATTATGCAATCTGTGCTAACAATATTTAATATTTTATTCCTTTTTATAACTATATTTTTATATTAAAATAATTAATTTTCTGCTTTATTTTATCCTTTTTTTTTTTATCTTTATGTAAAGATAGTTAAAAGTATTATTTCCTTTAGCTTTATATATAAAAAGGCTAAAAAAAGTATATTTTATATAAATTAAATAAAAAACCTTAAGGGTACCTTTTTATTTAAATAATATAACTTAATGGTAAGTAAAGTAAATTAATTAAATTAGCTGGATTAAGGATATATTTATATAAATAGACGCTTTAAAATATATTATAGTGTAGGAGCTTAGTAATCTATTAGAATATTATATTTAAAATATATAGTAATTTTTTATATATAATATTAATTTTAAAATAAATTAATAAGTAAAAAAAATAGCTAAAGCTGTATAATAGTAAAAACTCTATATATAAAAGCTTTATTATACTATAGGTTAAATTATTAAACTTTAGTTATTTAGCTTATAATACTTAGCTGCTGTATAAAGAGAAAGTATATAGTTTTTTTTTTAACTATAAAGATTATTTTAAAAGAGTAGTAATTGTAAAAGTTAAGTAGTTTACTATAGTATAATATTACTGCTTTAGCTATTCCTTTAAATATCTTATATATAAAGGGTAGTTATATATATATTAAATATAGTAGCTAAGGGCTACTACCCCCCTTAAACTATTATATTAAGCTTAATATTTAAAGTCTGGCTGTTGTTAAAGAGAAAAGGGATAATAAGGCTTATAAGGCGTTATTTTAAAGAGAGATATTGTAAGGGAAAGAGGATTATAATAGCGGAAGGTGCTTTTGTGTGTAAGTTAAAGCTATTTGCATTTGGCTGAGTTAATAAGTAGGGGAATAAGCAGCGTTGCTTATATAATTTGCATAGGATCCCATGTAAGATTAAATGTATAGGATCCCGTACACCTATTGGGCGCCAGCCTTAAGCTCCACCTTATCTCAGCCGCTGAGATGGAATATTCCGCTCCCTAAAGGCATTTCCCGTCAGCGGAGTTGGCCCACAACGCTAGATTCGTACCAAGCGTAAAGCAGCTGGAATGATTGGACATGAAGCACTGCCTTACTCTCGTGTCAGTGGTAGAGCGGAACAAGATCCTTTGCTCCGCTCTGACCATTATAAATCACAAGATTAACACGTGCGGAGCATTCAAAGCCAAAAATATCATAGATACATGGTTCAAGGCATCAAAGTGATGATGCTCTATCCGGAAGTCGCTGCGAGGTGGGGAAGGATGAATAAGACTCAGAGCGACAACCCGGGCTTAAAGAACTAAAAACCGAGACAAGATGGATGGCTAGATTTCACTTGGTATTCTCCGTGCTGGCACAATTTACTATTTATTTAGCTTCGGACAGACTCGATTCAGGCTTGTGTCTACTGTCCAATGCCATCATCCTGACGTTATCAGTTTGAGCTCTAAAATAAACACGATTGTATAGCTCATTTGGCTGCCATAATCTGGATCAATACTGGACGATAACGTCAACCAAGATCATAATGGCTTCCATCGCGAAAACCGTCGTCGCCACAGGCGCATCTTCTGGACTTGTAAGTGGAGCAATCCTTGGAGATACGCATTAAATTGTTAAAGTATCGGCTAACCGATCCAACCATAGGGCTTTGAAGCCATCAAGCAGCTTCTTCTCCAACAAAAACAATCATACAAAATCATCCTTGGTGCCCGAAACACCCAGAGCACCATTGCCGCCTTTGACGCTCTGGCATATGACCGCTCTGGTCACGCCGTAACTGTGCTGCCGCTGGAACTTTCTGATGTAAGGACTGTCAAGACCTTTTCGCAGCAGGCATTGGAAAAGATTGGAGGTGATAAGATCGATTACTTGTTGCTGAATGCAGCCATTACCGATGGCGCGGAGAAGCCCGGCCCCAAAGGGTGGAGGTGGTGCGAGTCGTTGGTGGTGAACCATTTCTGTGAGCTTTTAGAGGCAGTGAATATTTCTAATGGTGGCTAATGAATGCTGTAGCACAACACTACCTCACACATCTGCTGAGGGAGAAGCTTGTCGGGTCAAAGTCTCGTATCGTCTTTGTCTCTTCTGGAGCGATTCGCCGAATAACTGATCCTAGTGAGTGAATGACTTCGCCCCTGCAGCTCATCTATCCACTACCTATACTCACCTTTATTGCCTCTCATAGATGTTCTTGATGAGATGTTGAAGAGCGCTTCTGGTGCAGATGGCATGAATGTGTATTGCGCCACCAAATTCGTTCAGCTTCTCAATGCCCACTGGTGGCGCCGTCAACTGGCCGGTCAGTGCGACGTTGTCGCTGTTTCACCTGGCTTGATTCCAGGCACTGGCCTTGGCCGAGGCAATGGACTGAAGCTTACCATGGATATGCCCGACGCGAAGTCTGTTGCTACAGGTGAGTTGACTCTCGTTTTATATGGATGCTTGTAGCGAGGCTAATGTATGTACAATAATAGGCGCACAAAGCATTTTGGCAGCATTTACTCGATCCGATTTCCCAAGCGACCCCGACCAAATCTTTTTGACGAGCTGGGGAGATTGGTGGGGGAAGGACGTTATTGAGCAGTCTCTTGACAAGAGCCTGCAGGATAAGTGGAGTTGGAGCAAAGAAGATATTGAGAAGGAAGTTGGCATCACTGCGTGAATCATCACGGAGAAGACAGCCATATGGCGCAAATTTCAGCTGTAGCTTAGGCGCTTTTAATATGATGATACGAAGTGACACAATGTCGGCAACCGTGAGATGCCGTGCCGGAGAAAGGGAGGAACAATTTTCGCCGACTGACACTACATTCACTGTTACTGTTTCACAAGCTTCCATGTCGGTGATTCTATAACTTGGCCCCCGAGTTGCCTTTTAATTCATCCATTCCCATCCAAAGAAAGATCACAACACACTTCAAAGCTAACCAGCCATACCTCACAGGAATAGCATAACAAGGCAGAGTGGTGGCTAATTCTTTTCCAATATCGCTTACTGAATGCTAATACTTTAGTAGACATCATGTGCAAGTTTCGAATCTCCGTCACTCTTTGCGCATGCCAAGATCCCTACTGCAGAAAGAAAACAGATGACTTGGGCCAGCTTGATAGCGAGGTAATGCAGAACCACGGTGGCCACATCCTCTGGATAAGCACGTACCTCAGGGAAGGTCCAATGTGCTTGGACTACTTCACCAATGAAGATCCTGATCGAATAGTGGTGCGATACGGCATGGATCGGAACAATGGAAACAGTAAACAAGACTGTAAGAATCGCATCTTCATCATCAACCCGGATATCAAGAGATGCTTCATCATGTGTGATCCTTGCAAAGATATCTGTGATCTTGGTCCACCATCGCCAGGCTCTACCAAAAGCCAGGAATACCGCCCTGTTAATGAACCCAGATAAGAAGGGATCTCTGCAAACCGTCAAATTTGGCAATTTGAGCGCCATTGAGATACTACTAAGCGGCATACAGAGGGTACTTGGACGTTTACATGGCTAGGGAGGGGGTATCTACGAAATCATGTGATACAACGGGGAGGAACGCGAGTTGGACGGGCAATTAAGAAGAAGAAAAATGTATGAAATCTATCTAAAACTGCCCTCGGGCATTTATAGATTGCTAAACTAAATGATATGAAGGATAGTTGGCGTGAAAGAAGCCCTCCAATCAGAAGCCGTTCTAACACTTAGAAGAGAGAGAAAAAAAGAAAAAGAAAGGAAAATTAATGAAGGAAAAACATGAAAGAAAAATCTCCTTGTGCTTAACCTCCTAGCGTATGCACACGTCGAATCGTACCCTCGCGCTGATCGCTGCCAAACCCATCCTCCGACGAATGAATAAATCCAATCTTCCTGAGATATCGCATATTACTCTCAATGGCCATCGTAGACTGCTTGCACTCGGGAGTCCCCGCATTTGACAATTGTATAATGCTTGGTGGTAGGCCGAGCTGGCCAAGGAATTGTTGCACCGGCCATAGTGGATGCTTGTTGCCAACTCGGTTCATTGATGCTAACGCGAGTTCAGTCCATTCCTGCCAGGATAGCGGCTTACATGGGACTTCCAGTCCAGAGTTGACTTGATCCCAGAAGACAGATAATGGCATACCACTTGCAAGCATGGAGAATGGCTTGATTGTATCGGTAAAGAGCTGGTTTAAGACATTCGACGCAACAATGCCCACGTCTTGCATAACCATCCAGTGATCCGATGGTTCCTCCGGGTAAGCGTGTATTGATACTGCCGTAGAGACCACGCGCCAGACAAAGTCATCGACGTTGGCGACACCGTGCTCCACTGTACCAATGATTCGCCCAGGCTTGACAATTGATACTCGATTCTGGTTGGCAGGGAGGCTGCTGGCGATGTTTGAAATGACAGACTCGCAGACAAATTTGGTTTGTGAGTATCCATTGACGCTATTGAGGATCGCTGCAGACACAACCTGATTTTCAGCTGGATCCACAAAGGCGCCGCCAGACACAAACACAAACTTGGGCTCATATGGTGATGTTGATGTTGCCATCAACAGATCAACAGTCGAGGTGACGTTAGCAGCACACAGAGTATCATAATTGGCATTCCAGTTCACAGATGCTCCGTTGTGGACAATGGCATTGATATTAGCCTCTGATTTCGACAAACCAGAGAGGCGTTCCCATTGTGCTTCTGTGAGACCGAGATGTGGCTTGGCGAGGTCACCCAACCAAATTTCCAACTTTTCCATATCCTCCTCACGCCACCAGCCAGCAATTTTGGCTGTGTCCCGGATTCGATCCATACCCTGTGCTAGTGATTTCGAACGGACGTGAACGGCAATGGTTTTTATCACAGGGTTCCGCACCAGCTGTTTCAAAATTTCAGTACCAAGGAAACCAGTAGCGCCGGTCAGGAATACTGTTGCTTGACCAGGGAGCGTGTTTCTGGGGGTTTCTTGAAGGCCATGTGGTTGTATCATCCAAGGGAGGTTGGAAATCGAATTGATCTTAACCATTAAGTCGATGTCTGCATCTGAATGGTCTACTTGTGTGGCCCCATTCTCTGCGCTTAAGGAAATATACTTGGCCATATTGCTGATAGTTGTATGCTTGCTGTTCATGAGAGTATTGCCAAGAGACACACCGAACTTGTCAAGTATACGTCTCGAGACATTAACGATGCGAATGGAATCACCACCTAATTGGTAGAAGTTGTCATCCACACTAATTGCTTCTCTTGGCATTTCAAGAATATCTGCCCATTGCGCTCGGATCCAGTGTTCGAGATCGGATGAAGCATCACGGAACGGCAGACGCTGACCCGCCAAATGAACAGCTAGATCTTCCCTCGAAAGACTTGTAGCTGTCTGCAGAAGTGCTTTTCGATCAAGTTTACCCGACGTATTGAGTGGCATGGACTCGACTGCAATAAAGTACTTGGGAACCATGTAGCTTGGCAGAACTGTAGTCAGGTTTGCAGCCAACTGGGAGAAAAGCTCTTGTAGCTCGTTGTTATGTGACATTAACTGAACCGGCGTAGCCTCGCTGGGGCCCTTGTCGCCAAACAAACTCACGAATGCAACGAGAGATTGATGTATATCATCACAGATAATGTCAACTACCGCATGCTTGATCTCAGAAGATTGAAGCTTAATTTGATACTCAATCTCACCAAGCTCTATACGCTGGCCACGAATCTTAACTTGAGTATCCTTGCGGCCAAGGTAATCAAGGCTTCCGTCATGGTTATATCGGACTAGATCGCCAGTCTTATAGAACCGGCGTTTTCCAATGTCAATATTGTCAGGAAGCCACTTGACATGGGTAATAAATGCATTATTTGTCTTTTCCTCGTCATTGATGTAGCCACGTGATAGAGATTCTCCCTGTACTAAGAGTTCACCGACACATCCGATAGGTGTAAGCTCATGGTGGTTTTCTGGATTCACAACCCAACAATGATGAGCGAACCCGCGGCCAATAGTTGTAGCTGGTGTTGCTATATCTGTATAGTGATGGAGAGTGGACATGACGCATGTTTCGGTAGGTCCATATGCATTCCAGAGGCTGACATGTTGCCGCCACAAATCTACGATCTCTTTAGGCGGAGCTTCGCCACAAAGGAGCAGAATTTCTAGTGAAGGAACTAGTTCTGGAATGAGTGTCTTCACAAATGTCGGTGTAAGAATGGCACTATTAATCCGGCCTTTCTCAATGAAGTTTGCCGTATGCTGCATACGCTCTGTCTCGGTAGGGACACAAACAGTACCTCCAGATATTAAGACAGCAAAAATCTCAAATATAGAGGCATCAAAGACATAGCTGGAGAATTGAAGCATCCTCGAGTCACCACCCATATTTAGAATTTCGCAGCTCCTAAATAGAAAGCTGGCTATGCCTTTATGTTCAATAATGACACCTTTAGGTTTTCCTGTTGATCCAGAGGTAAACAATATATACATTGCGCTTCCAGGCTTAGGTTTAATAGGCTTGAATTTTCGAGTCGTGACAGAACTATTCGCGCTCGCAAAGAAAGTCGGTGAGAGCTCAATGTTGTTTTTCGTCATGCCTTCACATTCTTTGGCTGTAGTAGGGGAAACGATCATGAATTGGGCGCTTGTTTCATCGACTAGGGCTTGGCGACGATTGAGTGGGTGGGCTGGATCTAATGGTAGGAAGACGCCACCTGCCTTCATGATACCCAGCATAGCGATAATTGACCATGTTGACTTTTCGTAGCAGAAAGGTACAATCGTCTCTGACTTAACGCCAAGCTGAATGAGGTGTGAAGCAAGTTGATTCGACAACTGCTCAATCTCTCTATACGTCATGCTTCCAGAAGATGAATAGAGAGCTTCCTGCTGGGGATTCTTAGCAGCTTGAATTGAGATCAATTCATGTACACATGATTCGATCGGCTCAATGCTATAGTTGTTTCGTTTGATGACTTGCTCTATATCCCAAGGACTTGCAGCTGATAGTTCTGCCAATGTGGCGTCACCCGCACCTTGGAGCTGTTCAAGGATGTAAGAAAATTGCTCAGCAAGTGCATTCACCTGAGAGTCATTGATAACATCCTGTTGATATATCAAGCCTAACTGAACATCATCCTCAAGCAACTGGCACTGCATCACAAGAGGATAGCTGAAGTAATCACCGAGCAGTTCACCTTCGGCAAGGCCTTCGGTCACAGCCGGATAGAACATAGCTGGCTCAGTTGCATTACCAGTGGGAACGAATTGTTGAGCCGGCTGGACAATAAGAAGATTTGTAAAATTACATGCTTCCTTGGTGTCGTTACTAATTCTGGAGATGTTTGCTATTCCGTATTGCTCATAAGGTATCATCTCAAATGCTTGATCTTGTATATATTCAAAGAGAGCTGAAATCGTTTGCCGTCTGTCAAGTTGAACCCTTATGGGAACCGTGGCAATGACAAGTCCGGGCATTTCATCCACACCTTGAACTGGAGCTTGTCGCCCAGAGACAGTTGTGCCAAAGCAAACATCATCAGAATGATCGTACTGTGCTAGTAACAATGCCCATGTTGCGCGAAGAATAGTAGCTCGGGTTATGGAGGATTTTGGGGGTCGTGGAAAGTGAACTTGTTTATTCAGCAAGCCTGCAACTTTCTGTGAGGAAGATGATGGCTTCGATTGGGTGGTTCCCACTGGGAACGTTGTACGTCTGACGCCACGGAGCTGTGTAGACCAATATTCACGTGCATTCTCTTGATCAAGATCCATAACGTACTTGATAAAGTTGGTATATGGCTGAATAGACGGTGGTTGAACCTGAGAATACATGGCATGCAACGTTCTCAGCATTATTGACAATGTCCATCCATCGAAGACAGTGTGATGAATATTAACGGCGAAATAGTTTTCGCTGCCTTGGGTAATCACCGCGTATCGACATAGGGGCGACCCATAAGTCATATTGCGATTTTCCTGTGATAGAAGGAACGAACGGAGGTCAGAGTAAGTTGATGGCCAATCAATTGGTTCTTGGATAACTGCTTGAACTGCAGTGTTTCCAGACAGCACAATCCGGGTACGAAGGTTGGTGCAGTAGCCAACTGTTTTCTCCCAGGCTTGTTTGAACCGCTCAATGTCGATATGTGATGCCAGATGGTAGACATGTTTTGCGATATAGGATCCTGGCTGGTTGATAGTCAAAGCCATTAAACCTGTTTGTAGATCCGTGCAGGGGTATATATCCTCGACCTTTGCGGAATCTGAAATCTTGCACTGGGTTTTGACTGCCCTGAGAGCGCTATCTCTGTCATTGCTTGGGATAAGGCTAAACTTCGCGGCATCATATGTTGGAGATAGCGGAGAGAAGTCTGTTTGGATGGTCTCAGCCATAGACGAGAGTCGCGGATTTTTGAAGATCATCGCTACTGTGAGGCTAATATTCCGCTGCTGAGCCAATGAGACTAATTCAATTGCACTGATTGAATCGCCGCCAAGGTGGAGGAAGCTATCGTGTTTTCCAATCAAAGTAGGATCATCCATTTTAAGGACTTGAGCCCAGAGACTCTGTAGTTGAAGTTCCATTGGAGTTGTAGGCAATTCATGATCAATAGCGTCAGGAGTGAAGCGCAAGCGATCCTGGACGGAGACACTACGGCCAAGCTCCACGAGAGAACGTCGGTTGATTTTACCAGACGATGTCTGTTCCGGTTTACCCTCAAATATCAGGTAAGAAGAGGGAATCATGTATGAGGGCAGAGATTCTGCTAACGACGAATCTAGATGAGAAATGATGCTCTGCGCTTGATCTGACACACTCTGCATGAGCTGGAGAGTTTGTGACGGAGCATCATTATCTTCTGTATACCAAAGGAACGCCATAAGAATGTTAGTAGCATTCTCATCATCTGCTGTAACAATATCGACAATGGCAGCCATGTTTCGAGGAAGGAATTCATGAATTTGTGACTCAATCTCGCCAAGCTCGACACGTTGGCCGTGGAGCTTGACTTGAGTATCCTTGCGTCCCATATAGTCAAATGTGCCATCAGCGTTCCTGCGAACCAAATCGCCTGTGCGGTATACTCTCTTCCGTCCACCAGGAAGCCAGTCCACGTCTTCTATCCAATTTGCAGCAACTTCAGCGCTAACGTTCAAATAGCCGCGCGCAAGCATGGGACCCTCAATTAGAAGTTCACCAATGCATCCTACAGGCACAAGCTGCCTAACGTTGCTTGGTTCAACAACCCAGAAGGCGCTGGAGATCGGCCTTCCTAGGTTAGTTGACCGACCAGACTTGCCAACTAGGGGATTCCATGCGCAGATAGACGCCTCAGCCGGTCCATAGAGACCATGCAACTCGACATGGTTTACCCAGCGGTCTGCGCACTTCTTACTAATTGCCTCACCACCAAGACATACTATCTTTAAGTCTGGGACATCAGTGGGAGACAATAGGTCAGCAACTGTGGGGGTTAGGAATACCCAATTAGCTTTCAGGGACCGCATAGAACCTGACAGATTATTCATCCGGTCGTGATCAGAGGGAATACATAGACAGGCACCGCGCATAAGAGATACAAGACAGTCTAGGACGCCGACGTCGAAGGTGTAGGCTGAAAATTGATAGACTCGTGTACCTGGCCCGATATTGAGATCATTGCCGTAAGCATCGCTTGACGAGCAAAGGTTATTATGTTGGATGACCATACCCTTTGGTTTACCAGTAGATCCGGAAGTAAAAAGTATGACGCTTGCATTTCGAGGTTGGACATTGGATACCACTTTACTAACTGGGTCAGGTAGTCCAGAGAGCACTTCCTGATCAACCGACATGATTTCGACACCAAGTCCCTCAAGTACCTTGCTGCTGGATGGACTAGCTATAGCGAGAGTTGCATGAGTGTCATCAATAATGCCTTTTAGACGAGCAGCTGGGGCCGACGGATCAAGAGGAACAAAGGCGCCGCCGGCCATTTCGACAGCCACCATGGCGATCACGGCCCATGCGGACTTGGGGAAGCACAAAAGAATCAGACTTTCGGGGCCAACTCCGCGTGCTTGTAATTTAACTGCCAAACGAGAAGCCAACGTGCCGACTTGAGAGTAGGTCAGCTCTGCATCCCATGACGAGATAGCTATGTCATCTGGTCGAGATTGGACGGTTTCTTGAATGAGCCAATGAGTGCATGTCTCACTAGAAGGTTTTAAGCGGGCTGATTCAACTGCATGTTGGAGATCCCAGGGGCTGAGAAGATTCACCGAACTCAACGGCGCGTTGACGGCCTCTCTGGCAAGCAACTGTTGAGTGACATGGTCTAAATGAGACGCCAAAGCGACTACTTGAGGTTCTGATAATACTGCAGGGTCGTAGAAGAGATTCAGCTGGATTTTGTCGGTATAGAGATTGCTAATGATCACAAAAGGATAATTAAAGTAGCCATCCATGGCATTCATCGTAAGATCGTTTGCGGATTCGTCAATAATGAATATGCTATCGTCGCCATCATCGGCTGCTCCGTGTGCAGGAGGCTGGACGACTAACAGACTTGAGAAGTCGCAAACTTCCTTAGCTTCCGGACTGACCTTGGAAATATTCTGTATACCAAACTGTTCGTAAGGAATCATGGCCGAGCTCAGGTTTTGGATGTCTTGAAGAAATCTTGATATCGGTGCCTGGTTATTAAGACGAGCTCTGATGGGGACGGTGGCAATCATCGGCCCAGCTATCATTTCTGCTCCTTGTATTTTTGCTTGACGACCTGAAACAGTCGCGCCGAACACTGCGTCGTTGCTATCGCAGTACCGGGCGAGGACAATGGCCCACGCTGCTCGCAGGATCGAGGCTTGCGTGATGGAACTTTTCACGGATCTTGAAAATGCAATCGTTGAGCTGTATCTCTTGGTTTCTGTGCTACCCAAGACAGTTCGGCGAGATGGGAATGAGGTACGTTTTGCCCCGGCAAGTTCTTCTCTCCAGTAGGATGCAAATTTGTCACTGTCATGCTCCTTTATGGATTTGATGAAAGTAGAGAAGGGTCGCACTCGCACCTCAGGCGCATAATCTCCCTGATAGGCACAATATAATGCCGAGAACATGACTCTCATTGTCCATCCATCGTAAATAGAATGATGGGCGGACCAAACGAAGTAGTTTTCGCCCTTGTCAGACACAATTGCGTACCAGCAAAGAGGAGTTCCGTATCCCATCTTCAAATTCCGTGATGATCCAGTCATCGACTCAAGGGTCTCATTGTCAGCAGACACCCAGTTACTGTCATTGTCGAGTAATATTTGCACCATAACGCCATCTAAAACAATAATGCGTGTTCGAAGATTGTCGCACACCTCCACAACTGAGTCCCATGCGGCCATAAACATGGGGATATCCACTGAATTGGATAAATGGTGGGCATAAGTAGCAACATATGATCCCGGTTGCTTCGCGGTAAGAGCGATGAGGCCCTCTTGGAGAGAAGAGCAGGGATATGCATCTATGATAGTTTGATCGTTGAGAAGGCCACACTCTTTGCGAATCTTGCCTAGTAGGATAAGGCTTTGTTGCGATTCGGGCAGTAGACTGAATGGATCTGGAGTAGAATCTGCTAAATCCATAGCATCTTGCGCGATAACAGCCTTTGAGGCCACAGCCAATAATCTAGGGTCATCAAATACGTCCTTTACGGTGAGAGAAATACCGTCCTCCTGGGCTGTTGAAACGAGATAAATAGCCATGATAGAATCGCCTCCTAACTGGAAGAAGGTATCATCCCTGCCAATAGAGTCCATTGGCAAGTTCATAATTTCCGCCCATATTAGTTGTAGACGTCGCTCCATTTCGGTCTGCGGCTGGCGTTTCTCGTTGTTAGATAACGAATAGATAGCTAGCTGATCTCGGCTAAGTGACGATAGTAGCCTCTGCAATAATTTTCTATCTAATTTTGTAGAGGTGATAAATGGCATATATTTGCAGGGAATAAACAGTGTTGGGATCATATATCGGGGCAAGGCAACGCCTAGTTCTCCAACGAGAGCTATCAGCTGATTCCGTAAACTTTCGTCGGGTGATGAGAAGGGCGTATTCGAATTGTCGACCTCGATGCCAGGTGTCCTTGTTTCATCACTGAAGCAAATGTAGGCAACGAGAGCAGAGCCATTATCGCCATTGAACAGGTCAACAGCTACCTGACGCACACCTGTTAAAGCCTGTTGGATATGGTACTCAACTTCGCTTAGTTCAACACGTAAGCCGCGAATCTTGATTTGCGTATCTTTACGTGTCGAAAACTCGATAGTGCCGTCTGTATTATAACGACAAAGATCGCCGGACTTGTAGAATCTGTTCCAATTCGTTCCATCCGGACGAGGGCACCATTCTGTAGATGGCCTGATGGAAGCATTGGTACGTTCTGGATCTGCAAGATACTCCTGCAAGAGAGTCGGGCCTTGGATAACGATTTCACCGATCGTGCCGAAAGGTGCAAGGCGACCAGAATCTTCAACATCAACAATCCAGCAAAAGCCGCCAACAGGGCGTCCAATTGTAAGAGACGACTCGTCAATAGACTTCCACTCGTGCAAAGTACTAAATACACAAGTTTCAGCCGGTCCCCATCCGTTTATTAAACGAACTTTGCCAAACCAGGCTGTTAGAACATCACGAGGAACTGCTTCACCCGCAAGCAGTAAGAGCTCTAGATTTGGCATATCATCTGGGTTAAGGGTCCGTACAAAAGAAGGCGTTAGATAGGCCCAGTTAACATCCATCGCTTGAATAAACTTTGTAAGTTCGTTTAGCCTAGCGTGCTCTGATGGAACGCATAAGCATGCTCCTGTAATAAGGGTGGCGATGATTTCGCCAATTGATAAATCGAAAACAAACGCTGCGAATTGAAGTATTCGAACTTCTGGTGTCAGGCGAAGCCTCTTAGCTATCGCTATCTGGCTTGTACACACAGATCGATGTTGCATTACTAGCCCCTTCGGAGTGCCTGTACTGCCTGACGTGAAGAGGACATAGGCAATATTGTTTGGGGAGACATTGCATGCCGGGCCCTGTTGGCTGGTCACAAGCTGTAAGAGTTGGCTATCCAATTCAGTGGCAACTTGAACTACGGATTCAACGAGGCCGTAGCAAAGGTCAACGTTGTCTGGCGAGCAGAGCGCAATCTTTGCTCGGGTTTGATTGACAACCTGCTGGAGGCGCTGTATAGGATGCGATGGATCAAGCGGCACCCAAGCAGCACCAACCTTATTGATAGCCAAGATGGATATAAAATACCAGACAGATTTCTCAAAGCATACATGTATCAGTTCGTTCGTCTTAATGTCGTATGTCTGAACGAGATGGTTTGCAAGACGATTGGCTGCTTGGTTGAGCTCAGCATAGGTATACTCACCATCCCAAGAACGGATAGCCATAGCGCTGGGGCGATGAGTTGCTTGATATTCAACAAGATCGTGGAAGCAAGAATTGATAACCTCGGGAATATCGGCATTGAACTTGTGGGATTGTTCAATATCCCACTGAGAAACGAGAGAAAGGTTGCCTAGCGTCTGGCCAGGCTGCGATTCCGCTAGTTGACTAATGACATGCTTGATCTGTTCAGATAATGCGATAATCTGTTTCTCAGGAATGCAGAGTGGGTTGTAGATCAGAACGATTCTCACAAAATCATCACTCAAATGGCCTTGTACGACAAGCGGGTATGAGAAATAATTCTGCATTACATCTGTGCTCTCCTCTGTACTTTCAATAGCAGCCAAAAGAGCATCTCCATCGCCGCTGCTATTATCTGAGAACATTTGGAGAGGCTGAATAACAAGCAAGCTTGCGAAATCGCATGCTTCTTCGGCGTCGTTGTTGAGTTTGCGGATATTCTGCAGGCCAAACTGCTCATAGGGTATCATATCCATTGCCTGGGTTTGAACGTCCTCCAGAAATTTCACCGTTGAATTCTGGTGTTCAAAACGAATTCGAACAGGTATGGTGGCAATTACTGGGCCAGGCATTTGTGACAAACCGTGGAGCGATGCTTGTCGTCCAGAGACTGTTGCACCAAAGCAAACATCCGTACTATCACAATATCGCGCAAGGACTATAGCCCAAGCGGCACGCACGAGAGTAGCTGTTGTGATGTTTGTATTGGTCCTTGAAAGTTTAAGATCCGTTGTAATTGTGCGCGAAGCCTCAGGCTTCCTAGTGGACTCAATCGCGACAGAGGGGAATGTTGCTTTCCGAGCATTTCGAAGCTGCTCTGCCCAATAGTCGCCAGCGACTCCGTAGTCAAGTTCCATAGTGTACTTAATAAAATGGGAATATGGAACGAGACTGGCAATTTCGAGGCCTCTGTACGCATCATGGAAGGCTTTGAAGATGATAGACAGCGTCCAGCCATCATAGACAGCGTGATGGATGTTTAGGGAAAAGTAAAAACTCCCATCATCTTCAATAATAGCATAACGACACAGTCGAGAACCATACCCCATTTCCATGATTTGGGTTTCTTGCAAATAGGACCGCATCGTCATTTGGTCCGTACAGTCCCAAGTGATATCGCCCTTAATAACAACTTGAATGGAGACGGCACCTAATCGGATAATTCTTGTTCGTAGATTGGGGAAGTGGTTGATGATTTGCTCCCATGCTACTTTTAGCCGGTAAACATCAGCGTGAGCTGGAATAAGATAGTTGTATTTCCCAATGTAAGAGCCAGGTTGCTTGACGGACAACGCCATTAAGCCTTCTTGCATCTTAGAGCAAGGATAGGCATCCTCTATATCCATGCCATAGGGTAGTTTGAGGGCGAGGTCTGTAGGGCTATTGGAGATCATATCGTGATGGGCCTCATCGAGCAAGGTAAAAGGTACAATATGAGTAGGCGCCTCTTCCTCGCATTCATTGATGAAGGAAGCCCTAGAGGCAACAGATAATAATCGAGCATCATGGAAAATGTCGCTCACAGTGAGAGCAATTCCTTTATCACGAGCAGCAGTGACTAACCTAATAGCGGCGATGGAATCACCGCCGATGCTAAGGAAGCTGTCATCACGACCAATTGTTTCCATAGGAATAGCCAAGATATCTGCCCAGATGGCCTGTAGCTTGCGCTCCATCGGAGTTTGCGGCATGACCTTCTTGCTATTCACCAATGAATAAACCGCTAATTGGTCTTGAGTGAGGGCTGATGTGAGCATTTTTAAACTCTTTCTATCCATTTTCCCGGACGTGGCAGTTGGCATATATTGGCATTGGATGAAAAGAGCCGGAATCATGTATTCTGGGAGCATAATCTTGATCTCTCCAACCATGGTTGCAATGAGCTGTTGAACTTCTTCCGTCAAGGGTATGAAAATATTATCAGGATCATTTCCTGACACGACTGCAGTGGCATCGCTGAAGCAAAAGTAGGCAGCTAGAGTTGAGGTAGCCCCCGACTTGAAAACATCAACAGCGACCTGGAGAGCGCCATGTAGAGCTTCTTTAATACGATACTCAACCTCGCCCAATTCCACACGCAGGCCGCGAACCTTGACTTGAGTATCCTTGCGAGAAGAGAATTTAATGGTACCGTCGGGATTATAAGAACAAAGGTCTCCAGACTTGTAAAAGCGACTCCAGTTCTCAGAATCAGGGTACAAAGCCCAATCAGGGCGACTGCACAAGATTGAGCCCTTGCTCTTCTCAGGATCACCCAAGTACTCACGCAATAGAGTAGGACCTTGCACAATCAGCTCACCAACGGTACCTGTCGGTGCCAGTCTCTGTGGATCCTCTGGATCAACAATCCAACAAAATCCACCGACTGGTCTTCCAATGGTCATATTTGACTCTTCTTCTGATTTGCATTCATGCATTGCGCTCATAACGCAAGTCTCAGAAGGCCCCCAGCAATTGAAGAACCTCACTTTACCGACCCATTCTTCGAACAGAGCACGAGGAAGAGGCTCGCCCCCAACCGCTACCAATTCCACTCCTGGCACGTCGTCAGGCTTTAGTGTTTGTAAAAAGGACGGAGTTAGGAACAGCCAGTTTATGCCACTTTCCTGGATAAACCCTTTTAACCTGTTCATACGGGTTTCTTCTGAGGGAATACAAACGCAAGCGCCGAATAGCATGGCTGCTATAATTTCACTGATTGAAAAGTCAAACACGTATGTGGTGAATTGTAATATTTTTACCTTCGGAGTAAACCCGAAGCGCTTTCCAACTGCTGTTTGACTTGTGCAAAGGGCGCCGTGCTCTATGATTAAGCCCTTTGGCATACCTGTACTGCCAGAGGTGAACAGGACGTAGGCGGCATAATGCGAGGTAACTGTAACGTCGGGGCCATGATTGCTGTCATAGTTCTTCTCACTGAGGTCAGAATCTAGGGAAGACGAGACTGTGACGACAGAAGGAACTAATAGAGAACATCTCTCCACGTTGTCTAGCGACGTAAGTGCAACCTGTGCTTTCGTTTGGCTGATAATTTGCTGATGGCGGTGAAGAGGATGCGAAGGGTCGATGGGACCCCAAGCGGCACCAGCTTTGTTGATTGCCAAAATGGCTACAACGTACCACGCTGATTTACTAAAGCAAACTTGAACTATGTCATGAGGCTTAACACCAATATCTGAGACAAGATGATGAGCCAGGCGATTGGCTGCTCTATTTAACTCGTTGTAAGTGAATTGTTTATCCCAGCCTTGTACAGCAATAGCTTCGGGGCGTATCTCGGCTTGAATCTCAATGAGTCTAGGCAAACAAGTGTTGAGGATTTCAGGAGCATCTTCGCCGTTCGCTTCCCGAGCAAATTCGACATCCGAATTGCAGGACAGAGATAAAGCGCCAAGTTGCGATTCTGGTTTCGAGATAAGTTGCTTCATGATATGTTCCAACTGGTGAGATATAGCTAATATTTGCGACTCTGGGAGAACACTGGGATCATATATGATGAAAAGTTTGACATCTTCGTCCGTTACATGACCTTGGATGACAAGAGGGTAGTTGAAGTAATTCTGCATCGAGTTATCTTCTTGCAAATCAACTTGTACTGGCAGAAGCATTGCGTTATCGTCGTTAATCAAGTGTTGCATTGGTTGAATGACCAATAAGCTCGAAAAATTGCAAGCCTCTTGAGCTGCAGAGCTAATTTTGGCAATCTCTTGCAACCCAAACTGCTCATAAGGAACCATCTTCGAAGCTTGGCTCTGTATACTACCTAGATAGTCCAATACGGTTTGCTCTTTGTTTAATTGGACGCGGATAGGCACGGTAGCGACTGCAGGCCCGGGCATTTCCGATAATCCGTGAACAGGTGCTTGACGGCCGGAAACAGTAACTCCGAAGCAAACATCATCACTCTCACAATACCTCGCGAGGAGTATAGCCCATGCAGCTCGGATGATCGTAGCTTTAGTTACCAACAAATTGCCCATGTTAGGTAGCTCTAGGTCTCTCTCTAGAGTCTTACAAGAGTTTGAAGCTTTTAATGAGCCGGAGAAAGAAGGATAACCTGCTCGGCTAGCGCCTTGAAGCTGTGATCCCCAGTAGTTCCTTGCCCCATCGTGGTCAACATTGGCAATGTATTCTACAAACTTATTGTACGGCTGTAGATGCGCAGGGGCAAAACCCTCATAGATCGAATGGAGGACCTCCATCATGAGGCGTATCGTCCAACCATCGTAGATAGAATGGTGTAAAGTCCATATAAAGTAGGTATCGCCATCGTCCTCAGCAATTGCATAGTGGTGCAACCGCGAGCCGTATGCCATTTTGAAAGAATCCATGGACTTCACATACGAGCGTAGCCCTTCACCATCTAGATTATCCCACGCAAAGTCATCCTCAAGGACAACCTGAACCGACGTGTTTCCGACGATAACAATTCTTGTGCGCAAATTGTTGCAAGCCTTTACTGTCTGTTCGAAGGCAGCTCGGAATTTCTGAACGTCGATATTACTGTTTAGGCGGTAGACAAACTTCGCAACGTAGCTCCCCGGCTGTTTCTCCGCAAGAGCCAAAAGACCCTCTTGCAATTTGGTGCAGGGGTAAGCATCTTGGAGGACGATATTGTCAGCAAAGTTATAACCTTGCCACAAGCCCTGGCTTAGTAGCGACTCTCTCACTACCTCATCGAGAAGGCCAAACTGTGTGATTTCTGATATTGGATCACTCTCCATGAGATTAGTCGCTTTCGCGGCGATAGCTAATAGCCTTGGGTCATCAAAGACATCCGCCACTGTGAGCCCAATATTATCGTCCCGAGCAGCATTAACAAAGTGGATCGCCATAATGGAATCGCCACCAATCTGCAGGAAACTATCATCTCGACTGATTGATGTAGTAGGAATGTTTAGTAGCTCCGCCCAAATGACCTGCAGTCGTGTTTCCATCTCTGTCTTCGGGCTATGCTTCTCTGACTTTGAAAGTGAGTATTTAGCAAGATCTTCTGAGCTAAGGCAGGATGCCATAGTTTTTAGCTTCTTCCGATCTAATTTTGTCGACGTCGTGAATGGGAGATACTGGCAAGGAACAAAGGTTGTCGGAACCATATATGGGGGTAACAAAACCTTCAGTTGTTCCAACAAAGCACTGAAAGTTTCTTGCATGCCAGAGTCGAGATGAAGGAATATGTCAGCACTGGAGCTACCATTGGCCGCATCAGCTTCGACATTGAAGGTAACAAAAGCGATCAGATTGGCCCCAACAGTAGTTTTCAAGACCTCAACGGCAACTTCGCAAGGAGCATCTAATCGATCCCGAATATGATGCTCTATATCTCCGAGCTCAACTCGAAAGCCGCGGACCTTAACCTGTGTATCTTTACGACCACTGAATACGATATTACCATCATGGTTGTAGAAACATAGATCGCCGGATCTGTAGCATCGATGCCAATGCTGAGAATCAGGACGGGGTGCCCAAGTTGGTGTGGACATCAACGCAGCTTCTGTCTTTTGAGAGTCATTTAGGTATTCGTGTAAGAGTGTCGGGCCCTGAACAACGATTTCGCCGACTGTGCCTATTGGAGCAAGGCGATGTGGCATATCTGGGTCAACAATCCAACAGAACCCGCCAACTGGACGGCCAATGACAAGAGAAGATTCTTCAGCAGAAGTCCATTCGTGTGTGGCACTGATAACACAGGTCTCAGTAGGACCCCAAGCACAGATAAGACGTAGCTTCCCAAACCACTTGTGAACTAAATCTTGAGGAATAGATTCACCACCGACTAAGAGGAGTTGCAGGCCAGGGACATCTTTAGGTTGAATCGTGCGAGCAAAAGAGGGTGTTAGGAAAACCCAGTTAATTCGCTGCTCGTTAATGAAACCCACAACGTTTTCCATTCGTTCACGATCTGACGGCACGCAAACACACGCGCCATAGATCAGCGATGCCATTGTTTCGCCTATGAACATGTCAAAAACGAAGGCAGAGAATTGCAATATTCTCACGCTTGGGGTCATGCCGAGTCTATCAGCTAAAGCAGTTTGGCTAGTGCATAGAGATAGATGTGTCATAACGACACCCTTCGGCGTTCCAGTGCTTCCCGAGGTAAAAATGATATAAGCAACGCTATGAGGTGGCACAGCTACGCGAGGCACGTATGAGTTTGAAACAGACAGACCCAATTGTCCGTCGAGTTCAGCTGTGACCTCTATCACATTTTCCACCAGTTTAGTACAAAGGCTAGCATTATTCGGTGATACCAGTGCTGCCCGAGCTTTAGTCTGACGGACAATCTGGAGTAAACGTTCTTCAGGTTGAGATGGGTCTAAAGGCACCCAAGCAGCACCAACTTTATTGATCGCGATAATTGACACAAAATGCCAAGCAGATTTCTCAAAGCAGACATGGACAAGGTCATTTGGCTTGATTCCATGACTGTGAATGAGATGGTACGCAAGTCTGTTTGCAGCCGCAATAAATTGGCTATACGTGAGTTCCGCATCCCATGCTGAGATTGCTGGTGCATCTGGGGTGATCCGAGCTTGTTTGTCGACCAAATCGTGTATGCAAGAGCTAATGACCTCAGGCGTATCGCTATTGGAAGCAATCGCCAGCTCAAGATCATGAGAGGACGCTATCAAAATGTCCCCAAGACGAATAGCATCACCGGATGCGAGCTGGTGGATGACGTGGCCAAGTTGGTTGGATAAAGCTTGTACTTGAGATTTGGTCAGAATGTTGCCATCATAGGCTATTGCAATTCTCAATTCGTCTTCGTAAACGTGACCTTGTACAACAAGGGGATAGTTGAAAAAGTTAGCAAGAATGTCAGAAACCCCTTCTTCCGTCGCATCTGCAGCAACAAGCAAAGATTTGCTCTCTTTGCTATTAGAAATATGGCGCATTGGTTGAATCACTAGCAAGCTTGAGAACTGGCAGGCATCGTGAGCATCTCGACTTAGCTTCGAGATGTTTTGTAGACCAAACTGTTCGTATGAAATCATTTCTACTGCTGTGTCCTGGACGCTGTGCAGAAATTCTGATAGAAGTTGTTGGCGGTCGATTCGGATTCGTACTGGAACAGTCGCAATCGCTGGTCCCACGATGTCCATAATTCCAGGAACAGGAGCTTGGCGGCCAGAGATGGAGGCGCCAAAGCATACATCTTCTGTGTCGCAATACCTAGCAAGGACGATAGCCCAGGCAGATCGAACAATGGTTGCTACTGTGACATTATGTTTCCCCGTATCAACGAAGCCAATTGAAGTCTCCATAACGCACGTGGCCGCAGGTTTGACATGCGTGTTGGGTAGAGAAGGATATGGCGAAGGATTGGCACCATGCAGGAGGTCTCTCCAGTAAGCAGAAGCAGCCTCATTATCTATTTGAAGAAGGTAACGAATGAATCGCGAATATGGAGTCACGGTTGGAACAACTTCACCCAAGTAGGACTTGTGTAAGATGTTGAGGATGACCTGAGTAGACAAGCCGTCAAAAACTGTATGATGTATGGCCCAGAAGAAGAATACGTTTTGCTGTTCGTCTTCAACAAAGGCAAATTGACACAGAGGTGTGCCGTAGGTCATTTTGATCGTTTGGGCGTATCGTAGAACAGATTGTAAATCTTGATATTGTAGTGGCTCCCAGGTAGAATCGTGGTCTAGAACAATTTGGTATGTTGCTTTATTTGAGGTGTGGATGATTCTAGTGCGCAAAGTACTGCAAATACCCACAGTTTGTCTCCAGGCTGACTTGAATCGAGCCACATCAACATGCCTGGGCAAGCGGTAGAGGTATTTAGCAACGTAGCTACCCGGTTGTTTGACAGATAATGCCATTAAACCCTCTTGTAGCTTGGTACAAGGGTAGGCATCTTGAATGATAGAGCTGTGTGTCAACGAACATTGCTCCTGGGCTTCAGCCAAAATGGCATCAGATTCTACTATCGGAATCATATCAAATGGCTGAATCTCCTCGTATGTAATTGAATCATCCTCAACAATGGCAGCCGCCATTTGTTCGAGTCGAGGACTTTGGAAAATTACAGCGACAGTCAGACTGAGGCCTTGAAGCTGAGCCTTTGAAACCAACTGAATTGCAGATATTGAGTCGCCGCCAAGACGTAAGAAACTATCATTCTTGCATATGTTCATCGAGTCGATGTGTAGGATTTGAGCCCATAGCTCTCGCAGCTTAAATTCCATGGGAGTGGTTGGTAGCACACGGAAACTAGTATCAGGAGCAAAGCGCAGACGGTCTTGGGCAGCAATATGTTGCGCTTGGCTAGTAAGCGACCGTCGATTGACTTTGCCCGTTATGGTCTGCTCTGGCTTGCCATTAAACAAAAGATAGGACGAGGGAATCATGTATGATGGTAGAATCGTGCTTAGAGACGTGTCTAGGTGCAAAATGGTGGCTCGTGCTTCATCAGATATCGTATCCATAAGGCGAGCTGGCGAGGTGGATTCTCCCTCGGAGTACCAAAGGAAGGCCAATAGGCTATCAGGAACATCTTTGTCCTTAACAAGGTCCACGATAGCGGCCATATTTGGCGGTAGGAACTCGTGAATGCAGGCCTCAATTTCTCCAAGCTCAACTCGCTGACCATGAAGCTTGACTTGAGTATCCTTGCGACCAATGTAATCAAAAGTACCGTCAGCGTTCCGTCGCACTAAATCACCTGTTCGATAAATTCTCTTTAGTTGGTTATCACCAGGGAGCCAATCAACCCTTTCCATCCAGTTGGCAGCGACCTCGTCAGTCACGTTGAGATAACCGCGAGCAAGCATTGGACCCTCGATGAGAAGTTCGCCAATACAGCCAATCGGGACGAGAGACTTGGGGTCGTTGGCCTCGACAACCCAAAAAGCACTGGATATCGGATGACCAAGATTCGTTGAGCGCCCGGATTTCCCCACCATAGAATTCCACGCGCAGATCGACGCTTCTGCCGGGCCATACAAACCATGTAGACTCACATAGTTAACCCATCTCTCAGCACATTTCTTGCTTATGGCTTCACCCCCCAGGCAGACAGTCTTCAAGGTAGGAACGTCGACTGGTTGAAGCAGATCTGCAACAGTAGGTGTAAGGAAAATCCAGTTAGCTTGAGAGGCAGTAATAGCAGCTGCTAGGTTATTAAGGCGATCGTGATCTGAAGGGATACAGATACAGGCACCTCTCATGAGCGAGACGAGGCAATCTAAAACACCAACGTCAAAAGTATATGCCGAGAACTGGAACACTCGAGTGCCAAGACCAATATTCAGGTCAGCTCCATAGGCATCACTGGACGAACATATGCTATTATGCTGAATGATCATACCCTTAGGCTTCCCCGTGCTTCCGGATGTGAAGAGGATGACACTAGAGTTGACAGGTTGCACTTCACATTGCAAAACAAATGAGCTGGGCAATTTAGAGATCATTTCGTCATCCACAGCAATAGTTTCCATGCCTAGTGATTGTAGCGTTGCTTGACATGATGGGCTGGTAATGGCCAAGGTAGCTCCTGTATCCTGAAGAATACCTTGCAACCTTAGTGGCGAAGCACCAGGATCAAGAGGAATAAAGGCACCTCCGGCCATTTGAATAGCCACCATAGAGACCACAGCCCACTTAGATTTAGGGAAACAAATAGGCACCAATGATTCAGGCCCAATATTAAGATCTTGTAGTTTCGCCGCTAAACGAGTGGCATGAGCCCCAAGTTGGGCATATGTGAGGTCTCCATCCCAAGATGTAATAGCAATTTCTTCAGGTTGTTCCCTAATCTTGTCTTGAATCAGCCAATGTGTGCATGAATCTGTGGCAGGGCGTAGACGAGATGCGTCAATGGCTTGTTGAAGATCCCATGAATCAATTAAAGAAATATCGCTCTGCATGCCGTTATTGCTTAAAAGTTGTTGTATAACTTGCTCAAGGTGGTGCGATAACGCTTCCACCTGAAGCTTGGTGAGAACAGCCGAGTTATAAAACAGACGGTGCTGAATAGCACGCTCTCCAATGCAACTAATAATGACAAGGGGATAATTGAAATAGCCTTGCATAGCTTTTTCTGTTTCTTCTTGCTCAATCTCACTTTGTAGAAGAAGAGCCTTTGCATCATCTCCCTCAGAAGGATCATGCGCTGGAGGCTGAATGACAAGGAGACTCGAGAAATCACACGCCTCTTTCGCATCTGGACTTAGCTTAGCAATATTTTGCAGTCCAAACTGCTCATAAGGGATCATCGAGGATGCTTTCGATTGAACATCACTCAGGAACTGAGATATAGAGGCCTGGTTGTCAAGTTGAATGCGAACTGGCACAGTTGCAATCATTGGTCCGGCGATGGACTCAACACTTGGGACCGGGGCCTGTCTGCCTGAGACGGTGGTGCCAAACGTCACATCATTGCTACCACAATACCGGGCAAGTACAACCGCCCATGCAGCACGGACAACCGTGGCCTTAGTAACAGATATATGGAGTGACTCTGGAAGAGTAATGCTCGTATGATGAACGTCATCCATGACGGAAGACGTGGAGCGTTTGTTAGAGGGAAATTCTGCCCGTTTCGCCCCAGCTAGCTCCTCCGTCCAAAACTTGGTTGCTTTTGTGGTATCTAAGTTCATGTAGTAATTGAAGAAACAGGAATAAGGTTGAACGGCAGATATGCTATCACCGTAGTATGCTGAATATAGGGTGCTGAATATGATTCGCATCGTCCAACCATCATAGATAGAGTGATGGGCTGACCAAATGAAGTAAGCTTTGTCGTTTTCGTAGACAATAGCAGATGAGGATAGAGGCATTCCGTATGTCATTTTGAGATTTTCTGGTGAGTCGAGAACGGAAGACAACTTCCTGCTCTCGACAGATCTCCATTGGCTACCACCTCGAACAACGATTTGGACTGACACTCCGTCCAAATGGATTATCCTGGTCCGTAAATTGGAACAAACCCCAGCCATCTTGTCCCAAGCAGCTGTAAAGCGAGAAATATTGACATGATCGGGTAATCGGAATACATACTTTGCGACATAGGACCCAGGCTGCTTAGCAGTTAAAGCCATCAGGCCTTCCTGCAGCGAGGTGCATGGATAGGCGTCTTCGATAGCCTGATCTCCGGTTAGGCAACACTGCACGCGGATATCATCACTAAGAACCGCATCTCTGAGGCTATCGGAAAGCATGCTAAACGGCTTGACTTGCTTGACGGCCTGATATGTAGTCTTCGTAGCTTTCAAAGACAGTGCCACCAGTCTCGGGTCGTCAAACACATCTTTGACTTGGAAAGAAATTCCCATTTCTCGGGCACGAGAAGCCAATTGAATGGCTAAAATGGAATCTCCACCAACCTGTAAGAAACTATCATCTCGGCCTATAGTATTCACAGGAATGTTTAATATTTTCGCCCAAAGCCCCTGAAGCTTGATTTCCATATCGGTTTCGGGCTCACGTTTCTGCCGGTTGAGGAGACTGTATGGAGCCCGCTGCTGGTCATCTAGAGAATCCATCAGACGACGTAAAGTCTTTCTATCAAGCTTGGTAGATGTAATGGACGGCATAAACCTGCAAGGGATGAAAAGGGTAGGAATCATGTAACTTGGTAAAGTAACTCTCAGTTCACCGAGCATGATCGCGATTCTTTTACGCAAATCATCTGTTATGGATGCAAATAATCCATTTGCAGTAAATTCTTCATCTGCAGACGGATTTTTCATCTCATCAGTAAAACAGACATATGCGACGAGATTAGATCGGCCATCCCTTTGGTAGACATCGACGACAGCCTGGCGTACTCCGTCTAGTGTCTCGCGTATATAATGCTCAACTTCACCTAATTCAACTCTCAACCCACGGATCTTGATTTGCGTATCCTTGCGGCTGCTGAAAACGATTGTACCATCAGGATTATAATACCCAAGATCGCCAGATTTATAAAACCTATTCCAGTGCTCTGAGTCTGGCTGAGGTGCCCAAGTTGGGAGAGAGTAAACAGTTGAATCTTTAGTGCGTTCAATATCTGCAAGATATTCGCGTAGGATTGTAGGACCTTGTATGACTATCTCGCCTAGAGTTCCAGTTGGAGTGAGTTGTTGAGGATCTTCTGGGTTTACAATCCAGCAAAACCCTCCAACAGGACGGCCAACAACAAGCGGCGATTCATCCACAGAGGCCCATTCGTGGAGAGTGCTGAAGCAACAAGTTTCAGCAGGACCCCAGCCATTAACTAGACGGACTTTGCCAAACCAAGTGGTAAGCACGTCCCGAGGGACTGCTTCACCAGCCAAAAGCAACAGATTTAGACCAGGCATGTCCTCCGGATTGAGTGTTCTTACGAAAGCGGGTGTTAGGTACGCCCAATTAACCCCGGTATCGTTAACATATTCTTTTAAACCATTCATCCTAGTGTCTTCTGATGGAATGCATAAACAGGCACCAGATATAAGGGGGCCGATAATCTCACCAATGGAGAGATCAAATACGAAGGCTGCAAATTGAAGCATCCGAACATCAGATGTCAGATTCAGCCTTTTTGCGATAGCTGTTTGGCTTGTACAAGCGGCACCATGTTCCATGACCAGGCCTTTTGGTTTGCCAGTACTGCCAGATGTAAAGAGCACATACGCCGCGTTATGGTGGGTAACAGCAACGGTCGGACCGCTCTGCCCATTTTCAGTCAGAGTTAATGACTTATCAAGTTCAGCATCAAGTTGTAGAATGTTCTCAACAAGACTCGAACATAATTTTGCGTTACGCGATGACGCCAATACCAGTGTGGAACGTGTCTGGCTGATAACTTGTCGTAGTCTCTGCTCTGGATAAGAAGGGTCTAATGGAACCCATGCAGCACCCGCTTTGTTAATGGCAAGAATAGCAATAAAGTGCCAAACCGACTTTTCAAAACAGACGTGAATAAGGTCATCAGGCTTAACACTATACTGCCTAATAAGATAATGGGCAAGCCGATTTCCACACTCATTAAGTTGTCTATATGTCAACGTCCCATCCCAAGCAGATATCGCCAGAGCATCAGGGTTACGACGGGCCTGAGCTTCGATCAGCGTATGGACGCAAGTGTCAATAATCTCTGGTGCTTCAGAGTTAAACTTGATAGCTTGTTTGACGTCCCACTCAGACGCAATAGAGAGGTCTCCTAATAACAGCTGAGGATGAAAGGCGAGTTGAGAAACGACATGTCTGAACTGATTTGAGAGCGTAATAAGCTGCTTTTCAGAAAGAGCAAGCTTATTATATATAAATACTAGCTTATCTCCATTTTCATGTAAGTGGGCCTGAATTACGAGAGGATAGGTGAAGTAGCTCTCTAATGCCTCGTCCGCTCCATCATTGGAGCGCGCAACCAGCAGGGCCTGGTCATCCCCATTGATATGCGACAAAATCTGTCTCGGTTGGATCACCAGTAAGCTAGAAAAATCACAGGCGTCCTTCGCATCATCACTCAACTTGGCGATATTGTGTAGACCAAATTGTTCATATGCAACCATTTCAGATGCTTGCGCTTGAATATCTTCAAGGAAGGTAGATATAGCTTTAGTATGATCCAGATAGATGCGAATAGGAATCGTTGCAATAACCGGACCGGGCATTTCCGTCAGACCGGCTACCGGCGCTTGACGGCCAGAGACTGTTGTGCCAAAGCATATATCCCTGGCATCACAATAACAAGCAAGCACAATCGCCCAGGTCGCACGCAGAAGAGTCGCTTTTGTGGCACTACCAGAGAGTTTGGGTATCTCTATCTCCATTTCTAGATACCCTGTACTATTTGCGTTGGCGGGTTGCTCGTTTGACGCCAATCTGTTCGGATAGCTAGCTCTCTTTGCGTTTTGGAGTTGATTGAGCCAATATTCGCTGGCCGATTGGTGATCAATGTCCAGGGTGTATTGAATGAATTGAGAAAATGGCTTGAGTTGAGTAACTTGAGACCCATCATATATCTTCTGCAGGGTTTCGAGTACCAGACGGATTGTCCATCCATCGAAAACGGCATGATGCATTGTCCAAACAAAATGTATTTCGTCATGATGTAAAACCAGAGCATAACGACAGAGTCGCGAACCATACTCCATCTTGGCGTAATGAAAGTTCTTGAGGTAGTCATCCAAAGATTGTGGTTCAACTAACTCCCAGTCGAAATCATGTTTTACCACGACCTGAATAGAGGATCCATGGACATGCAGAATCCGAGTCCGCATATTAGGGCACATCTCAACAGTCTTTTTCCAGGCAGCTTTAAATTTATGAAGATCCGCCTGCTTGGAAATGCGATAATGAAACCGGGCAATGTATGACCCTGGTTTTTGAACTGCCAATGCCATCAGACCTTCCTGAAGTTTTGAGCATGGGTATGCGTCTTCAATACTCATATCGTCACTCAAGCCCATGAAAGATTTGGTATCGCTGATTTGAAGTAACTCGAGTTGAGATTGATTCAACAAGCTGAATGGCTGGATAGGGCTGAATTCCGAGTCCTCTCCAGTAATGCTTCGAGCCTTCTCAGCAACACTAACAAGCCGAGCATCGTGAAAGACGTCTCTAGCACTGACTATGATTCCAATTTCGCGAGCAGCGGAGACAAGTAGTATAACGGACATGGAATCGCCTCCAATCTGAAGAAAATTGTCATCCCTTCCAATTGACTCTAATGGAATATGCAAGATGTCGGCCCAAAGCTGTTGCAGTTTTGCCTCCATGGGAGTTTCTGGAGCGCGTTTGCTACTATCGACGAGTGAATATCGCTCAATTGCTTTCCTTGAAAGCGACATGGTCATATCTACTAGTAATTTCCGGTCTAGTTTAGACGATGTTCCAACTGGCATATGCTTGCAGGGGATGAATATTTTGGGGATCATGTAGGGAGGTAGAATATCATTGAGATTGGAAATAAGCGCATTGATTTGAGGTACCATATCATCCAACAAAGGTAAAAAGAGCCCTTTGCCTTCAGAATCAACGGATAGATGTGATGGTTGGGTATCGTTGTTGAGGCAATAATACGCCACTAGGTGTGACGCCTCCTCTGCTTTCAAAACGTCGACTGTAACTTGACGGATAGCCGGTAAATGCGTGTAGATCTGGTATTCAATTTCGTGAAGCTCAATTCGAAGTCCACGAATTTTGACCTGAGTATCCTTTCGGCCACAATATTCGACAGTCCCATCCGGATTATAGAAACCCAGATCACCAGTTCTATAGAATCGATCCCAAGACTTCCAGTCACCACCAGTGGCCCAGCTTGGCAGAGAACTTATCAAAACCTCTTCAGTTTTTGATGGATTAGCTAGGTACTCTCGGAATAGTGTTGGTCCTTGGTAGACGATCTCGCCAATGCAACCGATGGGGACCCGCCTCTGAGGATTACTTGGGTCAACAATCCACCAGTTACCAGTAATGGGCCGCCCGATAGTTCTCGCTGAATCGCCAATATCTGTCCATTCGTGGACACTAGCAATGACACATGTTTCCGTTGGACCCCAGCCATTGAATAACCGCACCTTTCCAATCCACGTTTCAAGAATATCCGAAGCCCCAGCCTCGCCGCCAACAATAAGGATCTCCATCCGAGGCATTTTTTCTGGTCTCAAACTACGAGAAACAGTTGGAGTGGCAAATGCCGCTGTTACGGAAGCATTGATCATGTAGCCCGTTAAATCGTTCATCTGTTCATCCCAAGATGGCACACATACGCAGCCCCCGACAAGGAGAGGCGCGAAAATCTCGAATACCGACGCATCAAAGACATGCGATGCAAATTGAAGGACTCTAGCGCTATGCGTAAGACCAACTCGTTGTGCAAGAGCCATCTGTGAAGTACACAATGATCCATGTTCAATCACCACGCCTTTTGGTGTACCAGTGGTTCCTGAGGTAAATATGATATAAGCACGATCTGCTGATGACACATTGATTGAAGGACTTCTATGATTGGTTCTGTCTGCGACCAAAGTTGCATCAAGTGTTGCAGATACCTCCAAGATGTGTGGCACTAAAGGTATACATTTCGAAGCGTTAGCCGGGGAAGTTAGAATCAGTGATGCACCGGTTTGTGCAATGATTTGCGAGTATCGTTGAACTGGATGAGAAGAATCCAGGGGCGACCATGCGGCTCCGGTCTTGTTGACGGCTAGAATAGCCACAATATACCAAGCCGATTTCTCAAAACACATGTGGACAATGTCACCAATCTTAACATTAAAAGTGTTGATGAGGTGATGTGCCAGTCTGTTAGCACAGAGATCCAACTGTTGGTACGTGAAGTCAGCGTCCCATCCATTCACGGCCATTGAAGTCGGGTGTTTGTTTGCCTCGCTCTCAATGAGCGAGTGCACACATCGTTCAATGGTTGTGGGTGGTGCTCCATTAGCTGCCACTGCAAAGTCATATTCCCAGGGCGGTACAACGGAAATTTGGGACAAGGGGAGCTCATTTGCATTAAGCAGCTGTTCAGTTACGTGCTTGAATGTATGTGAGAGCCCTTGCAACTGGTGCTCGGGAATCACCGACAGATCGCAATACAAATCAAGATCAACCCTATCTTCGGCCAGCATGCATTGGGCAACAAGAGGGTAATTTAGATAATTTTGAAGCAGTTCCTCTTTGCTGCTTCCCTCAACGTCTGTCGTAAGGTTGAACAGACTGCTCTCATGACTCATTTGTTGAACCGGCTGAACAACGAATAAGGCTTTGAAGTCGCAAGCAGCCTTTGCTTCTTTGTTAAGATTTGCGATATTTTTTAACCCAAAATGCTCGTAGGGGACCATGTCAGCAGCTTGGTACTGCACATCCTTTAGGAAAGACGACACTGTCTGCCGATCGTCTATCCGAATGCGAACGGGGACAGTGGTGACTACGAGACCAGGGATGGATTCTATGCCAGCAACTGCAGCATGACGGCCAGAGACACTAGAACCAAAGCAGATGTCATCCACGCCATTGTATCTAGCTAGCACAATAGCCCATGCTGCTCGTATGACTGTGGCCTTTGTGATAAAGCTATTGGCCAGCTGTTGGAGTTTGATTGAAGTTGTCTGGAGCTTCATTTGCTTCTTCACATCGTTTTTGTTTCGTTCACTCTCTGCTGGAAAGGCCGCTGATTTCGCGCCCTCTAGCTGAGCTGTCCAATATTGAGCGGAAGCAGCATGGTCCATATCCAGGTTGTACTTGATAAACCGTGAATACGAATAGAGCGGAGAGATATCCGTTGCATCGTAGATGCTCTGCAAAGTGCCCATCACCAACCGAAGGGACCAACCATCGAAGATTGAGTGGTGCAACTTGAGACAAAAATATTTGGCACCGCCATGATGAATTAGAGAATAATCACAAAGTGGCAAGCCGTAATCAATATCAAGACTTCGTTGCCTGTGGACGGGCAGCAAGCACTTTTCTTCGTCATTCCAGTGGCACCCGTTCTTGATGACGAGTTGAATGGCTGAACTCTCCAAGATTACGATTCTAGTTCGCAAATTCGCACTCATTTCGACGGTTTGATCCCATGCTGAAATGAATCGTAATATGTCAACTGTTTCTGCTAAGCGGAAGCAGTATCTGGCTACATAAGCCCCTGGTTGTCTCATTGTTATATTCATAAGGCCCTCTTGTAATGAGGTGCACGGATATGCGTCTTCAATAATCTGGCCTGTTGAGAAATGACATTGTAAATCTGCATCACCACGCAGCAAAGCTTCGTGGGCTGACTGAGAGAGCAAACTGAATGGCTGTGTTTCATCAGATGCTATAGTGAGGCTATCGATCAGAGTTATTTTGGAGGCCACAGCAAGTAATCTTGGGTCATCAAACACGTCCTTAACAGAAATGGATAGGCGGAGTTTTCGAGCTTTTGAAACCAATTGAATTGCCACGATAGAATCACCACCGATCTGAAGAAAATTGTCATCACGACCAATGGATTCGGCAGGAATGCCCAGCACCTCGGCCCAGAGGGACTGAAGACGCCACTCCATCACAGTTGCCGGTGGTTCCTTCACGGCCACCGTGTTGGATAATGAGTACGCTGCTAATTGATCTCGATCAAGCATAGTAGTGAAATGCCGAAGTGATTTTCTATCCAATTTGGCAGAAGTAATGGAAGGCATGAACTTGCAGACAATGAACATTGTAGGCACCATATAATGGGCTAAATCTGTCTTGAGCTGTGCCACTGCGGTAGATATTGATTGCTGCATGTCGTCTGTGAGTGGAAGAAAGACTTCGTCAGGTGTCGCTGTCAACGATATCGCTTTGCAGTCCAGATTGAAACAGAGATATGCGACAAGCGTATTTCCGCTCTCGGTATTGACTAATTCCACCGCGACCTGATCAACAGCCATTGCTTGTAACACCCGGTGCTCTATTTCCCCAGCCTCAACTCTGTGGCCTCGAATTTTGATCTGCGTATCTTTACGAGAAGAGTACTCGATGTTACCATCTGAATTGTAAAAGCATAGATCACCGGTTTTATATAGTCGACCCCAGCCCGGGAGCGCTTGGTGAGGCACCCAGTCTGGTAGGGCATCGATTATTGAGGCCTTAGTTTTGTCTGGAGCGCCGAGATATTCACGTAAAAGTGTCGGGCCTTGAACAACAACTTCACCAACAATTCCAGTCGCAGCTAGTTGACTTGGATTCTGAGGATCAAGAATCCAACAGTGGGCACCCAATGGCTTTCCTATTACATGGGGCGACTCATTTGCTGACTTCCACTCATGACTGGAGCTGATAACACAGGTCTCTGTAGGCCCCCAGCTATTGAAAAGACGTACCTTACCAAACCACGTATTGAATATATCTTTAGTGGCTGGTTCTCCCATCAGAGCAATTACCTCTAAACTTGGTACATCCTCTGGATCAATTGTGCGAATGTAGGATGGGACTAGGAAAGCCCAATTGATCTTCTTTTCCTGGATGAAAGCAGCGATATTGTTCATTCTTGCCCAATCCGATGGAATACAGACACAGGCACCTGTGATCAATGAGGTGAAAATTTCTCCTACAGATACATCAAAGGTGAAGGCAGAAAACTGCAGCATTCGAGCGCTGGCCGGTAATTGTAGTCTTTTGGCAATAGCATTCAGACCAGTGCATACAGCGGCGTGCTCTAGAACAATACCTTTCGGTGTACCAGTTGAACCTGAAGTGAACAACACATATGCAGCATTATGAGGAGATACTCCCACCCCTGGATTATTTGAACTGACTGCCGCGTTGACCAACTGGTCATAAATTGTGTCACTCACTTCCACTACATCCTTGATAACTTTGGCACATAGGGCAAATTGGTTTGACGAAGTCAGCGCAAGTTTAGCCCCTGTCTGCTCAACAATTTGGCGTAACCGCTGCTCGGGATGCGAGGGATCTAGCGGAACCCAAGCTGCACCAATTTTATTGATGGCTATAATCGAAATAACATGCCAAATCGACTTTTCGAAACATACGTTGATGCGATCTTCGATTTGAACAGAATATCTTTCGATAAGGTGATGGGCCAAGCGATTGGCGGCGCTGTTTAGCTGGCCGTATGTGAGTTCTCCATCCGAAGCAGAAATAGCAATTGCATCAGGGCGTTGGTTTGCTTGGTTCTCGATGAGCGTATGGAGGCACGAATCAATAAATTCGGGCAGTTCCTGATTGATTGCGATAGCCCTTTCGAGATCCCATGGAGAAGAGAGGGCTACTCCTCGTAGGGGTGCGTCGCGTAGTGAGGCAAGCTGACAGATTACGTGACTCAGCTGATGAGCCAGTGCTTCGGCCTGGCCATCATTAAGTGCGTTGGAGTTGTAAACGATTGACAGCTTGACGCTATCATCGGAAAGATGTCCTTGGACCACTAGCGGATAACTGAAGAAATTCTGGACAGAGTCGGCGGATGTATCCACTTCTTGGTCTGCAGACACAAGAATAGCGTTGCTCTCCTCACTTGGTGTGCCTTGCATTGGCTGGATTATCAGGAGGCTGGAGAATTGACAAGCTTCCTTCATATCTTCACCCAATTTCATAATGTTTTGTAGACCATATTGTTCAAAAGGAATCATTTCTAATGCCTGATCTTGCACATTTTGAAGGAAACTGGAAACAGACTGATCCAACTTGAAACGGATTCGAACTGGGACCGTGGCAACTATAGGTCCAACCATGTCCATTACATCGAGGACTGGTGCTTGCCGACCCGAGACTGTTGTGCCAAAGCAGATATCATCCGTATCACAGTAGCGAGATAGGACCAGAGCCCAGGCGGATCGAATCAGCGTTGCCATCGTTGTATTCGCATTTGGCATATTAGGAAGTCTAACTGATTTTTCGAAGATGCTGGTTGTACCGGATGAAATCTGAGTGTCGAGTGAGGATGGGAAAAGTGCCCGCTTGCAGTTGTCAAGCTGCGCATTCCAATAATGCGCAGCGCTATCCGCGTTCAAAGAGTTAATATAGCCGATGAAGCGTGAGTATGGAGGCAGTGGAGACAACTCTATCCCAGAATAGACTTTCTGTAGCACTGTGAAGATATTTTGATTGGTCAAGCCATCGAATACAGCGTGATGAATCGCCCATAGGAAATAGCAGTGTCCATTTTCTTGTTTAACCAGTGTGCTTAAAGAAAGATTTGAGCCGCAGCCCATTTCAATAAAGCGATGCGACCGAATAGCGTCATTGAGATTTTGGTTGCCAACAGTGGAAAAATTGAGTTCATCTTTCAATACGACTTGAATTGGTGCCCCGTCAATGTAGATTATTCGAGTACGCAGGTTGGTGCAGATTTCTGCGGTTCGTGTCCACGCTTTCTTGAAAGTCTCAATATCAACATGTTTTTGCAATCGATAAACAAATTTAGCAATGTAAGAGCCCGGTTGCTTAACAGCGAGAGCCATCAGACCTTCCTGCATACCAGTACAAGGGTAAGAATCTTCAACAACAACTTGCGGCAATGAGCACTGATCACGCGTTGCCTGAGTGATAGCCTCTTTCTGAGTGTTGGATAGTAAACTAAAAGGTCGTACGTCATCAATGAGAGTGTCTTCATTTACGAAGACGGCACTGGCCATTTGTTCCAGCAGTGGATTGTGGAAAATCATGGCCACGCTAAGGTCAAGGTTATGCCGCTGAGCAAGAGTAACCAGCCGGATTGCACTGATGGAATCACCACCAATACGCAAAAAGCTATCCCTTTTGCTGATATCTTCAGCGTTGATATGAAGGACATCAGCCCAAAGATCCCGAAGCTTGAGCTCCATGGGCTTATTTGGGGCTTCCCTTTCTTCTGTCCCAGGAGCGAATCGTAAACGGTTCTGATTTGAGATGTTCTGAGCAAGCTCTAAAAGAGCACGGCGATTAACTTTCCCAGACGTAGTATGGTCAGGTTTGCCATTGAAGATAAGATAGGATGAAGGAATCATATAAGAGGGTAGATTAATAGACAACGCCATGTCTATGTCGGAAATTAATACTCGCTGCTCATCAGATAGCGTACCGATCAATTCTAATGGCAGTTGTTGACTTGGCGCTGAGTTGTCTGTATACCACAAGAAAGCCAGGAGACTATCTTGGTGCTGCCCTTCGTGAGACTTTACAACGTCAACAATGGCAGACATTTCTGCTGGAATGGCTTTGTGGATCTGCGATTCGATTTCGCCAAGTTCCACACGTTGACCGTGAAGTTTTACCTGAGTGTCTTTGCGGCTAATGTAGTCATAAGTTCCATCGGCATTTCGTCGCACCAAGTCACCGGTTCGATAAGCTCTACTGGGAAAGTCGTGAGGCAGCCAGTTTGCTGAGAATTTTTCGACCCAATTTGCTGCCTGCTCAGTGCGGACATTGAGATAACCTCGCGCCAGCATCGGGCCTTGGATAAGTAACTCCCCGATGCAGCCCACAGGAACAAGCTTTTGGATGTCATTTGGTTCGACAACCCAAAAAGCGCTTGCAAGTGGTCTGCCTAGATTAGTCGATTTACCTGACTTTCCGACAGTCGAATTCCAGGCGCAAATAGAGGCCTCCGCTGGGCCGTAGAGACCATGAAGCTCAACGCAATCTTTCCACCTGTCGGCAGTTTTCTGGTTTATAGCCTCTCCTCCGAGGCAAACCACACGAAGTGTCGGAACGTCAGCAGGATTAAGAAGGTCAGCTACTGTAGGTGTAAGGAAAACCCAGTTAGCTTGAGCTTTATTGATGGCGCCAGGTAGGTCATTAAGCCGATCATGGTCCGAGGGGATGCAGAGGCAACCACCGCGCATTAAAGTAACTAGAGTATCTAAGATACCGACGTCGAATGTGTAGGCAGAGAACTGAAAAACGCGGGTACCAGGTCCAATTTGTAGATCACGGCCATATGCGTTTGCCGAAGAACAGAGAGCGTTATGTTGGATAACCATGCCTTTCGGTCTACCTGTACTGCCAGACGTAAAAAGAATAACGGCTGCATCAGAGGGATTTCCGGAGCGCTGTGAAGCAGTGGCGTTGGGCAAAGCGTCTAAGAAATCCTTGTCAATGACAATAAGAGGAACACCTAGGCCTTCCATATTCGATTCACAACAAGGGCTCGTAAGGGCAATATTAGCCTTGATGTCATCTAGTATGCTACTCAGACGAGTCTTCGGTGCTTTCGGGTCAAGTGGAACAAAAGCACTGCCTGCCATTTGCACTGCAATCATGGTGATAACGGCACAGATAGACTTGGGAAAACATAAAGGCACAAGGGTCTCAGAACCTATGCCAAGTAGCTGGAGTTTTGCTGCCAAGCGAGATACTACGCTTCCAAGCTCAGCATAGGTAAGTTCACCATCCCATGAAGCCACGGCGAGGGAGTCAGGGTAGGTGCGAACTGTATCTTGAATCGCCCAATGGGTACAAGATTCAGTAGAAGGCTTTAGCATTTGTGAATTCACAGCATGCTTCATGTCCCAGCCTCCAACAAGGGAGATTTGTCCGAGACAGACATCATTAGCAAGCTGCTGAATAACTTGTTCAATCTGGTACGAGAGTGCTGCTACTTGCTTCTCCGCCAGTACTGCCGGATTAAAGAATAGGCGCTGCTCAACGCTATTACCAGTTATTCCATAGATGAGGACAAGAGGGTAATTGAAGTATGATTCCATCGTATCTTCAGTTAAAGCCTTTTCGGTTTCACCGGAGAGAAGTATAGCATTCTCAGGGTCATACCCTAATGAAGCTGGGGGTTGAATAACGAGTAGACTAGAGAAATTGCAAGCCGCCTTTGCGTCAGAATTAACATTAGCAATGTTTTGTATGCCAAATTGTTCAAAAGGTACCATATTTGTGGCTTGATTCTGAATGCTGAGAAGGAAATCCGAGGTCTTAATATGGCTATTAAGAGAAATGCGAATGGGTACAGTAGCAATGGCCAGACCCGGCATTGCTTCTAAGCCAGGAACTGATGCTTGACGACCAGATACAGTTGTTCCAAAGGTGAGATCGTCACTATCACAGTAACGAGCAAGAACAATTGCCCAGGCCGCACGCAAAATAGATGCTTTCGTAATTGATGATCTTTCTCTGTGAGGAAGTGAAATTGTTCTTCGGTGTACCTGGGTAGACTGGCTCTCATTTCCAGCGTTGAGTCCGTTGACAGCTGGGAATTCGGCTCGTTTTGAGCCACGAAGTTCGTTATCCCAGAACTTGATCGCTGCGTCGTGATCAAGGGACAAAGTATATTTGATGAACCCGCTATACGGTTGCAATGGTGTCATCTGCGTGTCCCGGTAAACAGACTCCAGAGTACTCAGAATAATTTGAATTGTCCATCCGTCATAAACAGCATGATGAGCTGACCAGATGAAGTAATTTGTCTCTTCTTCGTTAAGGATTGCGTACCAGGAGAGTGGAGTGCCGTAGCTCATACGAGATCCTCGATCTGAGCGGACAAGGGAAGAGAGCGTCTCGTTATCTGTTGCTTCCCAGCATCCCAAGTCTTTGACCAGCAACTGGATGGGTGAACCATTAAATAGAATGATTCTCGTGCGTAGAGCGCCACATAGCTTGACAGTTTTGTTCCAAGCAGTTTTAAAACGTTCAATGTCGACATAACCGGGCAGCTTGTAGATATACTTGGCCACATATGATCCTCGCTGCTTGACCGATAATGCCATAAGACCCTCTTGAAGAGACGTGCATGGATATGCATCTTCAATGGCATTCTGTGAAATATCACATTGATCAGCCGCTTCCTTGATAATTGCGTCTCGAGACAACTCAGGCAGGAGGCTAAATGGTAAAATGGTGTACTCTGTTTCTTCGAAATTGCTATTGAGAACTGCCTTCGAAGCAACTGCGAGTAGTCTTGAATCATCAAAAACATCTTTCACACTTAGAGATATCCCCTCAGCTCTTGCCCTGGAGATTAGGTGTATAGCAGAAATTGAATCTCCACCAATCTGTAAAAAGCTATCATCACGACCAAAAGAGTCGACAGGTATTCTTAAAATGGACGACCAAAGTGATTGTAATTTTCGTTCCATTTCTGTTTCTGGAAGCCGTTTATTACTATCCAAGAGCGAATACATCGATATTTGGTCATGGTTAAGCAGAGATACCATTTGGCGAAGGATCTTTCTGTCGAGTTTCGTAGACGTGATCGAAGGTATGTACTTGCATATGATGAAAAGAGTAGGGATCATATAACTAGGAAGAGTGACCTTCAACTGGCCTATCATAGCAGCAAGCAACGGTTGCATATCAGCGGTAAGTGGCATGAATATGTCATCCAGACTAATCTTCGAGTTGGACGATGAACGCGTCTCTTCACTGAAGCAGAGATATGAGACCAAATTAGAACCACTGCTAGATGTTGATATGTCCACAGCGACTTGACGAACGCCTTCCAAGCTTTCACGAATGCTATGCTCAACTTCGCTAAGTTCAACTCGTAAACCACGAATCTTCACTTGAGTATCTCTGCGACTGCAGAACTCGATCGTTCCGTCTGGGTTGTACATCGCCAAATCACCAGATTTATAAAATCGCGGCCACTGAGATCCCCTTTCCAGTGCCCAGTCGGGTAGTGGCATCACTATAGATGATTTCGTCCGCTCAGGATCATCAAGATATTCACGAAGTAGCGTTGGACCCTGTAGCATAACTTCACCAACGGTTCCAATTGGGGCCAATCGGTCGGGGTGTTCGGGGTCAACGATCCAGCAAAATGCTCCCACAGGATTGCCAACAGTCAATGGAGATTCGGTATCTGACTTCCATTCGTGCAGCGTGCTGAAAACACATGTTTCAGCTGGTCCCCAACCGCTGATAAATCGCAGCTTACCAACCCAAGTGTTAAAGACATCGCGAGGAGTCACCTCTCCACAAAGTAAAAGTAGCTCAAGGCTAGGCACATCCTCTGGCTTCAGGACTCTAATAAATGAAGGTGTCAGATAAGCCCAGTTCACCTCTTTCTCTCGAATAAAGCCTGCAATATCATTCATACGAGCCCATTCCGAAGGCACGCAGATGCAGGCACCTGATATGAGTGGTGCAACTATTTCTCCTATCGAGAGATCAAAAACGAACGCCGCAAATTGAAGCATCCGAACATTAGAATGAAGGCCCAGTCTTTTAATAACGGCTTTCTGACTACTGCAGACAGATCGGTGTTCCATGATAAGACCTTTTGGGATACCCGTGCTACCAGATGTAAAGAGCACGTAGACTGCATTATTAGGCGACACCTTCGTAGCTGGCGAATTTTGACTATATCCATCATTGCTTGATAATTTCTGGTCTAGAAAGGCCGAAACCTCAATAACGTGTGGCATAAGATCGCTGCACAGCGCGACATGAGATTCTGATGCTAACGCCACTTGAGCTTTCGTCTGCTTGACAATTTGACGAAGTCGTTCTGGAGGATGAGACGGATCAAGTGGAACCCATGCGGCTCCAGCTTTGTTGATAGCCAAAATTGACACAAAGAACCAAACCGACTTGTTGAAACACACGTGGATAAGCTCTTCTAATTTAACTGCGTGCTGAGACATCAGATGATGTGCTAGACGATTGGCCGCTTTATCCAGCTCGGCGTATGTTAAAGTACCGTCCCATGAGCAGATTGCCAAAGCGTCAGGGGTCTCAATGGCCTGTTTTTCGAAAAGTTGATGGAAACAGCTTTCTATAGCTTCTGGTACCTGGGAGTTGAATGTGGCTGATTTCTGAAGATCCCAAGAAGAAGCAATTCTGACATCGCCAAGATTTGACTGCATCCGGAGGACAAGTTCCTTAGCAATTTGGTGAAATTGGTGCGATAATGCAACAACCTGCTCTTCAGAAAGGATTCCGGTGTTATAAATAAGAACTAACTGGGTAGTGTCGTCATGGAGATGTCCTTGAATAACGAGTGGATAGGTAAAATAGTTTTGGAGAGCGTAGTACCCTGTGTCAAGCTCCGTATCAGCTGAAATAAGGATCGAATCGCTATCGCTAAGAGGGTCTAGAGCTTCCTTTGGTTGAATAACCAATAAACTGGAGAAATCAGAGGCATCTTTGGTGTCGGAGTTTAGTTTCCGAATGTTTTGCAGACCGAATTGTTCGAATTCCACCATCTCTAGCGCCTGTTCCTGAACCTGGTTTAAAAATGTAGCAATTAACATCTGTTGATCGACTCGTATACGCAGGGGGACAGTTGCAATAGCAGGACCTGGCATGCCGATTATTCCAGGCACTGAGGCTTGACGGCCCGATACTGTCGTGCCAAAACAGATGTCGTCCGTGTCGCAATATCGTGCAAGAAGAACAGCCCAAGTAGCTCGCAAAATTGTGGCTCTTGTGATACCTGTCGCGCTTATGTCAGGAAGATCGAAATTTGTAACCATGGAGCGAACACTGCTCGAAGGTCGTAATCGAGTTGTCCTGAGGTCAGGCGGAAATGAAGCTTTCCTCGCATCACGAAGTTGCTCCACCCAGTAATCAGAAGCGGACTGGGAGTTAATGCCAATGGTGTACTGAATGAAACGAGAATATGGCGTCGGGAGTGCAATGTCCATTCCGTTATACACTCTCTTAAGAGTATCAAGGAAAATCCGTATAGACCAGCCATCAAAAATTGCGTGATGCATTGTTAAGATAAAATGCGTCTGGTAGTTCTGGTCTTGGACCAACGCATACCGGCAAAGGCGAGACCCATATTCCACTTTGATGTCCTTGATAGACTGAAGATAATACGGCAATGCCATGCCATCTGTATTATCCCAAGTGCTATCGTTGACCACTACTTGGATCGACGAGCCATTCAAATGAATAATCTTAGTTCGTAGGATATCGCATAGCTCCACCGTTTTTTCCCAGGCTGCTTTGAACTTGGGAATATTTACACGGTCTGCTAAGCGATAGTGAAAGCTCGTCATATATGAACCAGGCTGTTTCACTGCCAGAGCCATGAGACCTTCCTGCAGGTTACTGCAAGGATATGCATCTTTAATGTCCATTGAATGGGCTAAATTAAGCTCCTTTCTTATCCGTACTGTTAAATCATCTTGGACTTGTGGCTCCAATAGGCTAAATGGCTTTGCAGTATCAGTAAGTTCTGAGGTAATATCGGTAGAAACCGCTTGGAGGGCAACAGAAGAGAGTCGAGAATCTTTAAAGATATCACTAGCTCGAAGCTCAATACCATAATCGCGAGACAAAGCAATAAGACGAATAATCGCAATAGAATCACCACCAATTGCCAGGAAGCTGTCGTATCTGCCAATCGATTCAACTGGTATCTTCAAAATCTCTGCCCAGATTTCCTGCATGGTGCGTTCCATTTTTGTTTCTGGGATAGCTTTTACCTCGTTCATTGCACATAGGGAATACTGTTCGAGACATTGCCTATCTAATGCGGCAGCGAGGCGAAGCAGAGATTTTCTGTCCAGTTTAGACGATGTCACTAGCGGCATCTTCCTGCAGGGAACAAAGAAGGTGGGCACCATGTAGCCAGGTAAAGAAGAGATCAAAGAATTGCGCAGGGTTTCTAGGCTGCTCTTCAACTGATCTGTCAAGGGAAGGATGATGTCTTCACTAGTCATGTTACCGGTCATGGCAGCCGGAATAGTATCACTATTCTGGCATATGAATGCAACTAAATTAGTGCCGGATTCACTCCTGAACGCTTCGACAGCGACTTGACTGGTGGCATCCATGTTCTTGCGAATATGGTGTTCAATTTCTCCCAATTCTATACGCAAACCACGGATTTTAACTTGTCCATCTTTGCGACTGCAATATCTGATAGTGCCATCAGAATTATAAACGGCTAAGTCTCCACTCCTATAGAAACGATTCCATAGGTCGCGATTTGGAGCCCACTCTGGGAGGGAGGTGAGAGTGGCGGTAGCTGTTTTCTCTGGATCTGCAAGATATTCTTGTAGTAAATTCGGTCCTTGGACAACGATCTCGCCAACCGTTCCCACAGGAGCCAACTTGGTCGGGTCCTTGGGATCAACAATCCAGCAATTGCCGCAGATTGGTTGACCGATAGTTAGATGTGACAGTTGAGTGGATTTCACTTCGTGACATGCGGCAATGACAGTTGTTTCAGTAGGACCCCAAACATTAAACAGCCGCAAGTTACCAAGCCAGATACTGAAGACCTCTTTGCTTGGAGCCTCGCCACCAATTGCAAGAAGCTCTAAGCTAGGCACATCTTGAGGTTTGATAATGCTAGCTAGCGAAGGAGTCAAAAATGCCCATGTAACATTGACATCTCGAATAAAAGCGGGCAATGAGTTCATTTGCACATCCCATGAAGGGATGCAAACACAAGCGCCCGAAATGAGCGGAGACATTATTTCGAAAAGAGATGCATCAAACACAAAAGAAGAGAATTGAAGCATTCGAACACCATCGTGCATACCGAGCCTCTGACTCAAAGCAACCTGGCTGCTGCAAATGGCCCTGTGCTGAATAACCACGCCCTTGGGCACTCCCGTTGATCCAGAAGTGAAAATGAGATATGCAACATCTTCAGGGCTAACCTTCGCATTTGGCTTGCCTTCATATGCTTTGATACCTCGGAGCTCAGAGATGAACTGGGTGTTCACCTCGAGGACGTCGGTAAATAATTGAGTACACTTTGACAAGTTCGAAGAGTTGCACAGGGCCAAGGTTGCACCAGTCTGGCTAACAATACTCTGGTGACGTTCTAGGGGGTGTGATGGATCAATGGGCACCCAAGCCGCGCCAGCCTTGTTAATAGCCAAGATGGCCACAATATACCAAGCAGATTTGTCGAAGCAGACCATAACCAGGTCGCCAGATTTCACTCCCAGCATACTCGAGAGGTAGTTAGCCAGTCTGTTGGCATTCTCATCAAGCTCAGAATAGGTAAAATCAGCATCCCATGAGCACACTGCAGGCGAATCAGGGTTTATCTTTGTTCGCTCCTCAATAAGCGTGTGGACACAAGAGTCAATGACAAGAGGCTTGTTAGGGTTAGAAGCATGTGCAAATTCTATATCCCATTGACTAGCCATTGAAAGTGTATTGAGCGGCTTGCCATATTGCAGATTGAGTTGCTGCACAACCTGCTCGAATTGGTTGCATATACACTGAAGCTGGTGATCGGAAAGTACATGAGAATCGTAGTACAGTGTCAAGAGAGCCTGATCTTGAATCAGATCACACTCTACTATCAGAGGATAATTGAAAAAGCTCTGCATCCAATTTTCAACGTTCGTATCATCGTTAGTATCAGAGGTGAAGAGCTTTCTATCTTTATCCCCAGCTGATTGCTGGTGCTGATTCGACTGAACGACAAACAAGCTAGTGAAGTCCGTAGCGTCCTTTGCGCTGGTACTAAGCCTTGAGATGTTTTGAAGGCCAAACTGCTCATAAGCCACCATCTCGGAGGCCTGAGTCTGTATGTTTTGCAGGAATTCAGACACGCATTGCATACGATCTAGGCGGACTCTCACAGGAACTGTAGCGATTGTCGGGCCGGCCATATTAATTAAATCTTGAACTGGCGCTTGTCGACCCGACATAGTTGTACCAAAGCAAATATCGTCAGTCTCACAGTGCAGACTCAAGACGAGAGCCCAGGCACCTCGAAGCACTGAAGCCTTTGTTATAGAAGAGTTGGGTTGAGTTGATACTACAAATTTTCTCTTCATAATCTTGATTCCCTGAGCCACCGACGTCTCTGATTCAGTCACGAGTTTTGGTGGTGGGAATGAAGCCCTCTGGGCACCTTCCAGCTCCGTAAGCCAGAAGTTCATGGCTGCTTCATGATCCAGTTGTGAGACATATTTGACAAAGTTTGCAAATGGGGACAGAGTCGAAAGAGGTTCTTGGTCGTAAACACGCCGAAGAACGTCTAAATTGATCTGCATAGTCCAGCCATCGAAGATGGCGTGGTGCGCAACCCAAATAAAGTAGGTTGATTCATTTGAATTAATTATCGCATGCCTTGAAAGCTGTGATCCATACCCCATATCAATGTTCATCAGCTTGTTCATGTAGGAGTCGAGGCTTTGATCATCGGCCTCATCCCAGCACGTATCATGGGATACCACAGCTTGTAGCGACACTTCCCCATCCAGCACAATCCTTGTTCTTAAATTGCTGCAGGCCCGAATAGTTTGTTCCCAGGATTCTTTGAAACGGTCTAGGTCAACATCTTCTGCCAATTTGTATACCCGCTTGGCTATGTAAGAGCCTGGTCGCGTTGCGGTCAAGGCCATAAGACCCTCTTGCAGTGGCGTACAAGGATACAAGTCATCAAGGTCTTGTCCGCGTGAAAATCCACATTGTTCACGGATGGCAGGTATCAATGATTCCAGGCGTGCTGCTTCAATCATGCTAAAGGGTTGAACGTCATTATTTGTCGCATGCCCAATGGTCATTGAGGCAGCCATGGAAGCTAATTGAGAGTCTTTAAAGATGCTTGCGATCGGAAGAAGCATCCCCTCTTTTGCAGCAAGGTTCGAAAGGTAAATCGCAGAAATTGAATCGCCACCGATTTCTAAAAAGCTATCAAATTTAGATATCTCTTCTTTGTTAATGTTCAAGACCCGAGCCCATAGGCTTTGAAGCTTAAGCTCCATTTCAGTGGTCGGTGATACCTTCGCTTGGCTATCCATAGAAAATTCCGATATCATTTCGCGGGACATGTTGGTCGCAAGTTCACGCAGCACTCTTCTGTCGATCTTATTTGAGGTTGTATAGGGCATGACTCGGAGTGGGAAAATGATGCTCGGGATCATATAGCCTGGTAACACACGTCGTAGTCCAAGCATAAGATCTTGGAAGGAAGAATTAAGTTTCCCATCCCTGATGAAATTACCGTAAGGATCAGCAGCATCTGCCATGGTGTCACACAAGTGGTTTTCGAATGTGACAAAAGCAATTATCATCTTGCCCGTTTCACGCTCAATGAGGTCGGCCACAACATGCTGTACATCTGAAAGATTGCCCTTGATGTTATATTCAATCTCACCGAGTTCAAGACGCTGACCACGTATCTTAACTTGAGTATCTTGCCGCCCAAAGAACTCAATTGTTCCATCAGAGTTGAATCTTGCGAGATCACCAGTCTTATAGACTCTGTGCTTGTCGCCGGTTGGGACATTGGGTAACCATTCTAAGTCATTGAGGAAGGACTCATTGGTCTTTTCTTCGTTGTTGATATAGCCACGTGCGATTGCATGGCCTTCAATGACCAACTCGCCAATGCATCCAATCGGAGTAAAGCGATTGACATTATATGGTTCCACGATCCAAAGCTTGTGAGCAAATGGGCGTCCAATGGTTGTAGGCGACTCGTCTTGAGACTTGAAGACATGTCCAGCAACATCCACACAAGCTTCCGCAGGACCATACGCATTGATGAGCTCCACTTTCCCATGCCATTTGGTAAGGATATCTTTAGTGGGAGCCTCTCCACCCATGCACAGAGTTCGGAGAGTAGGGACGGTATCAGGGTCGAGTGTTCTAATAAATGATGGCGTCAAACATGTCCAGGTGACTCGCGCTTCCGTCATAAATCGCCATGTGTTGCCTATTCTCTCGCTTTCCGTGGGTACACAAACGGTTGCTCCGACAAAGAGTGAAACGAATATCTCCAAAATGCAAACGTCAAATACGTAGCTCGCGAATTGGAAGGACCGTGAAGATTTGTCAATGCTGAACTTTTCAGGGTGGCGCAATAATGAAGTGCAAGCGGCCGAGTGTGGCATAATCAGGCCTTTTGGCTTTCCTGTAGAACCAGATGTATATAGGACGTAGGCCGCATTATGAGGTTCAGGTTTCTTGTAATTGCTGAGTGTATGGTAGTCCGACTTGATATTGGGCGCAACTGTCAACAGCGAGGCGGAAACTTCAATAGTATGCTCAGCCATTCCTTCGCACGATGTAGCCATAGATGGCGAAGTAAGTATAACTTTCGCATTCACCTCTTGAACCAAGGCCAACCGTCGCGACTCCGGATGTGAAGGATCAAGTGGCATAAAGGCACCGCCAGCTTTCAAGATGCCGAGCATGGCAACCACAGCCCAAATAGATTTCTCCATGCAAAATGGCACCACTGTTTCCGGCTGGACATTGTATTGCAAGAGCTGATAAGCAACATGATCAGAAAGATTCTCCAAAGCTGCATATGTTAGCGACCCTTCCGTGGCAAACAAAGCTTCATCATTTGGACAAGATTTAGCATGTGTGGAAATAATATCATGCATGCAATGTTCTTCGACCACAATTTCGTGGTTATTCCAATACATGCTCTGCTGGAGATCCCAAGGCCCCGCAATGGCCACATCGCGTAGCAACATCTCCTTGTCTAGTGATACGAGCTGCTGAGTGATGTGATCAAACTGGTGAGTTAATGCCAGAACCTGCGGTTCAGAAATAACATCCGCATCATAGACAAACTCTAGCTCCACACTATTGTCGCCCAAATGGCATTGAAGATTGAGGGGATAGTTGAAATAGTCTTCCATTGACCGCCATGCCAGCCGTTGCTCTGCTCTTGTAGAAACAAGGATTGCCTCGTCTCCATCGAATCCGCTTGTGATTTGTTTTGGCTGGACAACCATTAGACTGGTAAAGTTGCAGGCGTCCTTCGCATCTGAGCTAAGTCTAGCTATGTTCTGTAGTCCGAATTGCTCGTGCATCACCATATCGGTTGACTGCCTCTGAACGTCGCGAAGAAACTCCGACAAAAGCTGACCTGGATTCAATCTGACTCTGATGGGGAGAGTAGCAATAACTAAGCCAAGGACATTCTCTACGCCTGCAAGCGGGGCGTTGCGGCCGGAAACAGAAGCACCAAAGCAAATATCATCTGTACCGCAGTATCGGGCAAGAAGAATCGCCCAAGCAGCTCGAAGATACGTTGCTGTGGTAATAGCACCATTTGTCGACCGCAATATCTTGATTTCTTTTGACGAGATACCTATATTCTTCTCAGATTTGGTGACGATAGTGTCGTCTCTCGGCAAAGGGAACACTGCCCTTCTTGCTCCGGCTAATTGTGTTTTCCAATACTTCTCCGAACTATCCGAGTCCAGTTGAAGCGTGTACTGCACAAATCCGGAATATGATTCCAGTTTTGGTGCCTCAATATTCTGGTATATTGAGTGGAATGTCTTGATCATAAGAGCTAGAGACCACCCATCGAACACGGAATGATGCGTAATTGAGATAAAATAATAATCACCATGGTCATCGTGAATGAGTGCGAAACGGGAAAGTGGCGATCCATAGGACATGTGAATGTTGCTCGCAGACTTTAAGAAATCATCCATGTTCTGATTGTCTGTCGATTCCCATCGCACAGGTTCTTTGACGACAACCTGAAGTGACAGGACACTGCTGAGCTGGACGATTCTCGTTCTCAGATTGCTACAAAGAGTAACTGTTCGCTCCCAGGCGGCTTTGAGGCGGTCAATATCAGCATTCCTCTCCACCTTGAATATCATTTTTGCAACATAGGCTCCCGGTTGTTTTGCGGTGAGTGCCATTAGCCCTTCCTGTAGTTTAGTGCAGGGGAATGCATCTTCGACCATGTCCCAACTAGCCAGATTGCACTGCTTAAGCAACTCGTTTCTCATATCTGAATTGAATTGGTTATGCTGCAATAACTCAAAAGGTATACTGCTAGAAACAATGTTGGAGTCTCTGTTTGTCGTATCGGCGACAGCAGCTACTCTCCACAATCGTGGATCGTCGAAGACGTCTTTGACAGTGAGTGAGATTCCGGCTTGGCGGGCATCGGCCACAAAATGAATCACGGCAATAGAATCACCACCGATTTGCAAGAAGCTATCATCTCTTCCGATGGAGTCTAGTGGCATGTTCAACCTTTTTGCCCAAATGGCTTGCACCTTGCGCTCCATTGGTGTCTCCGGTGGGTTCTTGACAGTATCAACTAGCGAGTAAGTAGACAAGCTCTCAGGATCCAGCAATTCGACATGATGCTTCAATGTGCGTCTGTCCAACTTGGTTGAAGTAATTGATGGCATATATCTGCATGGGACAAATAAAGATGGCACCATGTACCTTGGAAGGTTTACAGACAGGTGTCCAATCATGCCGAGAATTTGGCTCTTCAGCTGAGTTGTGACTGGGAGGAACATTGAAGTATTTCCATCTGCATTGGTGCTAGCTGTAGCTACCATTCTTGTCTCAGTGCTGAAGCAAAAGAAGGCAACCAGATTGGAACCGGCCCCGCTGTTAATCTTGTCAACCACAACCTGGCAAACTCCATTAAGGCATGCTTTGATCTGGTGTTCTATTTCACCCAACTCTACTCGAAGACCTCGGATTTTGATCTGAGTGTCCTTTCTCGTAACGAATGCAATTGTTCCTTCTGAATTGTATTTACATAAGTCACCAGATTTATAAAACCGACTCCAGTGTTCTGAGTCGCTGTTGGGCGCCCAGTCTGGTAAAGGTTTAACTGTTGTTGATTCGGTCTTAGCAGGATCTGCCAGATACTCTCTGAGCAATGTTGGTCCTTGGATCACCACTTCACCAACAGTTCCAATGGGCGCTAGATGTCGCGGATTCTCTGGGTCAACAAGCCAACAGAAACCACCAACAGGTCTGCCAATTGTCAAAGGGGAGTCATTGAGAGATTCAAATTCGTGCAGAGTACTAAGCACGCAGGTTTCAGCTGGGCCCCATCCGTTGATAAGACGAACTTTTCCGAACCAGGTCTCTAATATGTCCCGGCCCACAGCCTCGCCAGCAAGAATCATCACCTCAACGCCAGGTATATCATCCGGGTTTAAAGTGCGAGAGAATGAAGGGGTTAAAAATACCCAATTGATCTCCATTGTGCGTATATACTCAGCAAGTCCATTCATCCTAACTTGTTCAGATGGTACACAAATACAAGCTCCGGCAATCCAGGGAGCAACAACTTCTCCAATAGACATATCGAAGACATATGATGCAAACTGAAGCATTCTGATATCCGATGTCATGTGGAGCCTTTTGACGAGGGCAGTTTGGCTCGTGCAAAGAGCCCTGTGCTGGATAACAAAGCCTTTAGGGGTTCCAGTACTTCCAGAAGTGAAAAGAGCGTAACAAGCAGCGCTTGGAGATACTGGGCGTAGACTGTTGCTACCCGGTCTTCTCTCTCTCAGTATCTCTTCAAGAGCAGCGGAAACTTCAACGACATTGTCAACTAAATCAGCACAAAGGGTGGCGTTGCTTGGCGAGGCCAACGCAAGTTTTGCCTTTGTTTGCATTACAACCTGTTTCTGACGCTGGATAGGGTGAGAGGGGTCGAGAGGGATCCAAGCAGCCCCAGCTTTATTAATCGCCAAAACCGAGATATAGAACCAAGCCGATTTTTCGAAGCAGACATGAATAAAATCGCCCGACTGAACCGCATAATTATCAACAAGGTAGCATGATAACCTATTGGCAATAAGATTGAGCTGGTTATAGGTCAATGACATATCCCATGCACAAATAGCCATAGCATCTGGTCGCTTTGCAGCATGGTCTTCAATGACCTGATGAAGACATGAAGACACAATATCCGGCTCTTCGTTATTATATTCTATGGCGCGCTGCAGATCCCACTTGCTGGAGACTGTGACAGACTTCAGAGGGGCATCACCTTTTTCAAGAAGCTGCTGAGTAACATGCTCAAAATGGTGGCACAAAGCATCTAACTGGCCCTCAGACAAAACATCATTATAGTACGTGAACTCGAGTTCAATCGCATCGTCTCCAACACGAGTTTGAAGAACCAGCGGATAATTGAAATAGTTCCGCATGGCTTCCTCAGATATAGCCATTTCTTCTGCGCCTTGTCGGAGGATCGGGTTCAGGGAGGAGCAGGCTGCTGAAGAGAGGTGCTGCATTGGCTGGATAACCAGCAAATTAGCAAAATCACAAGCTTCTTTTGCACTCTGTCCAAGCTTAGAAATATTTTGCAATCCAAATTGTTCATGAGCAACCATTTTTGACGCGTGTGACTGAATGTTCTGGAGGAATTCGGACACTAGCATCTCCCGATTGATCTGAATGCGGATGGGCACTGTAGCGATCATTGGTCCTGGAATTTCGTTCAGGCCAGGCACAGGAGCCTGCCTGCCAGACAAGGTCATACCGAAGCAAACATCATCAGTGCCACAATACTGAGCAAGAACAAGAGCCCAGGTCGCGCGAATAATGGTTGCTGTCGTAATCGATGCCTTGGGGTTCTGGAACGGGATGGATTTCTTCATGACGCAATCCTGGGATTTTGCAGATATGGAAGAGGCTGGAAATTGGGATCGCTGTGAGCCTTCCAATTCTTTTCTCCAATACTCCCTAGAGCCATCAGAATCGAGCGACCCAATGTACCGAATAAAGTTTGAATATGGTGGCAGTGTCTCTATGCTGGAATCCGTGGTATGATAGGCTCTTTGCAGAGCATCGAGTACGATCTTCATACTCAGGCCATCGAAAACGGCGTGATGAATAATCCAAATAAAGTAGGTATCGCCGTTATCCTGATGCAACAAGGTGTTTCGACTGAGACGATCTCCATAACTCATAGGAATACTTCGAGTCTCGTTCAGATATGTATTCACATCGACATCGAAAACAGGAGCTTCCCAGGTCGTGTCGGTTGTTACTACGGCTTGCACCGCTTGCGAGTCAACCAAAGCTATCCTTGACCGTAGACTGCCACAATGCTTGAGGACCACGTCCCAAGAAGCCATGAAATTATCGATGTCAACATGTGGCAATAGCTTGTAAACTTGCCGATGAATGTAGGAGCCAGGCTGCTTGAGCCCTAAGGCCATAAATCCCTGTTGAAGCGTTGTGCAAGGGTAAATATCCTCAATTGTTTCGGCACTGAGGTTGCATTGCTTCTGTATTTCGGTCTTGATATCATCCACGCTTTCTTTCGGCATCAAGCTGAATGGCTCGGTGCTTTCTAGTTGCTCGGTATCGTCGATTGTCGCAACAGCAGCCATTCGTGCAAGCTCGGGATTCTCCACAATGTCTATCGGGGACAGACGAATCCCATGTCGATAAGCAGTTGTGGAGAGCTCGGTCGTTGTAAGGGAGTCGCCTCCAAGGAGGAAAAAATTATGCAGCCTGCCAATATCTTGGACACGAATCTGAAGCACATTATGGAGCACATCCGCCCAAAGAGCCCGCAAGACTAGCTCTAACTCCTTCTGTGGTGTTTCCTCGGGCGAGAGGCTTGCCGATGCCATCAACGCAGCTCTTTTGACGAGTTGATCCCGTCGATCTCTTGCCGACAAGGTCACTTTATTGGCATCTAGAAGGCCGCCTTCATCATAATGGCTGTAATTCCATGGGTATTGAGGTAACCCAGGGATTGCTTTACCAGTGAAGAGTGGGCCAAGATTCGAAATACCAGAATATTGCCAAAGTCGACCAACTGCTGATAGAAAGCTCACCACACAATCTTTCTCTCTAAATTGGGATGAAATATAGTTGCAAGGCACAGCGATAGCGGCACAAATCTGGGAAAGTGGACCAGAGAGGGTCGAGTGCGGCCCAATTTCCAGGAATAGGCCGTGCTTGGGAACGGTATCAAGAAGAGCCGTAACAGCAGATGAGAAACGAACAGGAGAGGTCAAGTTATTTACCCAGTATTTAGGGCCAAATTCTTCAGCAGCGTTGATCATTGTGTTGCTGACGCTCGACATAAAAATGGCCTTTCTCGCTGACTGCTCTGTCCGGAGAATCTCTTCGGTTTCTAGAAGCTGCAGAAGTTCGGTGGAGATCGATTCCATATGGTGTGAGTGAAATGATGTACCAACATGCAACTTTCGTGTTGTTACTTGTGGTCTGGACATCTTGATTGATGCCATAATCTCCTCCACAACGTTGCGGTCACCAGAGATGGTCGTGCTCAAAGGGCTGTTCTCACAGGCCACAACGGCGCCGTCACGCAAGAACGATTTGGTCTCCTCAGTGCTTAGACCAGTCACCGCCATAGCTCCATCGAAAGTGCTCATAGCGGCAGCGCTACCATAGTAATATGCCACGATAATTGCACCTTTCAAAGTAAGATAGCCTGCAGCGTAGGCTGCGGCAATCTCACCGCTTGAGTGACCAATGACAGCTTCTGGAGTAACTCCCAGCCGCTCAAACTGGTGTAGAAGTGCAATCTGCAAAGCGGTAGAGAGCGTACAAGCGATTTCCACAGAATTGATCTGACAAAGAGAGTCACTGGAGGGTCGCTGAATCTCCTCTTCGATCGTCCAAGAAGGAGGGGTTTTCAGCTGACGCAAGATATTGTCCATACTCTTGATATCGTCTCCAAATCCATCGAGCTGGAAGAGTTCTTTGCCCATGCCTGCCCACTGCGCTCCCTGACCACTGAACATCATCGTAATGGAAGGGGCCGCACCAGGGCATTTCGCGTTGTTCGTTGTGCTCAGGCATTCTCCGTCGACTCCGAGGATAGAGAATGCACGGTGATTGAGGGCTTCGCGACGCATAGCGCGAGTATAAGCAATATCAGAGACGAGCTCTGGGTGTGCCTTGGCGTAATCATGGTGAAGCTGAATCTGCTGGTTCAGAGATGTCACGTTGTTTGCAGAAAACAAGACAAGCTCTGGACGAGCATTATCCCTGTTTGTCGATGAATCACCGTTTCGATACGATTCGATGATAGCGTGAGCTCCATTATCATCATTTCCGAAATAGTTGATGCTAACTCTCTCAGCTCGACCAGATGGAAATGGGCGAGACTTTGCAAACACACTGAGCTTCTGGCTCTGAGATTGACCTGTTGGCTTATGTAAGCACTCGACCACCACAACTGGCAGCAGACGTTGCTCTTCCAGATTCGTACCGATTGATGCAGCTGGGACAGAAGGCAGGATCATTTGATGTTTCATCGAGGCCATCGCCTTGATCATACTGATGAGACCCGAAGCACTTTTTGAGTCGCCAATGACATGGTGAGAGGAGCAAATGGAGGCATCGCTCCCTCCAAAAACACGTTCCAGGGCTGAGAGCTCCATCTCGTTTCCAGCAAACTCGGCATCATGACACTGCATCTGTTAGCTTCGTGTTATCGCTTCTAGGATGAAAAGGGTATTGATTTTCTTGACAAGAGAAAACTCACCTCGATAATCGCAGTATCACGCGGATCCATCCCAGCAGCGTCATACGCCTCACGGATCAAGGTTTCGTACACACTCGCTCTAGAGTCCGCGGCTTTTCGAAACTCATGGCCGTGATATGCGCTGGTAGCACAGATGACGGCTTGGATTGGATTTCCATCACGAATTGCATCACTCACTGGCTTGATAAACACTGCCACCACCGCTTCTCTATCAAGTGCATCCATAGGGGTCTCCGTGGTGGTCATTAAATTGATACCCGCAACGAGAGCAGCTTTGGCATCGCCATTCCTAAGAGCGTTACACGCTTCATGAAGTGCTAGCAATGAGGCAGAGCCTTCCGCGTTCTCAATTGTTACGCTGAAACAGCATTGATAGTTAGCTGCCGCGTGTTGGTTTTGACGAGGATTGAGAGGCTAAGCTCGAGGCTTGGACTCTACTTACCTTGGTCCTTGAAGATCATATTTCTGGGATATATGGTCTGCGATTGAGGTATATTTGACTTCCTTTGCCTCAGATTCTTTTTGACTTGGCATTGCCACATAGCTCGCCACACACGCATCTTGTCCATGATAGCTGACCTCGCATGCATCTTCCAGACATTCGCGCGTCACTTCGAGCAGTTTCTGGCCATACGGTCCATAATCGGTTGGCCCCTCATCATTAGTCGTGAAGAAGGGCGCATCAGAGGAGTTGAGGCCTTCACTCAACCGGCCGCCGCGAATATCATACCCTTTATTCTGGGCTCCGGGTGCAGAAATCCGGGCATCCAGATGACTTGTCAATGAATCCCAAAATTCTTTGGTGCTGCGGATGCCACCAGAGAGCCGCATACCAACTCCGCAGATGGCGATTTGGAACTGATTTCCAATTCCATTTTGGTTCTTGGAGCTGTTGGCAGGGCCATTGACGCTACCTCCAGCTCCAGCTTCTTCGGTTATAGACTTGATTCCAGACATATTAAAGGTTGTAATTAGTACTTTGAAACAAATTAAATAAAAAAAAAAGTATAAATTCAACCGGAATCGCGATTATACGGATCAAGACGCTTGTTGAAGCAATCTGGTGGGAAGCTGGTGGGAAGTAAATGGTATAATAGGGAATCTCAATGCAGGGATTAACTATACAAAATCCTGCCCCTACTAATACTTAGTAGTAGTATTTTCTAAGTAGGACGAAGTCCAGCCAATGATAGTACCCTGTTCTTTAAGTCAGTCAATGTCTCACAGAGTTTTCATTCACTTACGTGTATGCAGCCGTGTTCGAGTGCCTGGGGAGGCCCTGGTTGACTTACCGCCATTGTCCCGCGCGTCAATCCCTTTGATGAACACTCGGTTGGGGATCTAAGACGAATCAAGCTGCATAGCCTTGATGGACATAGGTGATGCTTCATGCAAAGTCGAGACTGGTTAAACGGTGTGAGTACATGAATACATGGTCAAATGCCGATATACAACAATACATGTCAAGTCCTCAAAAATAAAATGAAACCTAGGATATGCGCAAACTGCTTAGAAGTATCATACAAAATACATACACCAAAACACCGCTTTTGTCGACTCTCTTCCGTGTCCCTTGAGAATACACCTAGTCAGGTGCGATTATACTCTTTCGGGGAGCAGGGCGAAACTCCGCTTACCCACGGGCTACAGCCAGCCTCACCGTAAAAAAAGAGAGCAAAACGTGGGACAATAGTGGGAACAGCAATTACTGCCCAACGTACAAATTAAAGGTAAAGATCCTATAGGCCAGAAAAGACGTGCCCCTGCGTAAATAGTGCGCCTCTCTCAGTCGCCACTTTGGCAACGTGCATCTCAGCAACCGGGTTGGTCAAATTCTAGCGATGCCGATCTACCTTGGACTGGACTCTGCCCTTTGAGAGTGCTGGTAAACCTAAATCTATACAGCATAGTAAATTATAGCGAAGAGTTTCAACTAGATGTTCTTTATGCACTCAATCAATACTCGTATAAGCCATCCGCCCAAGATGATGAACAACTAGACGGCTGTCATATTGGGCTGAGAAAAAGTCAACGCCCATGCAACACGTCTTTCATCAATTTTATGGAGCCTCCATCAGTATGGCGCAATTCAAAATAAAATGTCCAACAGCTGAAATGAGTTGCCAAGAGCTCTCCCTCCGCGCGATCGGTCTAGAGAACTCAGCTTGGCATGCACCCTTGCATATTCTCCTCTACATACCGAGTACACTTACAAGTAAATTACAACAGCAAAAGGGTGCGAAGTACAAGTATATACTTGTCTCCCACTGCTGCGGCCCAACCTTGCCTCGGAATACCCACGATAAGTGTTCTCATATACAGACAGAGCAGCGTCACCCGGACCTGGGCCTCCGTGTGTGAAAGATGACAGAAATGCGCTTATACTACTAAATACCTACGCCACTTCATACAGGTACTTACAATACTCAATACTTAGCGGCGATATAATAAGTTAGCCCGTTTAGCAATGTAACAATACAAGGCCTGTGTGATATACAGAGTTGCATATATTATATGATGATCATACTGTGATGTAGCCAAGAACACCATAGCTGCCGAGAGGGTAGTGATATTGGTCAACCTCTAACCATCGTCTATTGTATTGGATTTAGCTATATTATACGGAGTACATGTATGATGATAGCATTTCAGTATACAGGTAGCAAAGTAACTTATTTACCTGCAGAGTGTGAGGTACGAAGTAGCTCAAAGGTTCAGACGTACCGCAGCATGCCTTGCCCTCTAAAGAATGCCATTCGCGCATGAGTTACACTACCTACCAAGGGAGATTTACATCTAGCACCCCGTACAAGTACTCGTACAGTCTTTGCATGGTACATGTATTCCGTCTCCATTTCTAGTCACTTGGTTCAGAGGGTCGCTTGTCAATCTCAGATATCATTTTTGCTTAATCTTGCACGAGCTGTGAGACGGAGATGTCATCAATGGCCATCAATTGGCCGGCATTTACATTTGTCACAATTGTCTCGGAAATCGGATATGGATCGCCCATGTTCTGTCTCATACTGGGCTGCCAGCCCATCAATCAAACCACTCATGTCGAGTTACTTATGGCGCCCTCGCCAGAGATAATTGCGCATTGGTAAGCCGATCGGAATGTTAAATGAGCTCATGTGCCGGCCGATAGTCGATGTGACTCTGGTATTCACACTGAGAGGTGTCCAACGTTAGTCCGTTAGAGACCAGGATTATGATACATACTAGACTAGGGTGGTAAAAATAGGATGGCGTCAACGCGTTGCTTAAATCCAAATAAATGGGTAACTGTCACACAGCTCAGCCCCATTAGCGAGCACGATCAAAGATGTTGGCTATAGGGGTTGTCGCCCTGCATAAGGCTACATACCTAGGTGGTACCTGTATATTAGGCTCCATCAAATGCAGTATCCTAGTACTTCCAAGTACATGCAGGGATGCAGAATCAACTACATCCGTGTTTTCCTCGCTTAACTCTCGAGTCCTAACATTACTAAGTCTACGTCTTCAAAACTTACATCAGTTATATGGAGCAGAGTAGCAGCAGGCTGCGAGTATGCGGTGGTAACTTTTCATTTGTCGCGAAGTTACCAATTACAGGGCTTGAAACCGTGCAAGCTAAGTTTAAGGGCGGCATGTCTCAGCTTGGAGCCGCTTTTGTACTCGGATCAGCACCCGAACTTGAGACATGCAGTAGCGCAGCATTCATACGTGTCAAGCGTAATGAGTAAACCTTAGATACAATAGGGGATATAGGCAACAATGATGCGGTTGGACACCGACATTGGGTGGATCAGCTACCAGCCATCCATCAAGTGCAGACAAGTCAGCGTGGCGGCGAAGACCATAGCAACACTCCAGATTGTCTTGACGTAGCAGACTGGTGAATAGAACAAAGAATGAATATCATGAGGGCTACTTGGCTAATTACGAATATTGTGTCCCATTGAACGGAGAGCGTAGAAACAATTTCTTTCCCTTTGGTATGTGCAACTGTTGACAAAGGGTTATAAGCAAACTCGCCTAAACCTACCCTAGAACCCGTAACTGCTTTGGCTGGCCGTTTGCTTTGATGACTACAGTCCGAGCTTATGGGCATGATGTCTGTGCTCTGCGTCTCGCGAGTGTAGTGCATCTACATGTAGGTTGGTAGAATGGAATACCTGCATCTCACTACAGACATCAAATAAGTACTTTTGTCTTGTCGACCCTAACTGCTGATATTGGTCGCTCACGTTACAATAAACAGAATACAGGCCGTGACTGAGACAGCCGCAAAACACAGTCCAGAAGCCGGGTATGGACGTTATTAGTGTGCGAGACAAGAGGCAATTAATGTACTTGAAGTTTACACTTTAAGATGAACGTTTGCTACCTGCTCCAATTCTCAGACATGGCTATCCACCCACGGAGAACAATCCGCCCGGTATTTCTTCGATCGATGATTCTCAGCAATATTGGCGAGAATGAGACATAATAGATCGGTGTGACTTCCTCTAAGCATCAGCGCTGCTCGAGCGCATCATCGTTTCATCAAGTAGATGCAGTTGAAGCATTTCTCTTGCAAATCCGATATACGAGATACGTCTTGCTATGCGTCTGTTACTGAATGGACGCTGCTACACCACAGACAACAGTATGCACAGGCCATTCACGCGGTGGAACAGCCATTGTTCAACACACCTTTGTTCATAAAGGCTGGATGGGCTAAAATGCATTCTGGATTCTTCGAGAATGTCTTCGTATGTCAATCCTGTAGGCATCAAAGAACTGTTGGGGGTCATGCGACTTGGCTTAGTTGATTATCTTTGGCTATATCGAGTATACCAGTAAGAAGCCATCAGATCCGAGTTCTCGTCTCGTCATCTCTTTGGTCACTGGTATCGGCATTTCTCGAGACTCTACTTCTGGCGCTGACCATGACCTGGCGCTGGCCATGAGACAGAACGCATTTGCTATATGAAATGAACGGCTTTCTATTTGGACTGTTGGGAGAAGCGCTACAGTTATCGCAGTTGGAGAAAAGGAACACACCTCTATGAAAAGCAAGATGAGCGGTACGAAAGAAAATGTTGGTGTCTTTTGTGATCTAGGGTGCAACCAACCTTGTGCTATACCAGAGGAGAATATTCAATTTAAATATGTATCTTGTAAAAGAAATGCTATAAAATAAAGAGATCTAACATCATTTATAATCGCTATCCAATGAATGACTGTGCATCAGCTTTAAGCCCCTATAGGTTTTGGGGGTTTTGTATTTTTGAGTTGAATGGAATCATCAGAGTTTGAGGTGTATAATTTTCGATAGATTTAGGCCTTGGATTCGGGATTCGCAGGCTCATCGAATGTATGAAGGGAAACAGCCTTGGCTTCGTCTCGACCAAAAATGAACCCGGGATGTCCAATGCAGAGGCAGAAAGTAGCGACAACAATCAAGCTGAAGCGAATGTTAGTTCGTATGTAAACCATCGAGAGAAATAGAATATAATACTTACACTCCCTCGAGACCAATGAAGAGGCCTTGGTCTGTAATTAGGTTGGAGTGGACGTAACCTTTGCTCAGTTCGTAACAACGGTATATGCAACGTGTGAAGATAAGGAGGATCGCGCCACCAAGGAAGCCAAAAAAGAGGCGCATTCTTGTGTCCAAAGGCGATGAGGGTTTTTTGCGGACATAGCGAGCCAAGTAATCAACAAACAAAACGCTGAAGAAAAACAGGCCGCCGACCTGTAGCCCGAGACCTGCCATGGCAATGTCAACACCGGTTTGACTAGAGCCAGAGCTGACTGTGGACATGGCACCACCAGCAGCTTGGAGAATAAGGCAGATGACATCGAGAGGAATGAAGATCCAATAGAACAGTTCGGGCTTGATGCGTGAAACTTCGGGAGCTAGGAAGTTAATGCTGCTCAAGGTGTTAGCTGGTGGTCAACGATGGTTCGATCTTTGTAGACTCACGTCTTGGATAGAGTGATGTATATTCCGGCAGTGTAAAACACCGGGCCGATGGTAATGAGGACAATCTGGTCCATGAAGCCACCGAAAGAGAAGGGGTTGTTGTAGAGGACAAGGCGACCAGCATAGCCTCCAATCTCAACGATGCACCCGAAGATCATGAGGACCATGAAATTCCACTGGCGCCAACGAAAGCCGAGCACCGCATGGAGGGCGATGGAGATACCAAAGAGGGCTATGAAGACGGAGTTGGCGGCAATGGATGGCCGATACTTGTAGACACTCCATTCGACAGGGCAGACATCCAGAGTGCAATTTGCCTGAGGGCCGAACACAACATAACCACCCGGCGTACCTGGCAATCCATGAGGTGGTGTCGCCATGATGGATGGAATTGAAGTCGGAGTTTGATAGTTAACGAGGACGCTTTGGCACTGCAATAGATGACTCTGTAGGCGACACGAAAGGAGGTGGAAGGCAGTGACTCTTTATCTAGCTGTTTTCGCAATAGAGATGAAATGCTTCGAGAGAATGGGGCTTGGACGGAGGACGAGAAGATTGCCCAGAGTCTGTAGATGATTCAGGTCTCCTGTTGGAGAAGGATTTTGCCTAAATGTTGTGATAGCATCCAATATATATCTTAAACCGCGTCGCCCAGGCAGTCAGGGTTGACACGACATCAGACGGAGCAGCGGTGGAACAGGAGATAAATTCAATGCCAGAAATGGAAAATGGTATGTGCGGATGATGGGGCTGTGAACACTGGGCAGACTTTATTTAGATGCAAACGGAGCGTGATTCGATTACAAACTGTGGTCCAAAAATTCTTCTTGTGTTGGATCTGTCAAATATGAGCGAGTTATGCCGATGCTCCTGATCGGAGGGACGGAGTAACTTCGAAGGTCTAGAGCAGTGGCCTCGTAAGCTGCACAAGCTGCAAAATGCACATCAGTAAAGGAACAAACAACGTCGATTTACCATTCTGATTAGAAAATTTGATTAGTATGTCTACATACTCGATGCTCTCTTTCAACTTTCAAGCCATATTCCGCAATTGCCAAACCATTGGTGCAGTGAAGATTCGTGACATGAAGCTCCGTTCCATCGATATGGTACCTGGTATTAGATCAGATCTCCGGCCCACGATTTTGCTGCTAAACGGAATACGGGGCAATACGGGATTCAAAGCCTTTTGGCTTCAATTTTTTTTTTTCTGATGCCGAAGTGGGTCGAGCCAGTGATAAGAGGACTCGTATTTCCGTATATCTTTCTAGGCAGGCATTTTGGAAAACCGTTTCAGACCACGAAGAGACGCCACAAGCTTCAATATTTTGTCCATTCATGCTTGTAGTACGTGTCGTGCTGGGCGGGTGCCAATCTCTAATCTCTCGCATTAACGAAGCTGAATCTGGAATGATACCGCGAGGAAGATGGCGGTGCTGAATTCGGAATGATGCTGCGAAGAAAATGGCGATACTGAATTCGGAACGATGCTGCGAGGAAGATGCCTCCAGCACGGGAAATTACTTGCTGCATGACGGCGTGATTAGGTGCGGCTGAAAGGAAGACGCGCAATGCATATTCGCCATAGAGATTTCCCGGCCGTGCACACGATGGTCGTGGAGGGGCTAGTCATTTCGAATCCCGAATGGACTGATATCGTGCAAAGTGATCCTTCGCTGAACTTTATCCTTAAACTCGGATTGGCGCTTGTTGAAGGATCGGTGTTGCGTCTGATCTCAATCCAATATTGATGACTTGTGGTTGAAGGTCTCTGTGCTGGCTAGGTGCGGCCAGGCCAATGGTTCGGAGGTATCCGGTGAATCCGAATTACCAGGGCTCAATGCAATCGGCTCCTCTTGGGAGCGGCCATTGAACTTCGCAAACGGGACGCCGCGTTCTTTCATCTTGACAACCACCAACCTTTTAACCACAAGTCAGTCCTGCTTTTTGGAATAACCCTATCAGACTCAGCTTTTTGGATCTCAGCCTCACCACTGACGAATGCGTGTTGTAGAGCGTTGCTCTTATATATGTTGGCCGTTCGGAGTAGTCTGGTTTCCCGACATGGAGCGGGGCCCAACCATATATATTCGCGGCAGCCAATTGCTGACCCTTCCGCCATTGAGATCTAGCTACCTCAAGCCGAGGAATGGCGAGGTGCCTCATGAAGTACTATTCCAGTCCATCATCCTAGTGGTCGCGATGCCCCACAGGATTGCCAGCCTTATGCTCCCCGGCAATCTACATTCTCAACGTCTAACAGGGTCCGGGTTGTACGTACTATGAGGGAACGCGGAGATTGCGGGATCCTACGCGATATGCAAGATTCCATGTACCGATTCAGTTGCCACTTGTAAGTGACAGCCTGTCTTTTCGGAAAGACGCTACCAATGTGACAGATCTCTCGGCCGAAATGTGCCAACAACTGATCCACGACTCGATATACTCGTCCAGGCACATAACAGTTGCATGTGCGTTACCGTCTGAATATATAGATATGTTACGAATGTAACTGTACCCTTGTCCCTGCGACAATTATCCAGACAGAGGCGAGGTTCTTACAGCGGAGCCGCATGACGGCCAGCGTAGAGGCACCTGATCATGCAGGTAGAGGGAGAACTATGCCTGGGTTTTGAGGCTAAATCCATCAACATGCTCAGATGAAACCTGGTGGGTTGTTGTCGTTGCATTGCACCTAAGCCTCGGAGACGCATACTACCTACCACTTTGACACAACTGCAGGAAGAAGTTCTAAACCGGTGTTGACGCTCCAACGGATTTCAATTTCCCATAATTGGGTATGTTTAGAAATCACCATACGGCATCGGATGATAATACTGTCTAAGGAATACTGGCATCTGTGACGCCATTGCTGCATATATCCATCGGCAGGCATGTGATGCTATTCGGCAAAAATATCTCGCCATTTTTTGCCCTTTTATCTCTGTGACTAAACATTGATTTGTGATTAATGATCACCGAATTTGTGTGGTGTGGCAGCTGAGCGTTGAACTGCTCTTTGGGGTTCAAGGAGCCGTTTGTTCATCTTCCACTAACTGACGAGCTTTATGAATCGGCATTTTCAGCGATTTGAAAAGGTGGTGTTGAGCATCATTCTGTCATTCAATGAATGGCCAACGGTACGGAGTGGATGAACCAGCCAAGGAGATGCCGGAGCAATGTCGGGAACAGGGACATTGTCCGCCTGATGCTCGTCTGATGCTTTCTCGATGTTTCCAAGAACATAGCTGAGAGGGACTCGTAAAGTGCTAGCTCTTCCGCTCTTAGTGGTGGCGAGCTCCAATCAAGGGGCAACTCTAGCGCCTGGCTGAATCAGTGCCGAAAATGGGCCTCGGCTCGGCACCCGGCTTCAATCTGTCCTGGAGGAGTCCTTTCCCGCTCTCTATTAATAAGAACAGAAGAAAAACTGTGCTAGAGTTGTCCGTGTCCAATTAGAAACACCTGACTGAGCTGTTTGGGCTAATGCATGAGATCATCTGTTTCGAGAAGCGGAGTTTCGTCATAGAATTTTGTGTCTGTGTCCACAGTCTCCCTGTGGCCTGTTTGTACAACCTATGTCCCGATTATAAGGTTACAAAGCTCATGCTTACATCTTGGTGTCGTTGAAGACAGCCTTTTATGTTTATATTGACACTGCAACAACAATAGCCTGTTACAATAACCCATTCAAGACAGGTTCTTGTACAGCATTGACATACTCTGAAACACTATCAACTCGATCAACATAAAGTTGCTGCATACTTAGCCCAAGTTAATTCTGGGATTACCAATCAGGTCAGCGCCAGCAGATCGGACACTAGCGAGTCAAAACAGAAGCCACGAAAAGCCGCAAAGCGGCGCAAGCGGGAATTTGACTGAATCTGTATCTTCACCGAGACTATCTTTTTGCGAGGGTTGCATGTACTTCATGTTGTCATACCAAGTGGTCGATGTCCGAGGATCTGCGGAGTGTCGTACCTATACGTGCATTGTACATTTGTCTTTTTTTCTTTCTCTCCTTTTCTTGATGTGCTGTGCTAGTGATAGTCCCGGGCCTGAATCTCCCCTTGCGGCTCAAATCCATCTCAACCCATGTCTTTGCGACTACCGCTCTCGACACCGAAAACCTCGGTATCTCGCCTCTCCCCCATAATTATGCAAAGACGGGATTTAGTGACCCTGCAGCCGGGCTCTTTTCTGAAAGAAGGACTCGGCCGGCCGGCCGAAAGACACAGGTGCACCGCTCGGAGCTGCACTCGACGGCGAGGGCGAACTCCGCACCGGAGGAATATCCCCATTGCGAAATGGCGGGCCTAGTGGCTTTGTGGGGAGCCGCTGGTTACGGGTTTTTTCTGTTGCATCGCTGCGGTTTGTTTGGTTCCCCTTGCTTTGACGTTTCGATAGAGCCAATGCAGGAGTTTCCATCCCTGCGGGCCACGTCCGAGGCCATCGACAGGAGTTTGAATTCAAATTGCTAAGCACAGCGGACAAGTGCTGTACTATGTACGACACCACGCAATGCGGGTCTCCGTGGACTGTCGGACTCTCCATGTTGCTGTTTCAGACGCTGAATCCCTAGTTCAATGGAGCAAACAACCGCTTTGAGGCCGTCGCCGCCGCCGCTGTCGATACTTACTAAATGCTAGCTGGAGCGCCGGCCACGCTTAGACCAGAGATGCGAGTATAAAGATAGCTGTGCGCGCCAGATTTGCTTCGAGTCTTGAATTCCCAAGCTAGATCATCCCATCTCTGCTAGTGCATCACCCTTTGCCTCCTACGACATCTTTCACCTTCACTCTTCATCATGGCTGTCAACAACCTGTCTATTGTTCTCGCCGAGCGGCCCACCGGTGATATCATTCCCGGCACCACCTTCAACCAGAAGATCACTCCTGCTCCCACTTCGGCTGACATCAAGGATGGAGAGGTTCTCGTCGAGGCTCTTTACCTCTCTCTCGACCCGGCCATGCGAGGCTGGCTGAATGGTAATTCTCCATTGTCCTTTCGCATGCCTTGTCAATCTAATAAACCATTTTCTAGATGTCCGATCTTATGTTCCCCCTGTCCAGATTGGCGAGACCATGCGTGGTGCTTCCGTCTGCCGTGTTCTTGCTTCCAAGAGCAAGCAGGCCACCGTTGGCGATTATGTTTGCGGCTTCACTGGCTGGACTCAGTATGCGGTCCTCCGTGAGGGTGCTTTTGAGCCCTCTTCCAACTACCCCGGCTTGAGGGAGCCCAAGGATATGCTCTCCGTCCTCGGCATGACTGGCCTCACTGCTTGGGTCGGTATGACCAAGATCGGAGAGCCCAAGGCTGGTGAGACCGTTGTCGTTTCTGGTGCCGCTGGTGCTACAGGCAGCATTGCCGGCCAAATCGCCAAGATCAACGGCGCCCGTGTCATTGGTATCGCTGGCAACGATGAGAAGTGCAAGTGGTTGGTTGAGGAGCTCGGCTTCGACGTTGCCCTCAACTACAAGGATGCCGACTTCAAGGAGAAGTTCAAGGAGGCCACCCCCAAGTACATTGACGTCTACTTTGACAATGGTAAGCAAATCCGTTACCGTGCTTGATATAGCCCCTCGCTAACCAATGCCTATTCAGTTGGTGGTGACATCCTCAACATGTGCCTTGCCCGCGCCAAGGAGCACGCCCGCTTCGTCATGTGCGGTGGCATCAGCCAGTACAACAGCACCAATCCTGAGGGCCCCAGCAACATCTCCAGGGTCATCACCATGCGCATCAAGATGCAGGGTTTCATCGTCTTTGACCACATCAAGGACTACGGCAAGGCCCGCCAGGAGCTTTCCCAGTGGATTTCCGAGGGCAAGATCAAGAAGACTGAGCACATCCTCCCCGGTGGCCTCCAGGTCGCTGAGCAGGGACTGGTTGACCTGTACAAGGGCTCCAACACCGGAAAGCTGCTGGTCGAGGTCAAGAACCCCAACGAGACTCCCTCCAAATTGTAAAATGTTGCACAAAAAGATGAAGAAAGAAAAATACCCCAAAGTTAATGAGTTCAACAATGTTGAACAGAAATGTATATAGTTTTGTATGACCTAGACGCATTGGCAGGCAGCGAATGATATTTCTATTTCTGCTTATTTTGGTCTCTATTTGCATTCTTAAGTAAAACGGTTAGCATTTCACTTACTAACTAATCAAAATGACATAGAATGACTTCTCCATTTCCCCATCTGTTGAGTAGCCTAACCATGATCTCTCCGGCACTCGCAGACAAGCTTCACGGCATGGGTTTAAAAGAGCTCAGTTCTGGCTCAGCTCCACAGTGCCCGGTTCTAACCGATGCATTCCCCCTCCAACCACCAATTAACGATCATGAACAACATCCCTAGCTCTTTTTTTGCAATTTAGCTTAGCTATACCATTTCGTTATCGTACCGTTAATCGGACACTAAGCTCTCTTCGTCTGGGAGCTCTTTTTTTCTAATTGCGTCAAATTCAAGATTTTTCTTCTTTTTATCGTTGGTATTGTGGTTGATTGATCTCAGTCTGCCTTGCATCATCGACTCCAAGCTCATAAACTAGCCAGCTCGCTTGCTGTTCAGCCATGGACGACGCTGTGCCGAATCGAAACCCATCTGACAAGGATGATGCCGTAGCTATGGTAGGCGAGGTGCGACATAGCATTGATCCTGTCGTGGAAGCAAGGGCCATCAGGAAGATAGACTGGTTTTTGATCCCAGCAATGATATGCGGATGTCAGTTTTCCCCTCATTTTTACAACTCACAGCCCGGTTGAGGCGGTTGAATATAAGGAAGGGAACAAAGTGGAGTGATACTGACATGATTTTGTGTCTATAGATGGCCTTGTCTACTACGACAAAGCTATCCTTGGTTCTGCTGCCCTCTTTGGCATGACTGCAGATCTCAAGCTGAGTGTTGTTGACAACTCGACCGTGCCTCCAACTGTCGACACCAGGCGCCTCAGTTGGGCAACCTCTCTCTTCTACTTTGGCATGCTGGGAGGCCTGTACCCCATGACATTTGCGCTCCAGCGCTTTGACATGGGTAGAATCCTTGGAGCTGTTGTCATTCTTTGGTCTGCTATCTGCATGCTCACTGCAGCGGTAACATCCTGGCAGGGCCTCTTTGTTCAGCGCTTCTTCCTAGGCTTTGTGGAGAGCATCATCCCGACGGGCTTCATGTGCATTGTTTCAGGATATTACACTCAATCTGAACAGTCACTCCGGCAAAGTTGGTGGTTCAGCAGCACTGGGCTATTCACCATCATTGGCGGAGCGTTGAACTATGGCTTTGCTCAGATTACAGGTGGAGGACTGAAGAGGTGGCAGTACATATATCTGTTTGGCGGCTCACTCACATTCATCTTTGGCCTCTTTTGCTTTGCGTTACCGAATTCGCCAGTTTCAGCTTGGTTCCTGTCTAACGAAGAGCGATTTGCAGCGGTCGAGAGACTCCGCTATGGACAAACTGGAGTGCGGTGCACAAAGTTCAAGTCATCTCAACTGAAAGAGGCCGTTTTGGATATTAAAGTCTGGCTAATCTTTGTGATGATGGCATCTGCATACACAGTCAACGGTGCAGTGAGCGGCTTTGGACCTCTCATCGTATCGACATTCGGCTGGAACACCCTCCAATCGATCCTCTTCCAGTTCCCTCTTGGCGGCTTATGTTTCATTGTCATTTTAGCGACCGGCTACATTGGCTCGAAAGTCAAAAATATTCGTATCTTTATGCTCATTTTTACCTGCTTGCCTGTCATTGCTGGCTGTGCCATCATCTGGAAAAGCACCTGGAGCCATCATGCTGCCGCTCCTATCGTAGGATATTCCATCACAGGTTTCTTCGGCGGCACAGTCAGTCTCATCATCACGATTGGAATGGCCAACGTGGCGGGCCATACGAAGAAGAGTTTCATGGCCGCGACAATTTTTGTTGCTTACTGCGTTGGAAACATTGTTGGCCCGCAACTGATATGGTCACAAACCAAGAGCCGTCACTATCCTGCCTTATGGCTTGGTCTGATAATATGGTATGACGATCCAACTGATGAAATGGCGGTGCTCATCAAGCAAGTGGCTAACTTTCTGAGTACAGTTATATCATTTGCATCGTTGCATCGACCATGCTGTACTTTGTCCTACGGGCTGAAAACAAAAAAAAGATGGCCTTGCTGGAAGATGAAGCTGAGCGAGCAAAGCTTGCATTTCAAGACCTCACGGACAAGGAGAACCCTTACTTCCGCTACGTTTACTAAGACAGAAAGAGTTCGCGCTTGGAGTATATATTACGCCGCCTCTCTGATAGAAATGATACCCGATGACCAGCTTTGTTCTCATTGGTTGCAAATACTCTGCTGATATTGATAATGCTATACATGATCTAGCTATATACGTGTTTTATCTACATGCTCCTATTGCCAATCCCATACAGTAAAATCCATCCAATCGTTAAGTCCATGCATCGCATCAACGGGTATTCAGCTCTCTACTTATGTCCAACAATGCTCAAAATACTCGAGTAATGCTTGGTCCCACCCATTCCACCACATCGCATTTTTTCTCCTTGCGAAACTTGTCAAGTCTATCCTTGAGCCAGCCAGACTTGAAATCTACCCACTTGTCGTCTTTCTGTTCTGGTTGTCGTGCTTCTCCATATCTAAACGACCGAGCAAGAACACACTCCTTTTCGTCTCTTCCTCTCCAATTCCACTGAACACAACTCTCGTCTTTTTTGCACGCCTCCTCGCACTTCTCGAACGAGTCAATCCCTTCACCCGGGCCGGACTTGGAGGCGTCCCAGTCACCGTTATCCCAGTTTTCTAAAATGCCTGATGTGCCAGGTTGGTGGAAGTTCCAATAGTCAGCGTATAGCAATGGGCGCTAAAAACAAATGTTAGATGTTAACCTTGAAAAATTGGACAAGGGAAAAGTCCTCAACATACATTTTGCTTCCTTTGCCCAAACTCCCATTTCCAGACTTCAACCATGTCCTTTGGCAATGTCTTGTGCAGCGTCATTATAGGCTGACACCAATAACGATCGCTGAATGGAATCCCGTGCAGCGGGTGAGGATTGAACATGGGCCAATAACCTTGCAAAGCCACACCGTTGTTCCACAGAGTCCAGCCAACAACACTATCGCCGCAACACTCGTCCTTGATCAGGGGTAGCCATTCTTCACTGACGGACGGTCCACTGTATTGACCATGTGGCGACACTTCACGGTGTATAAGCGCCTTGACCGCTGCGCGGCTGAGGGCAAAGCCCGGGCCACCGTTGGCAAACCACGTTTTGAGATCGTTGCGATTGCTATCATGGCGTCCAGGCGATGGAGAGCCCATGTATACCGGGGTATCAGGATCGAAGGTTGAGAGGAATCGATATACCGTATCCCAAACGACATATCTGCAAAAGAGTGTGGTTAGCGTCTCCAACTCCGGCATTATAGTTTCTGAACATGGACATCTACGTACGTATCGGTTTCGTAGAAGAAGTAAAATGGTCTATCTGGTCGCAACAGCCAAGCACGCTCTATCTGAGGCAGAAACTTGTACCTGTCAATGATCCAGCCATTGACGCGCTTCGTTGCCTCCTTATCCATGTCCAGCGTGCCATTCCGCCTCAATTCCTTCTGCAAAAGGTAATTCCCAATATCTGGGTTATATTCTTGATCGTAGTACTTGGACGGAAGGTTCGCAAGGATGTCGATTGCAGTGTGGTTGCGGATGCGCTCATCAAGATCGGAGAAGATGAGTAGCTCGTCGGGAGTGAAGCACGCGCTGACGCTGTCTAGCTGGGCTTCGAGCTTTGTGCGATCCTCGCCATGGCCCATTTTGAGCACAGGCTGGATGAGGCTGAGCAGGTGCTTGGGGAACGTTGCGCAAAGATCTTCAGTCGATTTGTTGGTTGGATCGAGAGACACGGGTTCGTAGTCGCTGACTGTCTCGTATGGATAGTAGCCGTCCGGCTCGCTAAAGCCCATTGGCGGCAACGCTGGCAAGGCATCATGCTGTCGACGCCAGAGAAGCCCGAAAACGACGAGGAAGAAGACGGTGACGCCAATGAAGATGCGGATCAGGCGTTTGTTCAAGAGGAAGAGCCCGATATGCTGCGTCTCCGCAGGCTTGGGGAAGAGCGCCATTGCTGTCTGTACATGGCCTTGGGCCTTGCACAGAACCAAAGCCAGAAACCAAAGCGAAGACGCGACAACTAAGCTAAAGTCGAAACTCGAATGCCCTACTTCGTATTTCGCGATCCCTTTTCCCCTTCACAGCCACAGTGAGGACTAGGATGCCGATTTTTTGGCGGATGTCCGCTGGTGAGGCAGCTTACTATGCCTAGATGGGGTGTGGCCGTTTGAACCTGGTACATGCAAACGTTCTGAGAGGAGTATGAATTAGCAGGTATCGGATACCTGTCAATAGAGTGGCGCTCGGGATAATTTAATGTTGATAGCCTAACTTTCTCTGGAGGAAGCATTCCTCCAGCCCAAGGGCAAGCCCCTTTCGGTGTTGTTAAGTTCTTAGACCTCAATTGACGAGAATGGTTTATTAGGCAATACATAATTATTAGCATTGAGTCGATTGCTAGTTGCACTTGTTGTTGGCAATACCATTTGATCAATACGAAAACGTCCCTGCGGGTCCGCGGCTCAGACATTCAGCCATAGCGTGTGTAGTGGATGAGGCATCTCCTTCAACATGTATCATGTAAGCATGTGCTGGTTACAGTGAATATCACGGCGCATATGCTCCTATTATAAAAGATCATGTGTGGATTCTATCTGGTAAGTAGCTTGACTGAAAAATATGCTAATGACGAAATGGCCAACCTCACGGCAGAAGGCCCTTGTCGCGTTGTGGGAAGGGATTTCGCAGGCCAGATGGAGGCCTGTGCCTGAGATTCTGCACAAAGAGACGCCCAGCTCCCATCTCCAAGAACATACATTATCATGATCAACTTAGCTTACGGGATCTTTCAGCTACAAATATGTGCTTCTCTGGCTCAACAATTTCACCAATCGTGAACACGGCTGCCTCATGCGTTTTGAACAGATTGTACGGAGAAGTGCCAACAGCCGTAGGGTCCCACTTCAACTATAGTCCATGGCCGGCCACCGCAGAATGTGTTTTTTCTTTCACAGCTTCCTTCGGTAGATGAAAGCAGCGCAAAAATTACATGCAATAAAGCTATTTCACTTGGAGTCATTGTCCTGAGAAAGATGGAGACTGGAAAGAAGCCGAGGTACGTCTAGAACTTGTTCCCATCAGAGCCGCGCATAATTCCATCTTCCTGGTCGAAACTCCGCACCACGTTCTGCTTCTAACCACCAACAGGTTTAGCCAACGTTATCACTCATTCGGTCGGAAACAATTCCGATATTACGAGTATACGCTGCATCCAGCGGTGCTATTTACTAACGGATCAGATAACTTTAATACTTTTTGACGTGACCCACGAGCCATATGGAGCAAGATCGGTTGGCCATCCCGGTCCCAGCAAAAGTCTTCTTCTCATCCTGGCTTCCTTCGGATATACATGCCGCTAATGGAAGCTATTGGATCAAGTTGGTCAGTGCCAGGCGCCCAACACGAAGTTTGCTCCCTATCCGTCAAGCTAGAACACCATCCTTAGCTGACCTTGCGCTCGGTGCCTCCAGACTCCCCGACTAGAGAACCATTGCACCGAGTCTAGTCATCGAAGAAACGAGTTTTTTTGCTACTTTCCTCGGCCTCCGTGCGCCACATGCCAAGGTTGCTATCAGTTCCATTAAACAATAGTTCCAGACGAGGCCTCAAGGGGAGCCTTAAGTTGTCTCTGACCTATAAATATGGCCAACCATGCTTTCGACTTCAGCAGTGTGTCGTTGATGTTACACAACTTCTCAGAAACAGCAAGCTTTTAGCCTTTCAAGAACTCATCATGGTTCAAGTGGTCCTTCCAGCACTTATTCCAGACATCCCCAAGGTCTATGATGTCTACTTCAACGCCTTTCAGAACGACCAAATGGGGAAGATTATGCTCGAGATTCTCTTTCCTGGAGTGATCGACGATGAGTTCAAAAAAGCACACGCTGCCGGAACATTGGCCTACTGGCATACCAGCGGGTCTCAATACACCTTCAAATGTGTCGATACGAGCACTGGAGAGATTATTGGCATGGCCCTCGGCGATGTTTACCTATCAGAACGAACAGAGGAAGAGCGGAGAAACCATGGGGTACCCTGGCTCGCGGGAGAGCAACGAGAGAGGGCTGAGAAGATTCTGAACCCATTATGGGAGGTGAGAGAAAGACTTTTTGGAGGCAAGCGCTATATCTGTAAGTCAATCAATCCCTTGCTAGATCCACCTTTTCAGCCTCAGCTGCCGCGATGTTGCATGCCAAGCCACACGACTTCCCACTAATTCATCCCGTCTTTTGCTAGATTGTCATGTTATAGGCATCGACCCGAGGCATCAAGGACGCAAGGCCGGCGCATTGCTTGTACAATGGGGCCTCGACTTGGGTGAGAGAGCGGGTCTGCCCGTCTATTTCGAGTCTTCTCCTTCAACAGTTGGATTGTATAAGAAGATGGGCTTTGAACTACTGGACGAAAAGATTATACACAAGGCTGAAGTTTTGGGGACGGAGGAAGACATCGATGTTCCTCTCATGATTAAGATGCCATCTCTTGCTGGAGGAATGAGCTTTGCGGAGTGGAAATCCAAGGGCTACCCTGAGTTTGGAGGCTCGGATCTTGCACCTAAACTAGCATAGACGGTGGGCAGCGGTCTGGATTTTATGACATTAATAATTCGTCTTTTCGCGGTTGGGGGGCGTATGTACATGTACTCTAGCATGTGAATTTACTCTACGTTACTCCATTTGACTCTAGAAATGGCAATAAACCACTGTATCTACTAACAATAGTACAAGGTTATCAGCTGCCAAGTACAGGTAGGTGCATGGATGCGCGATTATCAGATCATCAGATAAATTTTCTTGGCCCACACTGATCAAAAACATCCCTGAAACCACATCTGCTAGCGTTAGACCGGCAGCCTTGGCATGCCCGAGCTTCTCCAAGTTATGGCCTTAAGCAAGAATATTCGCATGTGCTTCGAGGAGCTCCGAGTCGGATTCGGACAATGTCGGTCGGAGAACGCGATGCGAACTTTCGGCATTTTCACCCCTATCGCTCGCCTCGAGGTTGTATGAAGACCACGGTAGCGCTGAAATCTTTTGCCATCTTGTCTTTCGAATCGAGATTGAAAAGATACAAGAGAGATATCTCTTTCTGAGGCCAAAATGCTGGAGAAGACAAGGCTTTATACCAAGATTGTGGGTTATACCCTCTTCGTTCTCTGGGCAGAGCTGCGACTTGCTCTCCGAGCGGCCATCGTGCGACGACAAGCCTCTTGGTTTGGGTCCTCAGGAGCGGAAGAAAGAACTCGCAATATTGTTATTGTCGGAGCTTCGTTTGCAGGCTACCGTGTGGCCCAAATTATTGCGAAAAACCTGCCTCCACGAAGCCCTTATCGCGTCGTCATCATCGAGCCGAACAGTCATTTTCAGTTCACTTGGGTGCTTCCTAGATTTTGTGTTGTTCAGGGCCATGAGCACAAGGCTTTCATTCCCTATGGCGGATATTTGACAGGAACCACAGAGGGTTCTTACCGCTGGTTGAAGGACAGGGCCACCGACATTGACCAGACAACTGTGAAGCTACAGGATAGCGGCGAGATAATACCATACGAATTCCTCATCATTGCTACAGGGTCGGGAGTCAAGGATGGCCTTCCATCTCGAGTCAATGCTACAGACAAGCTGGAGGGAATGAAGCTCCTGCAGGGGATGCAGAAAGGAATCGAATCCGCCAAGACAGTCGTCGTCGTTGGAGGAGGCGCCGCTGGAGTCGAAGTCGCTACAGATGCGAAGGCCCTTTATCCCGAGAAGCATATCATCCTGGTTCACTCGCGACCTGCAGTAATGCATCGTTTCGGAAAGGGCCTTCAAGAAGCTGCGCGCGAGGGGCTTGAAAAACTTGGCGTGGAACTTGTTCTTGAAGACCGTGTTGTGGATGAAGATGCAGCTTCGGGGGTAGTCACGCTCAAGTCTGGCCGAAAGATCACTTGCGATTTCTTTGTATGCTTACCTGGTATGTTCAAATTACTTCTATTATTTAAACTAATGACTTGCGGTAGATGAACTGCGCCGGACAAAGGCCACTCTCCGACGTGATTGCCAATCTTTCTCCCAGCTCCATCTCGTCCACCAGACACATCAAAGTCAAATCCACCCTCCAAATAGCCGACGATTCTCTACCAAACGTCTACACTTGCGGCGATGTTGCCGAGACCAACACTCCGAATCCAAACTCTCGATCAGCGATGCGCCAAGCAACCGTTGTGGCGGAAAATGTTCTTCTTGCGGCTGCGGGCAAAAAGCCTCGCTACACCTACGAGAACTACTGGGCAGACGGCGTCATTAAGCTGACCCTGGGACTGGTATACTGCCTTTCCAAAGCCACCTCCTAGTTCTCTCCGACTTGCTAACAATTTCTTTTTCACAGGATCGATCGGTGACGCACCTTGGAGATGGAAATTCCGAACTACTCTTTCCAGGCAAGGAAACAGACGAGGCTCTCATGTCTGCCATGTGTTGGTCGCGCATGGGAGAGACGCCATTCAAAGATAAATACATGGATGCCCACGCGGCCGAGATTGAAGCTGATAACAGCAAAGTATAATATACCAAGTCTAATAACGAGTCGATCATACCATTGGGGTGCATTTCATATGTCCTGTAACGCAGTAGTAACGAAAGTACGGAGTTTTATCAATTATTTCACAGCAAATTATTGAAATACAGTCTTCATTGCTATGATGACGAAAATAAATACATCATAGACGCCTTTGTGAAATAGTTATCTCTCTTCCTAGTGAAGCTTGGCGGCCCAAACGTCCATAGTCCACGACCTCTTCACTTCCAGAGTCTCCAAAACGCCAAGAACACCATCTCTCGCCGATCGCAAAAGCGCCCTGACTTTCGGATCTTCAACCTTCTTCTCAATTTCCTTCAAGAAGTTGGGACTCTTGACAGTTCCCGTCTCCCAGTGGCCATCCAAGAGTCCCTCCTCTGGCACCACGATTGTCTCTTCATCAAGAACCCAGCCATTCTCCTTGGTCGCATCAGCGATAGCACCAGGGCTGGAAAGACAGCGAATGTTGGCTGCGCTGTTTTTATTGTGTGCCTCGAGCGTGGCTCGGGCCACTGAAGCAAGGACATGCGGCAGAGCATTCTTCTGAGTCGCCTTTAGAGCATATTCCGCAATGAGAAGAGACTTGGCTCGTCCCCTCAGGGCGCCCAACATCTTGGTGAGCGTCGCAGGCGAATCAAAGTACCAGATACAGTGGGCGAATACAACGTAATCCCACGACTTGTCGGCATTCTCCACTAGGTAGTCGATGGGGTCGGCAAAGTTCCACGAGATACGATCACCAATTGGACCGGCCGAGAGGTGCTCCTGCGCTTGAGCAAGTGTCCAGGGGGATCCGTAGCTTGGTGGACCAGGGTCTACAGCATCAACATGGCCAGTGGGCCCAACGGCTTCGGCCAATACCGCAGTCGTGGTGCCCTGGCCGCATCCGATCTCAAGGACGCGGCCGCCCGGGGCGATTTGCCAGAAGTTGACGAGGTTGACGCGGTGTTGTGCCTGGCTAATCTCCAGATCCAAAAAGCCTGGGACATCTGGCGAGAAGATGTGGTATTTTGCAATTGTAGCCGCAGCCGAGGCTGGCATGGGCTCAAAAGAAGCGGAGGAAGACATTTTCGGATGGTGTTTCGATTGTTTCGATGGAGAGCCTTCTGCTGGACTGAGCCTTCATCTTCCTCTATTATATCTCCATCAATCTTCTGTTCCAGTCTCTCCTTCGTATCGATATTTTCGTTGAATAGTGTTGAATTGCCTCAACATGCTTCCCCTATTCCCCTCTTACAAATGATCACTCTTGTGAGTCATGGTCATCAAATTCTCATACCCACATAAGGCCGTTTAGCATACCCCGCGCTATCTCTCGATCTCGGAAACCCACCTCAAGCTAGTTTTGGTTCACAATTCGTCATCCCTTTTGCCAAAATGGGCTAAATTTTACAAAAGAACTGCTGACGGGAGTCAAAGTGCCCAGCGCGACCTTTGACTCACAGACCCCTACTTCATACATACACGATATGAGATCATTCTGAAAAGACGCACAAAGTTCCCGCTTGAAAAACTGAAGGGGAAATGGTGGCTGATGAGCCAGGCCCGTTATGGCAGGACATAAGCAAAAGGGGATTGATTGCAAAAATGAATCATTTCTGAGCTGGTGGACCGCCTCATCGAAGAGTCATTCTCGACAAATTAATGGCTATCCATCTCTTGTCAACGCATAGATATGCGCTTGATAGCAGAATCAGCGATTCTTGGCGCGCGCTTACCATGTCGAATTGCCGAGTTTTTCGAGGTTTGTTCAGCATTAGGTGATGCATCCCTTGAAATCTGTATGGTCTGCATGCGTACATCATAGAACACACAACGAAGATATCTGAAGATATCCTTGTAAAATGCCTCTTCAATCCACAAGTGAAAGATTTCTTCAAGCACTTTGTGTTGTCGGAAATCCGTATCACGCAATCTCGAAATTCCAACGCTGTCACATTGAAGTGACTCCCATCAGCTCCAGCCTCCTGTCAACTAAACAGACCCAAAAATAATTGCGCGATTGCCTCAGGTACTTCTAAAAGGTAGTCTGAAGCTTGGGATAGTCCTCCGCATGAACCTTCAAGTCTGCATAGATGGCCGCAGAGTGATCTCCCGATAGCTGGTGCATTCGTTTCAAGTCTTTCTCTTCTAGTTCTTCCATCTCCTCAAGAGGCTCCTCTTTGTGTGCTCTATCATCGTCTTCTTGGAGCTCCAGCGCTCTCTTGAATCCTGATGATTCTCCAATAAGCAGAACTTGGGCATTATCGTAATCGAGGTGATTTGGTTGAGATGGAATCCATCTCAAGTCTCGGAACTCCTCAAGGATCCTGCAAAGGCAGATTAGCATTCATTCGTTGTCGGACATTAAAACGGCTGACACCTACTTCTTTGGATACGCTGGGTCTTTGGGCAGGCGGGCAGAAGCCGGTGATGGATACTTTGGATTCTTGGTGCTGATGATGAAACTCCCTCGTTCTTTCACTCCAAGATCTTTCTGTACCTCGCCGAGCTTCTCTGGGATGGTAATCATGTACACAAGATGGCTTGCGCGTCCAGTGGTTGTTATGGCGTAGACACCCTCACCTATCGGGGTAGCTGCCGGAGTGTGTCTGGTGCCTTTCGTCTTGGTCTCGTACTCCTCACCAGCGAGAAATTGGCCTTTGATTTCATCATATGATGCTCCAGACTTCTCCACAAACGCCATGAAACGCTCCCTGCCATTTGCCGGAAGCACTTTCTTTGGCAGAATGAGAATTCTGGAATTTCCAGCATCCGTAAGTGGCCCTTCGCTCAGCTTTGCGTCTTGCGGAATCGGCCTCAGAATAATAAAGGTGCGCGCAATGTCGCCTACTTCCTCTGGTTTGTCGACATCCACGCGTCCTCTCATGAAGAAATATATGATACCCTTTTCAAGAATGCTTGATGGAATGTCTGTGTCTGCTTTGGTTGCATCAGTTGTGCCATTTTCAGATTTTATCTCGGTCTTGGAATCCTCTGATTCTTGCTTCACGTCTTGGCGAGTGCTTTGCTTTTCGTCTCTGATATCTTCATTGGCTTCGTCGAGAGACGTCTCTGTTTTGATCTTGGTCCGCTTCGCGTCTGGAGTTTCTACCTCAGTTTTGTGCTTGTCGCCGGTGGAAGCTTTCTGATTTTGGTCCAGATCTGTAGATTCGTCTGCCATTTCGGACTGATTCCAGCGAGTTTCGGATGCTTGAAGATTTCAGGTGATGAAAAGGTTTAGCTACGCAACAATTAAGTAATTGCCGGAAGCTGTCTAGAAATATGACAGGCATTCGGCATGTGATGTCATCCATCTGTCATGGGAATACTGATTATTCAGTGGCCGCGGAAAAATCCTAAAAAAGAATCACAGGTAGGATTAACAGAGTTTTGACACAGAAATTGGCCGGATGCGGGCTGTCTGGGTTCGCAAGCGACAAAGGGCAAACACTAGAAAGAGTCTCCAAATGCGAGGCGCGTTCGTTGCTTGCGAGGCACAAGGATTGGATCTCAGCAGAAGTTCGAGAATTCCCTGGCTGTGTCCACGTTTGCGTAATTGTGCGTACCAATTATTTTTGACTCAATGTTTATGATTATAAGAAGAAGAGAAAAAAAAGGGAGGCCCTTGCAGCTCGACATCTAAATTTGTTCGCCAATAACGACTACTTGGTAGGTCTCTGTCATGTATCCCTCGACGCCCATCCATCGGTCTTCACACAATGTTTCCGTTCATTTTGATGGATGTGTACTATGCCCAGTCTATTTATGCTATATTTGTTCAAAATATTATTCTACAGTAGATATCCTCCAGACGGTCTGACTTTCGAAACATTGAGTAGCAGTATTTCTGCCCCTCGCAGAGGCAACAGCCTGAAAAGATGCTTGTTCTCCTACTAAAGCGCAGCAAAGAGTAGCCAACAAGAGACAATGTCTAAAACAAAATCTGTTCAGTTTAATCATTTTTCCTGCTCAATATGATATAATAGTTCAATATTTGCGCTATATAATATCCCACCGATTCGTGCACTTGCGTCACCGGCCATGGCTGTCCACCCAGTAAATCAACCAATTGACTTCGTGTTGAGAAACGGACTATTACCAGTCATATGGACAATGCTATTCAATTCTGATTCAAGAATCAAAATCTCCGCCAACAATTGCTTCATCAAATAGCACGGGCGTATTTTGGCATTTGAACACTGATAGAGCTGAATACTATGCTATTCCTTCAATGAGACAGAGGCTGTCGGCTCTGTCAGCTGCTGATCAGATTTGTTTGACTTAAAGTAGACACCTCCTGACGTTCAGGATCTAAAACCCTTTTCTCCATAGCAACTTCAATCGCAATTTCAGCAGAGTCGTCCATTCCCTGTCTTCAGAAGATCACAAGACAACAAACCAAGACCCTCTGACGCAAATCGCCTCATCATGAATTACAACGTAGAAACCTCGACACTTGCGGATACTTCCACAGCGGACTCCCCTGGCAGAGCCTTTATTCGCGCCTTCTTTAGCACATTCGATTCGATTACGGCGTTTCAACGACGACCGTTTCCAATCGCGCGCTTGATTTACACGTCGACAGAATTTTTTTATGAAGACGATGACCCCATATCAGCGGCTGATCAGATCCTACTCCTCTAGCAGAGGAGCAGGGAGGTTCGCCGTGTCGAACGAGAAGTGGAAGGGGTGATTGAGGATGACGAGAGAGAGACGGACGGGCGCCTGCATTTGCTTTTCAGGTCAACTCTGCGAGTCACCAGGAACGATGGAATTGTTGTGAAAATTCGCCAGCTGATTCTGATGAAACTACGGCCAAGAGGCAACAACCTCGACCATCTCTACCTTGATGAGATGCACACAACTACTATCTTGGTGGAATCATACCCCAATGGCGACGAGGTTGGAGAGCCAATGGAGGAGGACGACCTGTAGGGGGTTGGCAGGAATTTTTGGGGGACGCTCAAGGGAAATTTTATTTGTGGTCATTGTGGTGGTTAAGAATTGGAAGATAGCGGACCTTGCTACTGTTTCCTGCTTTGCTACGCGCATTTGATACTCGCTGTAGTATCAAGAAATGAGAACCCATTATCCGCTGCAGCATCCAAAAGATTGCCAACAATTGCCATTTTGTGTTTGAAAGAATACTTCTTCAGGGAAACTTGGCCGGCCACTCGTGCTCAACCACTTTTCCTGATTTTTTTATCTGCGCGACTTTATATTTATCATAGTTCCCAACGGACCCAGTAGCAGCAAATGAAGCACCAGTCCCATCCCATTCATCCTTCTCCCCGTGTTTCGGCCTTTGAATGAACAACGTTGCACCGTTCTGAACGTTGCGCAAGACAGAACAGACAACTGGTTTCTTGGTTGTAGAATCAATGATCCAGCGACACGTTCTATGTCATTCTCAACATTGCTGGTAGACTCGTCACCAGAATTGCCTTCGATATGGAGAGGCTGGCGAAAGGGTAGACTTATCCTACATCGATCCGCAAATCTAGCATACCTACAAGCAGGTATTTTGAATCAAAATCTTCGATAACGCGCCGCTTTGCTTTTTGATCATGGTCATACACAGTGATTTTGCTATTTCTCTTTGATCGATGATGGTCACGTTGTTTCTTCACCTAGATTTCTGTCATGTCATGGTCTTTCGGAATATGATCTATTTTCCAAACGCCTATCAGAATTTTCTTCTGCCTCGAAGTTTCTACAATGTCTTCAACTCTACTACTCACTCTTCCATATCTGACGAAACAACTATGGAAACAGTACCTATTTATGCCCCCAGGCTAGCGAGGATGCTAAAGAGAGAATGCCCTTTCGCTCACGTCTGAGAGCATTTCGTGCCACCACCTTGGGGTTGGACATAACTCTCGAGGCTCCGACACCATCAGCAGATATTTTTCATTGATTGCGAAGCACTGTTAGTTCTCTTTTCCCTTGATTCTCTAATAACTTTTTCTCTCCCACCATTCTTGTCAGATATTGACATACATTACCAAATAGTTCCCTTTTTTTTTTGGCGATGATACTACCGACCACGATCAAAACCCCCATCTTTCGAAGACAGCGACAAATGCAGCTCCGATTCCATTCGAAATATCGCAGAAGTTCTCCAAGACTCGTGACAGAGTTCCCAACCGAAGACGAGACACACAACTGAGCCGCCGTTCGACGGCAATTTTCTGTCTACATTTGTCCTTTCCTTCGAGTCCAAACTCCTAGCCGAACTCTGCGGAGGCTCCTTCTAGGCGTTCAAAATATTTGAGCAACTTGGCATAACCCAGTCGCCATATTGCGAGGGGAAGGGAACGAGGCTTTTGGGTAGACTGCTTTCTATGATCTCCCTGGTTTTTTTTTTTTTTTTTTTTTTTTTTTTGGCTATAATTCTCCTGTTATCCCCTCATATTTGTGGCAAAGTCGGCCCAAATTCGCCATTGCAAAACTTGGTCCTCTGAAACCAATATCTTCGAGAAAGATTTACTCTGGCTATTGAATAGATAATCTGGACGTCCCTGCTCAATTAATCTTCTGGGATTTGTACAGTTTAGCACTTGAGCATTTGGTCATCTCGGCCGAGGGGTCATACATCATAAAACTTCCGGCTCCAAATTCTCCAAACAGAGGCTGTTTAGCTCTTCTTTCCCAAGCAGCAACTTTGAACTGACGGTGTTCAATTTTGCGCTGCATAGGCCTGGGTGATGCAGACGATCCAACTTGGAGCATCCGATACCAGCGAGGAATTGCCATAGGCACAATAAGAATTTGACAACACTTTTTAGGAGCAAAAAGGGACTGACCCCAATGGAAACCATCACAAAATCCGACCATTGCCTCCATCTTCCCAGTATCTCTCCTTCCTACTCGCTAGACATGTGAGCTTCTCCTCGGCGCTTGAAAATGTCGGCATCTGTCTGAAGCCTTCTTTCAACTATTGGTTAAACGAAGAATCGCATCAACGCATCATCGCGCCATCTTTTAGGAACTAGAGAACCCAAAAACTGGACAGTGAAATTCGGTAGCCACTTTGATCTTGAGTTGCCATCGTTTGCAGTCTTACCTCCATGTCGAGGAAAGAGTCTGGCGATCCTGAGATGTCCTGTTGCTTGGCCGACATGGAGAAGTATCGTCAATCGTGAATTTGAAGCACGGTGATGAAGATTAGAATCGGAAAGAATTGGAAATATGTATCGTAAAACAGATCTCTCTGACCGAAAAAAAAAAAATCTTTTGCGTTCAGAAAGGCGTCTTTGTTCAAAGTGTTCAAGCACACAAGCGGAGCGACTTGGACTTGGACTTCACCATATTCCAAATGTCGCAGAGCCCTTGGTAGCTCGGGGGATAATACAAAGAGAATGAAATGATCCATCTACTACAAATGCTGTATCTCAGCCATCGTACGCCGTCCCATATGTCTACTCTCTATCCACGAAGCAAACAGCCATGTCACATCGTCAGATTCTCCCCTCAAATGATCACCACCACTCTAAACAAAACATCGCCAGTGTCTACCGCCAGCCAGCTGGATTTCGAAGTGAGAATTTCTTCTTCAAGTCAAGGCATATAGCCTCGAACTCAATGAAAAAAAAAAGATTGTACCCTCATGTGCGGGAGGTCATCATCACCAAACGTCTTACTGCTTCCGTAGAAGAGGGTTCTATTGCGTTTGGTTCAGATGATGCCCTTCAGAAAGGCTGGCAGACCGAAGTTGCTTTTGCCAATCTTTGGGATCTCCCATGCAGAGTTGCCACCTCTGCATTAATCATTGGGTAGGAGCACCGACTTTCAAAAGGACTTGCGAACTCAAGAAAATCCGCCTTGAGGACAAGGCTGGCTGTGCTTGGGGAAAGGAAAAGGGAAAAGAAAAAGGAAGGGTTGGAGGGGGGGAGGAGAGGTATATGTAGTTGCTGGTGGGCCCTCCCAGATCACTCCTCACGTGAGCTCCTCAGGCTGCAACGGCTGATCTGGCAACGAAGTGAATGCAGTGACGTCGATTCGTTTTGTTTTTCATTGATTCGAATTATGATTGGAGAGTTTCTGTTTGCCTGCAGCAGGTATCCTCGTACCCAAGTTGTGATGGTGTGTTGATTTTCCATCCCTGGTGTTCTTTGCGATTCCGTCGGCCTCGAGGTGGTCGAGGGGTGTTGAACCCCACGCCGCACCGGTCTGGCTGCGAGACATAGGAATCTCCGGTGTTTGACGCCTCTTGATTCCAAGTTTTGGTGTTGATGATACTGCCACTTCATTTTATGTAGCTGTCTTCGTCATCAAGTGCAATTTGTGATGGCCTCCCTGAGATGGAAGCCCCTGAATATCACCAATTGTAATTTCATTGTAATTCTTGCCTGACTGTACTCGCATGCTATCTGATTTGTTTCTTCTGTTCTGTTCTGCACAAAGTGTTGGCATCGCCATATCATGATGGAGTGTTGCCCAGAGAGTTTTGGTGGAGTTGTGCTTTGCTCGGCCAAACTCCCTTTGTTCTCCCCTCTGACAACAGAATCATTTCAATTTGTTCATTGAACAACCCCTATTGTATAGCTACTTTAATCCTTCATTGTAATGATTTCTCTGCCTTTTTATTATTATGGCTCTGGAGTTGCTGTCGAATCAATTCGTTGCACCTCAGGCGAAGCCACCTGTGTTTTTCTGCCTACCGACAGTCTCCCTACAGGCCCTATCTCCCCTAAATCTCCCACTTCTACAGCACACTCTACCTTATTCCAAAACTCAATGTGCTTTCCAATCTGTTCTTCTCTTTTTTTCTTTTTATCATATCTCACAAAGCAGTCTTTCGTCTTCAGAACGTCTCTCGTTGATGCTCTTGCTCTTCTATCGCTTCAATTCCCTTGCATCTCCATGCCGTCATCCTCCAGACACCACCTCTACTTTCGCTCTTCTGTACCGAAGCTCTTCTCTCTCCAATCCATCTACAATCGTCTGCTTGAAGCTTCTTTCCACTCTCTGGTATCGAATCTTTGTTCGTTCTAACCTAGGTCCTTGCTTTGTTCCCTCTCCTTCATTCGTATCTGGTTGGTCCCTCTACATGGTCTTCTCGAGGTTAGCATATCTATCTCATGGTTTCTATATTTCTTGAATATCTCCACCAAGATCAAGCCCAGTTTTTCTCTGAATTACCAACTGCCTCTTTTGAGATCATGAACAGGTGACTGACATTCTTTCTCCTTCTACAGATTTTTGTCACCCACCTCTTCCTATATTACACAATAGCGTATCCATATTTTCTCTTTCGCGAATTCAAGTGGGCTTCTGCATCCTCCGACCATGATCATGCTCCCAAACAACAAGCAAACGTCTTAGCCCGTCATGAACCACTCTCTGAGCTGCCTCGGGAGAAAATAGTCACACGCTATCATCAAGACAGGTTTGTTAATTGACGACCATCTCCTAGTGTAGAAGAGTACTGATGTATTCACAGCGATCTTGAAAGCTACTGCAATCCCACAGTTTCCACCATTCCCTCACACTAGTTCCAACAAGAGATTGTCCTGGGTATGACACAAAACTGCCTCGGTGGCCGTCTTGCTGATGGCTGTTGACCGTTTGGCAGAGGGTTTGTTGAGGCCCAGCCAGGAAGCAGTGAGTCTAAACTATCCCGACGCAGTCATGAGCCCCTACTACCTCCAAGAGTCTAATCAAGTTTCACCAGAGGACTGCGCCCTCGCTTTGGGGGGTCGACGAGATCTTCGTTAATCTTCGACTGAGAAGATCTAGAGAAATAAAAAAGGCGATTGCTCTGGTTTGCTCGCTGCTCTCCATGCCGTCACAGCGACTCGGGAACAAGAACATGGCTCTCTCTTCCTCTCGGCGCCAATGTCACCCGGTGGTGGAGCAGTCGACGTGACAGGAGGTCAATAGTGGCCAAGGTCCATCGGCTGCGAGGAAGCCGTTCACTCGCCTTGATGCATTTTGCCGGCTTCTTGAACATACGAGAGCCTGTAGATGATCGTATTTGTGGGGGTGGAGAAGCAGCAGAAGCAATTGTGTGTCTATGGAGGCCAGGTTGCATCTGCTGTGAGGAAACCGTCCCCTCATCGTAGCGTAATCCGCTCGTGTTTTCGAAACTAGAAAGCCAAGTCATATGCGCTTCTGTCCCTTACGTATGGGGGCTTAGTTGAGCATCTGGCGTGGCAGAAGGTCTATGGAGGCCATGCCCGTTGGTTGTGACGATACTTGGCCCTCATCGTAGCGTGTACAGAGTTTGGTTGGGATTCTGCTTTTACTTCTTGGAGGAGTCAATTGTTGCGGCAGCCTTTGCAAACATGCCAGCACATTCCATGTGCTTTGGTCGCTTGGCCAGATTTCGTCAAATACACTTCAAGGATCACCGGTGATTCTATCGTTTTGCTCCGGGAAAGGCCTTCCCCTCGATACCTCAAGACGCCCGCTAAGCTCGTTCGCCTTGGGGTACGGAATCGCCACTGTGAATGCCTGTTGAAAATCCCGTTGTAGCACTTTATTCTCTTGCCCTTGAGGAAATTGATATTCACTGAACATGTTCATATCCACTGGAGCGATTCGTCAAGCCAGATGGCGGCGGTTGTGTTATTGTGGCTTTGGAATGGAGCAGTTAGATACAGATATGTACTTTGGAACAGAAGTTTGGGTTTATTAAAAAAAAAAAAAAAAAAAAAAAAATATTCTTGATGAGTTTTCCGTGTTCGTGCAAATAATGAAGGGATTATCTCCAGTCAATAGTGGACATATTGATTCTCACCGCAGTATAGAGCTATTGAGCTTGTCGCATTCGCAGATGACTATCTATAGCTGTCCAATTTGCCGCCAAAATATCTTAGATTTTTATATCTTTATAGCGTCGCATCTCTACATGCAGCGTGCCATTTCTCAAAATAGATGTGTTGGCGAAAGTGTGTCTGTTGATGAAAGTTGTTGTTCAACAACAGTTTTCTATCTAACAAGTCTTGAGAGGGAAGTTGAAAGAAGCAAAGGAATGGAAGTTCCACTTCTTGATATTGTTCAATCTGCGAGTCAACACTTTCTTTGCTCAGCCTCGCCATTGGAATTGCAGCTAAAGGAGAAACCAGTGGACTTCAGGAGCATTAATCTTCGCAAGAAAAGATGACTGCAACTGTTTTCAATTTTCTCATTTTCGTTTTTCTTTAGACAAAAGAAATCTATTGGAGCATCGTTTTGATTTACGCTCAGCTCTGCCTGTATATCTCTCCAACGCCATTGCTACGATTCTTGGCTTTGCCGTAGGGTAGTACGATGCCTCTTGGGGATCTAATATACGAAAACTTATTCTAAGCAATAATTCAGCACACCTTGCAATCCTCTTGCTAAAATTACGTTAGTTAATTGAGCCTCATCATTTTCATTTTTTACCCGCCCTTTGAACCGTTGTGTTGTGCTCAGCTTTGTTCAGCATTCGTTCATTTCATATCAGCACCATTCATGCTCCTAGCAGTCGGAAATACCACCAGAGCCCCGCGAACGTAACCCATACACCAACAACGCTGCAGAAACAATCACTCTCTCTAGCCCGTCGAGTTTCTCGACTTGGGCGCTCGTTAAAGTCCAAAATGAAGTTTCTTCTTCATTCCCATTTCCCCGCCGGCCATGTTTATCCAATGCAAGCCGTCGCACAAGCCCTCGTCGATCGCGGCCACGAAGTTGTTTGGCTGGCGAGCGAAGACAACAAAGCTCGCGTTGAAGCAACAGGAGCAACTTTTGTTGCGACTCGAGCCATCGCCGCAGTTGATGCACCACTTGCCAGGGAGAACGCTACGGGAATTCTCGACCGCCAATTTAATCGACAGGGGTCGCGGATCCTAGCTCAAGTTGCCGACTGTCGAGCCATTCTGGCCGAGTTCCCCGCCGACGCCTTGCTTGTTGATGTGTTTCCTTATGGCGCCCGCGCTCTCGAAGAGCTTGGAGAAATCCCCATATATGCGACTCTGGGGGTAATTCCATTCTACACTTCAGGGCCAGCAGCCCCTATGCCAGTGTCCGGGGAGTCACCTCCTACTTCGTGGCTGGGTCTGATTAACAATGGACTCAGACAACTCGTGTATCGGTGGATCCTACTTCCTCTTTTCCTAACTCCCTTGCTCAACAAGCAGAGAAACGAACTTGGATTAAAGGACCTTCCATATGGAGAGCCACCAGAATGCTTTACGTACAGTCCCTATCTTCACATCCAAGCTTCGTGTTCAACTCTCGAATTTTCTCTGGATCCCAACTCAGAGCAGCACAAGAACAAGATAACCTACGTCGGCCCTCTAGTGAGGCCCTCTCCAAGTACATCAATTCAGCTGCCCTCTTGGTGGAATGATGTGGTGTCACATTCGCGAGTCGTTGGAATTACTCAAGGGACGCTCGCCATGAACCCTACTTCGTTAATCATACCATCAGTTCGGGCACTCAAGGATAACTCGACACTTCTTCTCGTCGTCGTGTCACCGCACGGTGGAGAGGTGGAGGCACAAGTTGGGCACGCAGACAATGTTCGTTACGCAGACTGGCTACCCTACCATCTCCTACTCCCGCAGCTGTGTTTGCTCATCACCAATGGCGGCTATGGAAGTATAACTCAGGCACTCTCTCATGGAGTTCCTCTTGTCTGTGCCGGTCAATCGGAAGATAAAAAGGATACAGCCGCTCGAGTAACTTGGTGCGGCGCCGGGATCGACCTTCGAACTGACAATCCTACTCCACGCCAAGTCGAAGCAGCTGCCAAAAAGATCCTTCTAGATGGGAGCTATTCAGAGAGAGCAAAACTCTTGGGCAACGAGCTCAACGAATTAGGGGGCGCACAAAAAGCTGCAGAGTCGCTTGAAGAGCTGGCCAAGAGCACCATGACTGAAAGCGAGGACTCTATGGATTCTATGAATGAATGATGGCCTGGTTGTTGATTTTACGCAATATTCCCGTTGTTTGGGATTTTTCATACTCACAGGTTCTAGAGTCTAGAGCATGTCATTCTATTTTACGATGCTAGAGATACACCGAAAGATGATACGATATCATGAAGATAAGGAATAACAAGATAGCATTAAATTTCGAGAAATACCCTGACAAATGGCTTTCCAATTGGAGAATAGTGACGTGTTATGGCATGAGACTAGAGTCGCATTCTAACAGGTTTTTTCATGATCTTGCACCTTCAGTAGATGGCTAACTACGAGTTTTGCACACAGCAGATATTGCAGCCATCAGCATCAAGAAGAATGTATTTTCCTGAACAACAAAGAAGAAGAGAACGCCTTTTTATATAATGAGTCAAGACGCACTCAGCGTAGAGATTACGAGGGTAACTAAAGGAAAATAATTGCAATACACATCGCTGACAGTTTGTGAATAAATAGTACTCGCCACGATAACATTGCCGTTCCAGCACCCACCCTGCGATCGATACTACAAGATGTCAGCATTGCACTTATACAATAAGATGGCACTAAGTCCAAAGACTGTTGCTACAGAAAGAGGAGGCTATAGATCAGGACCATCACCACAAAGTTGAGGACGGTACAATGAAAAGGACAAGCTTTCGATAGACGAGACACTGGCAAGATCCGGTTGAATGTCCTTCTCTCGAACAGTAACATCAAGTATAAAACGAAATATACTTTAAGAGACATACTACAAGGAAGAAGAATAAATGGGGTGGGAAAAGCATTTAGGCTTGTGCCAGTGTGCCCATCTTCAAGATATTATGGTATATTTTTTTTAACATATACATATATACGAGCACATCCCGGCATGTTAAGATTCATCATACAGATGCTCGGCCACCTCGTCCCTTCTAATGTCGAAGCAAACGTCTAATTCTTCTTTTCAATAGTCTCCTCCTCCTCCGCCTCCTCCTCCGCCTCTTTCGTCTCCTTGCCATCTTCGCTGAACATGGTTTCTTGAGCTATAGGCATTGTCAGTAAAAGGATTTGTCACGATGATTCATACAAACAAGACTTACCACTCCAGAGCTCGGCATAAACACCCGCGCGGTCAATCAACTCTCTATGCGTGCCCATCTCGGCAACGTGCCCCTCTTTGAGCACAATAATCAAGTCTGAGTCGAAAATGGTACGTAGTCTATGAGCCACAAACACACTCGTGCGTCCTTTCTCGCGAAGAATACCGTTGATGTTCATCATCAAGGCCTGTTCCGTGTGCGTATCTAGTGCACTGGTTGCCTCGTCAAAGAACAGCAGAGGGGGGTCCTTGAGGAGCAATCTGCTCATGGCCAGTCTCTGCTTCTCGCCACCAGAGATCATCATGCCTCGCTCACCAACCTTGGTCTGGTAGCCTTCTGGGAACTTTTCGATAATGTCGTGAATGCGGGCTCGCTTTGCGACCGCGACAACTTGGTCGTGAGAAGCATCAATCATACCATAGCGGATGTTGTGCTCAACTGTATCATTGAAGAGAGGGGTATCCTGAGGTACCACTCCGATCGCGCGACGCAAAGAATCAACAGTGACGTCGCGAACATCCTGGTCATCAATAAGGATGCGGCCACCCTGGACGTCATAGTATCTGAACAGAAGTCTTAGGAGAGTAGATTTACCGCAGCCACTGGGACCAACAACGGCAACCTTCTTTCCAGCGGGAATAGTGACCGTCAAGTTTTTCAAGATGGGTCTCTCGGGGTGATATCCAAAGCTAACATTTTCAAATTTGATCTCTCCACCTTTGATCAGAGCCAGGCGCTTCGCAGTTGGCTTTTCCACAATGTTGACGTTGACTTTCTGCAAATTGAACAGCGTCTCCATATCCAAGAGCGACTGTCGCAGTTCGCGATACACTGAGCCGAGGAAGTTCAAAGGGACGGATAGCTGGAAGACTAGCTGGTTCACCATGACGAGATCTCCGACAGTCAAGGTTCCCGCGGCGACTCCCTCAGCTGCAAAGTACATCATGGCAGTCAAAGCAGTAGAAAAGATGACATTTTGACCACTGTTGAGGAAAGCCAGAGAGGTAGCTACCTTGATGGAGCTCTTCTCGTATTCTCTCAAAGCCTTATCATAGCGCGAAACCTCGAATTTCTCGTTGTTGAAGTACTTGACAGCCTCGTAGTTGATGAGCGAGTCCACGGCCACCGTCGAAGCTCGATTGTCGGCGGCATTGGCCTGTCTGCGAAACTTTGTCCTCCAAGCCGTCGTCCAGATGGTAAAAGCCGTATATCCAACCATGGTCAGCGCCGTTACGGCTGCGAATTTGAATCCATACTGCCATGTGAGGATGCCGCACACCATGCTGATTTCCAATGCTGTCGGGAGAATATGGAAGACCATGCTAGTCAGAAGAAAACTGATGCCCTTTGTACCACGGTCCATGGCCCGCGTCAAGCCGCCCGTCTGCTTGGACAGATGGAAGCTCAAGTCAAGCCGCAAAAGATGGTTGAAGACATTGCGAGCCACTCCGCGAATCGCCTTTTGCGCAACCGAGGCGAAGACGGCGTTTCGCAGCTCCTGGAACAATGTAGCGCCTATCCTTGTGGCTCCGTATGCGAGAATCATGGCTCCTGCTACTGTCGTGGCCGTACCGCCGACAGCAGCAATATCAATATTCATCGTGTCGACAATGCTCTTGAAGTAAAAAGGCACCTGCACGTTGAGGACCTTTGCGCCGATCAGAAGAGCGACTGCCAGTCCTACGCGAACTTTTGTGCCCACATCGCCCTTGGGCCACAGATATCGCGACATTTCCTTCATGATGGCCCAGTCGGCCTTGCGCTGCTCCGTCGCAGACTTGTCCACGGTCGCAAGAGGATCATTGTTCGCCTTGGGCTTCTTCGCGGGGCCCTTGGCAGCGGCATCTTTGGCAGCGGCAGCAGTAGCAGCTAAAGTCGCCTCAGCCGCAGATGTTTTCGCGCTCGTCGGGGAAGGTTTCAGCGATTCGGGAATAGGCGACGGCGCTTGCTCACGGCGAGACGCTGCCGAAGTCCGGAGGGGTCGTTGGAGTTGGAGAGAAGCAATCGGCCTTTGCGGGAGCCACGGCGGGAGGACGTGCGCCTTCGCGACGCTGCATCGCGGGCAGGCCAGCGGCACGCGAGGCAGGATTCGAGGGATCATTGTCGTAGGCTCCCTTCAAGGGAAAACATCCTTGAAGCGCGGAAGCAAGTCGATAGCTGTGTGGGTGTTAGAGCAGAGCTTCGCGGCTCAGACCAAGTCCCCGCGACAGCACCTTTTTGGCGGGGAGATTGCGCACGTGTGCCGGTACTCGAGTGGCTGGAGGACCAGATATGGGCTTCCAGAAGATGACGGTCGCACAAGAAGTGTGATTCAAGAGAATTGGACAGGTCCGGCAAATTGCCGCAGAATTATTCACGTTCGACGCGGCGTTTTGAAGCTCGGCTCCGTTCGCGAGCCGGCGACGCTATGGTGTCATCCTTCACACCTGAGGCATCACGGGCCGGTCCCCTGGCGAGACGGAGTTGGTTTCAATCGAATGCGCCTTGGCAATGTCCTAATTGGGGAGATAAGAGCATGGGGTGTGTTTGTATGCCAGTTTGTATAATTGTTTGATTGTTTGTTTATATCATTGCGCCACCCAAAGAGGATCAATAAGCTGCCTTTCTATTTCCGACAAGTCACTTCTGGCAATAGACCCAAGAGCAGCAGTCAAGCTCCAACAACATAGTATAGTTGACAGCTTCACACAACACGGTGTTGGCCACGATAATTCAAATTCACAGGCACAAATAGCTCATCAAATTCGTCTCTATGTTCATTATCTTCGCCTTTCCCCACCCTCAGCTGGCAGCTCTCTCCGCTTGATCCATACCTTAAGCGGCTTCTTCGGATGCTTGTTCGCAACAAGTTTCCTCGTCTGAGGCAAGCTCCATGACCCCCCCTTAGGTGGCTGCATATCATAAAACGTGATGATGGCAGCTGTGTATAGTAGCATCTCTCGCAGCGCAAATTGCCTTCCCTTGCACATCTTCAGGCCGCCACCTATTTATAGGTAATTAGTAAACCCGTCAACGTCTAAACTGTTGGAGGGGAAAAGGGAAAATACTCACCGTATGGCCTCATTGTCCCCAGCTCTGCGGTCAAAACCTTGTTGCCGCTTTCATCTACAATCTCTCGAACATGTCTCTCGGCCTGCCACTCAGTTGGGTTTGAAAAAAATTGCGGATCAAACTGATGCAGCTCTTGAGGGATATGTGCGTAGGTTCCCTTCTTCAACAAGAAGGATCCTCCACCTTTCCCTTTCCCTTCCAGCACGGTATCACTGTACATCAGTTTCATTGCCCATCCACAAGAGTATACTCTCATGGTTTCGATGTACGAGGCTTTCAGGAGCGGGCATTTGGTTATTAGTCCGTCGATATCCATCTCTTCCAGCACCGGCGGCACCCAGACTGCAGATCCAAACTCGTTCTTTGGCTGCACGGCTTTGACGTACGGCGCAATCTCTTCACGAACCTGTTCCAAGAGCACAGGATCCCTATAAAGCTCAAAAAGCATCCACGTAATGAGAGGGTTGGAATTCCCAACAGAAGCCCACAACAGCGCCAGGTCAAAGGACGCCCGGCCGTCGAGCGACACACCGTGCTGTTTAAACAGCGCAATCCTGCCTTTGACAAGCTGACTGACATTGTCCAGATTTTGCCACTTGGGGTCAACCTCTTCGCCGTCCATATGCTTGTCCATGGCTTCGTTGAACTCATACAGGTATGCCAGAAGGCGTCTCCTTGCCAACTTTCCGCGCTGAAGACGAGGCCATGGGATCCAAGAAGGAACGCCAGTGGCCAAAAGAACAAAAGATTCGTTGTATATCCACATCCATTTCCACACATCGGGGAAGTTTTCGACAAAATCAGTGCCGTAGATGGCCGGAATCACCGTCGTTGCGACAAAATTCCTCGTCAGTTCCATCAAGTCGACTTGAGTGATGGGACCCTCTTTGCCGCCCTCCTCAATAACATCGACATCCGCCAACTTCTCCCATTCGGTTTGATCCATAGGGTTCGGGCTGAATGTGACAAGGCTATTGATGTTTTGCTTCACCTGTGATACAGCCACGCTGGTAATCTCGCTAAGCCCAGGCTCAGAGGTTAGATATTTGTATAAAGCCAGGGCTTCGGGGAAGATCTTGTTGTAAATAGCTGCATCCTTCTTGCTCACGCCAAAAGTAGATCCCAAAAGGCGATTTGCCAGCATTTGCTCTTCAGCAGCTGGGCGTTGCAGGTTGAAGAGAGCCGCAACCAGCGAAGGCTTGTAGATGAAGTGGTGCATCTTGCCACCCATTTTCAAAGAAAAGATGCCGTCTGGGAATCGATTCCGCATGCTGGCCAGAAAGCCACCTTGTGCCATGGAGAATGCATGTCCGAGGAACGGGAGCCAGTAGCTCGGTGATGCTGGAATCTTGTGTTTGCCGCTTGCATCCACTGTTGTAGGGCTCCCTGTGATGGCTTTTGTTGTGAGAATAAGAACGAGAAAAGTGGCAATGATGGCGACAGCGATAGACTGCTGTCTCTCGTCCAGCCTCGAGGTGAGGTTGCTCCAGAGAGCCTCGACAGACTCCATTGTGCTGGCCTGAAATAAATCAACGGAATGGCAGATCAGGCGGCCTGTGCTGAGCTCTTGGAGGTGATGAGTGAGATGGTGCCGGAATCAACTCTGAGCATCGCGTCTCCTGTCTCGATATATATACTCGTGCTTCAGTTTGTTGGCGCTAGGACTCGGTTGAGGGTGTTGCTCAAAAGACTATGAATCATGGAGCGAAAGGTGACCAAGTCGCAAATCCGAAGACCTTGTAGAAGCATTGACCGATGACAAACAAAGACGCCCAGATAGCTAGTCATTCATGCCGACTTTCCGGAGCGATTGTTTGCCAGGATTTCTCCAGGATTTCGGGCATGGACCAGCAGAGAAGCGATTTGATGATGCCAGCTAGTAGATTTTCGCTTTTCTCGTAGGCGGCTATAATTAGGCGCAGGGGTATCGGAAGGCTGCCTCCCCCACAGCTCTCAGCTTACACAAAACTCTATGCCGATAGGTAGCTTCTGTCCACCATTAATTCGGGGTTCTTTTTTTCGGCGCCCGAAGGCCATGGCAAGCGCTGGCAGATCGCTAGGCGGGATGATGACTTGTGGAGAGTTGCTACACACCTATCGAGTTAAATCGGCAGCTTATTGAGTCCAGAAGAGCTATAAACTGCAATTAAAGTCCTATGCCTGGGTCTTCGGTAAAAACGCACCAGGCATCACATGCACTGGGCACAAGCAGGCAGCGATGCAACAATACATGTATTCGACGCATGAATCGTCAACAAAGAGGAAACACCCCCCTGTTTGCATCCTCGAAACTACCAAATGCGGCGAAGTAGGCGAAAACTGCGCATCGTGAAAGAAGCATCGATGACGTTTCAAAGAGTTGAGTGCTTGCGAAACTACCTAAGTAACTACCTTGTAACTATAGAAGAAATACACCATCTACTGCATTAAGCCGCTTTCGCTTTGATCGCCAACAGCCTCGCTTTTTCTCTGCTCTCTTCAACCTCCTTGTTCAACCTCAAAATCTCTGCCCTAGCACCGTCCCAGTGCTTTCTCCTCCCAGGAAACAACCTCCAAAAGGCCGAGGTGAACGGACCATCCATGACCATCTTCCAAAGCTTCCTCTCCCGCCACCAGAAGAGCCATCCCTTCCAACTCCAGCCCACATGTTCTTCCACTCCCATTCCCGCTGTTCTATCTGCCCAAGATAGCCATGCACTTGGAGGCACTGCCGTGGGGATCACAGCTCCTCTCTGTGCGAGAGTGCATATCCTCTTCTCTTGTGTATCTACCCAGTGCTGCATCGTCGATCGTGGCGGGAGCGACGCTTTTCCAGACCAGACTTGTGCGATACACATGCTGGCGATATCTGCAAGACAAAACGCGCCGGTAACAAACCAAACACAACCCATGAAGGCCAATGAATCGGGTGCATCCATAGAGAAGATGTTTTGGTAAAGCCGAGGATATGGTCGGTTCTTCGACCCAGGAGCATGTAACCAGCTAGGTGAGGGCGTCGAAGACGGATCATACTCTTTTTCTAGCAGGCTGAAGTCATTCTTGTATCCCGTACAGCAGATGACTGCGTCAGCCTCAATGACCTCGCCAGAGGTAAGCTCTATCTGTCGACCTCCGACAAATTTTCGAATTCCCTCAATCGACAGCACAGCCTTGGATAGAAGGTTGGCAATGAGCGTGTCAGAAATCACCGGATTGGCCACCAGAACCGAGAGAGCTGGGTCAAGCCGCCAAGCCGGATCGACCACTCCAAATGCATCCGTCATGATTTGTCGAGCCGTCTTGTTATATAGCCTCTCTGCAAACTTGGGTAGCAATCTGTTGAGGATTCCCTGCAGCTTGATGAACCTATAGGATAGACGGCTTGTGGCCGACACCCCGTCGAGGAGGCGAGGCATCTTTCAAGAGTCAGTCAGCTTCTATATGGCTCATATGCAGTGCTTCTCAAAAGGGATGATGCGACGTAAGAAGAGGTTCTCGTACAACAATGGCGCCATGGTGATGCGATATTGAAATATTTGATGCATGGCCAACAAGCGCGTCTGCCACGTCGCTTCCCGTGTTTCCAAGCCCAATGATGACAACTCTTTGCCCGGCAAAAGTTTCGGGTCTGGATTATATTAGATCCTCTGGGTTTATCCAATCACATTTTTGTCAACCTTGGTGAACTCACTTTTTAAATCCCTTGGAGTGGATTAATCGACCGGTAAATACATCGGCACCTTCAAGAACGGGCATCATGGGTCTGATATGGGGACCTGTGGCTATGACAACCTTATCAAACCACTCGCTCGGTCGTCTTTCAAATTCAAGTCTCCATCTTCCGTCATTGCGTTCTCTAGATATCGATCTGACGCTCGTGGAGAGGCAGAAATGGGGTCTGAGGTCGAAGTGTTCCACATAGGCCTCCAAATAATTCTCTACCTCTTTAGCAGTACAAAATGTCGAGGTTCCTTATCACGGTGTCGTCAATATCAGCTATCAACTTAACGTGTAATCATAAACGAAAGTTGGAGATCAATGCTTACCAACGGGAAAAGGAAAATCGGTAAAGGATGCCTATTTGGAACTAGGTCAGCAAGAGAGCATGGTTTCATTCGGCAAATGTTGGTTAAGACTCACTCTATCAGTTGACACGTTCACCGTGGTTGCTTAGATGGAAAATTGAATAATTAGAACAAGAGACAAGCACGTTATCGTGCAATGACAAAGGAGAGGATTAACGCAAGCGCAAATCCAGCCTGTATATCAGAGCCGACATCTCAGGGCCATTGCCACTCACATTCTATGATGCTCAGCGTGTCTTCGTCTTCGGTAAAGTGCCACAAGCCACCGACATAGCTGCTGCGTTCAAATCCCACTACGTCAAAGCCTTCTTCCAGCAAGTTCTTGACCGCGACGATCCCCATAGCCCCTGTCCAGCGGTTAGCCTCCCTCGCATCTCTTGCATGCCAAGTAGGGCCGATGAAGTCGGGGGATCCATATCGGACAAACTATTCGTGCTAACGAAAGATTGCATAGGTAAAAGACATACCGAGACCAACGACGGCGACTCTCTGTCTTTGTGGTTCCTCCATAGTCATCGACTGCGGTGGAGCATATTATGAGAAAAGCCACTATACACGTCCAGCAGCAATGAAATCAATAAATCAGGGGGAAGATGCAGATGTCAGACCCTTGAGCCTAGGCTTGGTGAGGTTTCAGTTTCTAGGCCACAAGCTGAGAGAGGCCAACTGAGGGGGGGTTGAATGGCTCAATCTCAGCTAAGACCCGAGAATGCACCCACATGCTGCAACGTATCAGCGGTTAATTCACAAGAACGCGTATCAATTCGATTTGTTGCATCGTCGTCTGATTTCGTCTTCGACTTCTATGCTGATATTACTCTACCGATTTCGGCTTTCACTATTAAATACCAGATTATTTCAGTGAATTGTAACAGCCATCACCATCTCGGCCCTCGCTAGAGCTTCGGCATTCTTTACAGCGACCCGGGAATATCAACAAATCCGGCATCAAAATCACGCAGCCAAGCTCACATACGTGTACATTTGCGTCTGAGCATATGTCATTTGCACTAAGCAACCTACTCAAATTCGAGCAGTTGGACATCCTAACTCTCTGATTCTCTTGATTTTCTACAGACAAGGCGATGAAAAGAAATACCAGTAAATCGAGCCAATTCTTTGTTGCATGTACACGTTCATCAAACTCGAACAGACTCATCATCCAGCCACAATTATCGTCCATAAATACCAACCCTCAGGCATAACAAATGCTGAATTTCAAACCGAACCCCGAAAACCCTCCGACCCGTGAAATCTTCAGTTTTACGCAATTATTAATAGAGTCAACATGGGCATGCTTTATGCCAGAATCTTAGCTGGAAGATCTTCCATGTCGTCCATGTCACTGTCTGAGTAGGGGTCTGCCTGTAGAGCAGCAACGCCGCTTTCTTCTTTTTTGCCATTCGGCGACCGGAATTTACCGGGTGTCTTTGGCTTGGGAATTTGCGCCTCTTCGAGGTTTGACTCTTCTCCTTCATCAACAGCGGGTAGTGGTGCAGTCGGTCCAGTGTCCTCAATGGGGTCCTGGCTGCTAAGAGACGCCTTTTTCGACTTCTTCTTGGCCGCTGTCTTCTTCTTTGGTTTGGGGGTAGCCTTCGGGGGTGAAGGCGGTGGCGCTTCCATCAATGCTGGATCAATCGTAAAATCAGCCTTGTCGTTTGCATCTGCTTGTCCGTCCTCTCTAGTCTCTTCTGCACCAGAATCCTCGACGAACTCGGCGCTTTTCGGCGGTGGTGCCGGCCTGCTGCGGAAACGAAGCTGCTGGAGAATGTCTTTTTCTCGCTCATCGTCATCGTAGCCACTGCCATTGATTTCGGGTAGGCCTCCCGTTCGGTTGTACTCGTTGATAATGTACTGGGCAATGTCTAGGACTGTCATAGCTTCCCAGTCTGGGACTGTCTGTTTCAGACGGTCCCAGAGTAATACCTGTGTGTCAAGGGTCCATTGGCCTCGGAACTTCTTGTCAAGGAGTTTTGCCCAGGGAATTTCAGCATCTGACAGCACAGAGGCTTGTTGGAGAGCCAAAACCAAGCGGTACTGCTCCTCCTCGCGCATACTTGCGAGCTGTTGGCGAGCCGAATCAAGCAAGGAGGAAATATCCTCGTGCGAAATAGGCATCTCAGCCGGTTCCGTTCGCTTTTTCTTCTCAGAGGTCTGGGCAGGAGGGGCTTTCTTGTCCTTCTTTTTTCCAGAAAGACGGTTCTGCATGGCCTTCCACTTTGTGATGCACTGAAGCCGACTCCGCTTCCTCCCCATACTCTTGCTGATGTCTTGCCAGTCGATAATGTCCTCAACGTTTTTCTGATAGATGGGCCTGGTCGGGTCCTCTTTTCGTATTTCTTCAATAACTTCCATTGCCTCCTCGACAACTTGTACCAGCAGCTGCTCTTCTTCTTCGTCCCATACATCTTTACGCTGGTTCGGGCCGCACACAATGTAATTGCGAAACCGGTCTCGAACATCTTCAGGGTGGCGGTTGATGAGGCTAGCAATTTCGGACCATTTATTACCATGCACGGCAATGAGTTGAGAGAGCTCCTCATCCTGTTCCGGTGTCCATGTTCCCCGTGCAACAAAATTATGGTATTTTTTGCGTGCGACGTTGATGACCTTTTGTCTCTTACGGTCAGGGCACACTTCAAAGAGGCGATACCAGAGGCGTGCATGAGCATCACCGGCTGTTGTACCTCCAGGTGCTTGGATTATCTATATTGCAATATAGGGTAAGTGGTTTGATTCTAGCCGGCAATTGAAAGATTGAACATGGTGGGCACGGTGCAACTGGGCCTTACCTGATTGACTTCAGCTTGTGTCATTCCATATTCATCTCGGAATTGTTCAATAACCCGGCTAATGCCATCGAATTCGGCTTGTGTGAATCGTCCCTGCGTGTAATTTCCCGGGTCGGCTGTCCTCGCTAATGGCTCTTCATATTCTGCATTTTCAGCATCCTCTTCCAAGGGTTGCAATGGTTGTTCTGTCTTCTTCTTTGAGGCACGCTTAGATCGTACTTTTGGCTTTGGTGTGTTGGCGGAGGGGGACGGCAGCTCTCCAAGTGCTTGACGATTCCTCTTGGCAGGCGTCTCTGCTTTGGTCTCCTGCACAAGCAACACAGGCTTTGCTTTTGTTCTCGTAGATCGCCGTCGTGCTGGGGTTTCATTTGGCTGCTCCTCCACTTGAGCAGAGTCTCCAGAGCCGTTGACGCCAGTTGCATTCTGATCAAGGGCTGCTTCGTTTGCTCCTTTGCCTGTTTCATTTTGGCTACTCTTGTGCTCCCTCCATACCGCTCGCGCAATATTGAGCATTTCCTCATCATCGCGATCATCTACGTGGTCACCAGATATTTCTTGCTGGTTATTTGATACTTCTTCTTGCGGAAGCGTATCAATTGCCATGGGAGCCATAGGGGCAACTTGAGCTCGGAAAGGCACACTATTCTCCCTTGAGCGAGTTTCCTCTCCCGTCTGGCTGCGACGGCGGGCACGAGCAAGGCTAGGCGAGGTTTGTTCATCGGCATTAGCAACATCATCCTCAATTGCCGTGCCGAGTTGTGGGCTGGCAGCATTCTTATCCAAATGTAGAAAGCTGGTCTCGTCTTGTGTCTGCTGAACAGTTGCGTCGTCGTCGTCAACGCCCTTCCTCTTCTTGTTTCGCTTGCCATCCACAGAGTCAGACGGCTTCCGTTTCTTCTTCTTCAGCTTTTGGGCTACTTGGACGGGCGCCAAATCCAATGCATCCATCTCGGTGGTAGCATCCTCAAGCGCCTCAGGTTCTCGCTCATCTTCAGCGGCAGGGGGGGCGCTTGTCGTATTTAGATTTGTGTCGGTGGGCTGATCCTCGGCGATTTCGGAATGCTGCAAAGACTTTTTCTTCGACTTCTTGCGCTTCGACGTGGCTGAACTGGGCGGTTCGTCATCGACAGCAAAATCAGCCGCCCTGCTCTTCTTTTTGCTTGATTTGTCGCGTTTCGCGCTCCCACTGGATGTAGGAAGCTCAGGCTCTTCGTACTTCAAGGATTGGGGTGCCTGCGACGAAAACGGGAGCTGTGACGCGTTGCTGTCAAACATTTCGAGATCGCCAAAGTCGACATCGACGTCGGCAGTATCGCCTTCCTCTTGGTAATCGTCAACATCCTCCATCCCCTGAACAGGATCATTATCGAGCTCGGCCATTGTGGCAGTGTGTGTCTCGCCTCCCAGGTCTTGGTCGACCTCGTGGGCAGATTCGAGTTCCTCGCGTTTTGCTTGGTCGAGCTGGGAAGAAGTCGTTTCCGATTGAGTCGATTCAGGTGCACTTGAGCCCATGAAATAGCGCAATTTCGAAGCCAGCTGGAAATCGGGCCATTTGGCGTTGGCAGGCATGAGAGCAGCAGCGAGTGGCGAGGAAATGAAGCTTCGCTGGCTTTCCCTTTGCTCTGCCGTCTTGACTTGAGACTCCGAAAATATTATGGGACTTGGATTTTCGAGGGATGTGACTGGCCTTGGCCCAACCGCGATGTTTGTGCCTTGTCGGTGAGGCAGCCTAACAGTTGGTACACGAGCGCGTGCCTTTCGCGTTGGGAGCATTCAGGTCCCAGCTGATAGTGTGCTGACCAGCCAAATTACAGTGGGGTGATGATAAATTCAAACAGCCCTACCCTGTAACTACCCTAGATCACACCGGAAATTGGATACGGGAAATGAGAAACACGCACTCAGTCGAGCAATTGCAAACGCATTATTCCGTTGAAGCATATCAATACATTCATGGAGTTTTTACTTTTAAATTATACCCGAAATGAACGCCAAACGTCGTCGCTTCTCTTCTCTCCGTTGGGTGTGAAGCACAAACAAGTACTACTAGGTATGTAATAATACATCGCCTGCTAAGTGGGGGAGCGTGAATGTCATAGGGGTATGAACAAGTATGAAATATTGAATGGGTATTATCTAAAACTATAGGTAATACAATCAACTGAATAGAACGGTAACGTCAAATATGGTACAATGAATTTCCAGGTGACAAATGAAATAGAGGGTTGCAGAGTCTCCCAGCTCTGACCATACCATCAAGGCAGGTCGACCGTCTCTCTGTGTGTTTCAAACTCAAGGAAATTGCCTGCCGTTGGATGGCCATCTTGCGTAAATGCAACGAACTCCTGGGCCCGTTTCATCAATTATCGTCGCCTTTGCTGTATTCGAACTGTCGTCGAATGCATTTCTCATCAATGTTGCCTCTATTCGAGCCAATTATTTTGTGTATGAGTTAGTCATCGATGCCGTTCTGACTAGTCGTCGTTTTCTTCGGGCTGCTTAAGCTTGACTGTGATGCCCTTTCGGCTCGTCTGGATGTCATATTCACCACCAAGGACCAGATCCTTGGCAACGAGCTCTCGGGTACGGCCCAAGCTCTCAATATCAGAGATTCTTTGAATCGTGTCTTCCAGGTGCTTCCGGAACCGAGGCTCGGCGCATATCTCCTTGAACGCGAGGTGCATCGGAACGCTGCTCGCACGAACGTCTGCTTGACTGGTCACAGTAAAGAGGTTCAGACTATCGAGATCTCGGATGAAGTCGGCTCGAGTCATGAGCTCCTGGGCTATATGGAAAGGGAATGTCGGCAAAAGGTGACCCACGACTGGATCATACGTTTTGGCCATCTCTTCTTCCTTGTCAACAAGTGCCAGAGCAAGAACCATGGCAGCCGCCTAGATGATGGAAATGAAATTGTTAGCTGGACAGGGATTCTACGTGAAGCTCAGTGCTGGGATGCAATGATAGAAGACGTACCGCCCATTTCTGCTGATCCATCACGTCGTCGTCCATCTCTGAGCCAAGGATCCAGCACTGGTTGAGAAACCACTTCTTCTCAGTCTCTTTAATCTGATCGCATGTGCGAATCATATCCTTGCTCTTTGCCACGCGGTTCAAAAAGCTCAAGCGGCCACCGATGCGATCGTATACATCTTCGAGCTCTTGGTGGTTAGGAATCTCCTTGAAATATCGCATGCGGTATTTCCTCAGGGCGTTGATGGCTTGTGACTTGGGTAAATCAGTAACAGCAAGAACTTCCATGCGGGTGGCTAGGAGCTTCAGACGCTCGTACACCCAGTAATCGTCAGTATTGAACACCATTGTGACCAGGTTTGCCGCTGCCCACTGTTCCGCACGCTGCTGGAAAAGCTCAATCAGATCTCTGCCTTCTTCGTTGTTCCTTAGAAGATGTAGCTGATTCACAATGACAACGAGAGGCTTCTTTCTCTTCTGGACAAGCTTCATAGCCACCTTTTCCAGCTTGTTCAAGGCTCGTTCAATATCAAGCAGAGCAGTGGTCTCACGTGGGCCTCGCTCGCTGAAGTAGCCTCCAATATAGTCCTCATGGAATTCATAGTCGAGCGATTTTCCCAGGCGTATTCTGACGATCTCAGTATCGGCATGAGCTTCAAACATGGCCACGCCATCACCATCAGTCTTACGCATAGCTTCTATGAGCATGCTGCTTTTGCCTGTTCCCTTCTCTCCCATAAAGAGATAGTAGTGACCAGATTCTCTACCGTCAATGATTCTGTCCACATGCTCTTGTTCAGGGCGTTGGACCCAATGCTCATCCTCGGGAGCTACTGTCCGAGGCACTTCCTTGGCGGTTGTCGCCAGGTCAAGAACCGGGTCACCTGGTTCGAATGCGCGCGTCATTTTCTTCAGAACGAGCATCTTGTAGCTCTTGTGGTAAATATAGCCAGCAGCAGCAAATCCGAAGGCGAGGACGATGATGGACGCAAATGTGGTGGCGGCGCTTTCGCCCATTTTGACGAGTAGAGATTCCTTGGCTGCATCTCGGCGACTATGAAGAGATGATTGTGAAAGTCCCTCGTCTGTCAATGGCGTTAGTTGATTGATATTGGGCACTGCAGTTTGTGCTATTTGACTACATAATGCCATGGAATCCTCGGTTACATGATTGGCAATTGCAAACAGACTTGAGACGCGTGACGGCGACACAATGCATGTATTCTCCAGCAACAAGTGACACCAATTGCAGCCCTGAATACCACCGACATCCCCCAAGCATCAACGAGAGACTTCGAGGGGAGTACAGATACAAATACAAATACAAATATAAACACAAAACAAGTACGAGTAGTATCAGGAAACGTACCGGCGTGTCGTCGAGCTCCCTGAGTGGAAAACCGGGGCCTGCACAGCAGTCGCGCGCTGCTGCGCCCCAGCCTGCTGGGGATGGACTGGGGGATATGCCGAGTCAAGCGGCTGCTTTGGCGTAGCATCGTGTCTCTTGAAGAGTCGTTGGCAGATGGAGATTGAAATTAACAGGCCAGACAAGAGACTTTGAGGTTTGAGGGACGCTCGGGAAGCGTAGATGGACTACGGAGTACCTGGTACCTTAGTCTCTTAGCATTGCTTGGCAATCCCGATATTGACGTCTTCTGCTGTGTTACACGGGCATTCAGCGGCCATGCCCCTGACGTCTCTTGGCGTAAAAGGGGGTTTAGCACCCACAGGTCGCTGGAATTGCTGGCTCTGGCACCGGCGGCCTCCCAGTGGGAATATCATTGGTGCGTGGCCCCCGGCCTAAGCTTTGTGGCGCGTTGCATTCTACGCATCAATTTAATCCCTTGCGTGGCCTGTAGATTTGCGTGTCATCAAATGGCATGGGTGTCTGATCGATTGATTAGTGGGATTCCGCCCACATGCATAATACTGTAAGCATATTGATTAATCCAACTCTACGGATACTGCTACACTGCTACACTACATCTACGAAGTAGCACCATCCCACTATCACATCTTCTGCTGTGCTGTGTCCATGTCCGCGTATATTCTTCCAGGGCTCGTCACGCGTCTCAGTCTCCCACTCAGTACCTGAACAGCCACGTCATCAGCCGAACCCACAACCTTTGTAAACAAAGAAAAAGAAAAAAGAAAAAAGAGGGGCGCCATCTTGATGCACACCCACACGTGACGGGGAAGCTCTGTGCGTGCAGTTGCAGGGCTGGCACTTGCCCAGCTGACAAGATGGAGTCGATCTCGAGGCTCCAGCTCTGGATCGGACATCTGGACTTTGGCATCGATCTGAGATCGGTGATAGATACAAGTGACATGGCCGGCCAGAGCCTCCAGGACGACCCAATTGGGTTTGCAGACATGTATCTTCTTATATATCAAAATTGCATCTTCCATCTTCCCTCTCCGTGACCGTGATGGTGGAATATCAAGTGCCTGATATCTGCCCTGTCCGTCCTCCAACTCAGACACCAACGTACAGTCGAGCCAGAAGTGGGCGTCATCTGAACGGTCCGCCGCCAAACGCGTTTGCCTTGCAGACTGACACATGCCTACTCTTGGCACCCTCACAGGCGGGGGGATTTTTTGCTTTCAGCTGGCCATCCTCACCTCGCAGCACTCTGCCCTAACCACCTACAATCATCACGATTTCAATCTCGTTTTCTTTTTTTCAGTTGCGTAAATAATTTTCATTTCGGCTCAGCATTTCTCTTCCGCTTTTCTACATTAATGCCTAAACTCCATCTTCATTTGTTATCCTGAATCCTCGATGAAAACAATTCGTTAAGCTCCTGATACCACCCGTCGGAATGCCACTCACTCCCCAGGAGTACCTGGACTGGTGGCTCACCACGGGTCTTGACCCTCTCAAAGAGCTTGTCAACAAGGAGGCCTTGGGATGTGGCCCTCAACACGTTGGATTTGAGCAGACGGTTCAACGAAGACAGCGAGGCTTTGACAATGATGTCGAACTTCGAGAGGCTCTACGGCTGCATGTGAAGAGGCTTTCCTCTCACCAATCTTCCGATGTCTCCTGCAACCCAAGAAACAAACTGAGAGAGCTTACTTTGAACGTCTTCAAGAAGCCCGAGGATGGGGGCCTAGTTCCCGACAAGGTCCTTGAGGGCCTCGCTGATCTCAACGCTGTCGAGCTTCGACGGCGTCGACTCGTCGCTGAGACACCTCTAATTTTCAGACCCGGCCATCCTGCTTTTGGATCAGCGGCAATGATTCAAGAGCTGAATAGAAAGGCTACGGACAAGTTTGGCCAATTTTACATGGGCTTCAGAGCATCTGTAAGTATCTTTCAGAGGCTGCACATTTCACGGCTAACTTTCCACCTCTCTTTCAGATGGTCGTTGAAGAGTTGAAGCAGGCGAAATTTACCAGAAAGCCTTCTGTGGAGATAATGGCAGTTGTGAATGCTCTCTTCCCAGCTCACGACCTTTTGAAAAACTCAGAAGACGTTAGTCTTGTTCCATGCACCGACTCTCTCCTCGGCTGCATCCGCTTTACGGTTCTCTATCATCTATTGGGAGACAACCCGTTGAGCGATAAACAGCAAGCCATGATCCAGGAGAAGCTGTTTATCTGGTGCAGCCTACCAAGGTATCAGACAGCGTACAAAGTATTCGCTCAATACATTGAAGAGTTTAAGACAATCGAGTCGCTCTGCTTCAACGTTCTACAGCTAGCAGAAAAGGAACCTTCTCGCCGAAGATCAGGGTCCCACCGTTCTTCCTTCACTCCTAATTCAGTAGTCATGGTCAAATCTATCCTCAAAGGCTCTCCTCGGAGCCCTCGCGAGCTGGGAAACCTAGCTGGGTCTGAAAGATCAATTTCTCCAGAATTCGTGGCATCGGCCCCCCCTGTCCCCAATCCATTACTAAAAGGTCTTCCGGGACGAGAAGTATCTCCTTCTAAGACCGACGGAGCAGCGTTTGCCTTTGACGATTCATCTGCACCAAAGCTGAGAGTAAAACACACTTCTACTCTGTCCAGAACTGCATTTGATCAGCATCCGCTTGCAAAAGACTTGAATCTTAATTCACGGGAAAAGGCCCAACTCGGGCTTCTCCTCCCGAAGCAAAAAAATCGCCGCAAGTTTTAGTATGATGCCGGTGACGAAACTGTTATCAAAGGAGAAAAGGTTGCTGCCAAGACCTTCGACCCTGGCAGAAAGCTGAAAAAGAAGCCGTTGCTGATGAAGCAGAAGTCGTTGCCGACGAGGCAGAAATCATTGCCAACTAAGCAAAAGCTGTTGGAGACGAAGCAGAAGCTATTGCCGATGAAGAAGAAACAGCTGCAAACGAGGAGGAGGAGAAAGAAGGAGGATGATGATATCCCCCCAGTTCCCCCCACACCTGACATTCCGGAGTCGATGAAGTCAACAATCACAAGGACCAGCCTCAAGCTCCTTCAGCGAATGCGTTCGCACCCAGACATCCAAGCAAATGGATCGAGTAGCTCCAAGCTTCCACAGATTGCCTCAGCTCTTGCTAGTAACAAAGCAAAGCCGAGCACCAAGCTGGCGAAGCCGCCTACTCGCCCCAAGGTCCCTCAAGGGCAAGTTCGAGACAGTTTCTATCTCCGCACGTCATCTTTCCCCGAAGCAAGTATTCGAAGCAGCCAACAGAGCCTCTATACCCAACGGGCCCCCTCTACTCAATCAGTAGACAGGGCCGGTCCTGTTAGAAGGCAAGATGGCACTGCTAGTCATGAAGAAGAATCGCTGCGTAAGCCTGAAGTCAAGTATAGTATGTGCCAACCACGACTTTCCAACATGGAATACACAAGGCTCTATCTTGTAGAGGAAGCCAATGCCAAAAAGGAGAAGCGACCTTGCGAGCTTCCTCCACCTAAGAAAGTTTGGCTTTGGGGTCCTCGCTGGGAAGAGTTTCTCGTGCTACCTAAGCTCCCAGCATCCATCAGACGCCGGTTTTCCCTCAATATTGGCGATGAAGCGAGAAAGCCCGTGAATTTAGAGCCGCTTGGCCAGGAACACGATTCGGATGCCGACTCGGTGGAGACTGTCAAGGGAAAGACATCGGTGGCTGCTAAACCCCCTCGGCTGTCTTTGAATCTTGAGGGCATTGCTTCCTCTCTGATGCACCTGGTATCCATAGACTCCGAAAAAGCATCTCAGTCTTTGGCCAAGGCAAAGCCCCATGAAGTGGTGCAGGAGACGGGCGAAGAAAGCCCAGTTCTTGGTCATTTCGCTGCAGAACACGTGAAGCAAAGCTGGTGAGTTGAGTCCACGAGTTTGAATTCCTGTCAAGCTGAAATAACGTACTGACATGAGCAACAGTATATCGACGGATGATAAAGCTCCAGATTTGCCGCCCGTACAAACCGTGTCAACCGTGTCTACTAGCGAAGCTGACGATGAAGACCTGTACTCTGACGATCGACATCTATGGCCTTCCCCAATGAGTCAACAAGGCACGCGGCTCACTTCTGTTTCACCCATATCTGAGGAAGCCACCGAAACCGTGCGTGACGATAGCCATAGCATTGAGAATACGACCCCCCAGCTCAGTGATGATGTCTCTGAAACATCGTCCATCTATTCGAATGATAGCGCGAGGACTGCCGTCTATGTTGGCAACAGCAAGGAAGCTGGTGATGCTCCCAAGACTCCCCAGACAGCTCGCCGTCTCCCCGAACAGCTTACAACACCAGATGAAGCATCCCCCGTGCGACCTGGCATCACATTTAGCTACAGCTGTGCTTCGTTCAACTCCCTGTCGTCTGATCGCTCCCCATTGACACATTTTCCCATCTCGGCTGAACAAAGATCGAGAGCAACTACAGAAGATATGGTGCAGGGTATCCTCAGCCAGTCAGGAGGCCGCCTCCGCGTCGAAGACGCTCGCCAAGTTCAGTTAGTGGAAAGGAAGCATAGCGCTGAGATCCAAGCCTCATCTGCCGACATTTGGCATACCGACGACTACATGGAACCAGAGCTTCAGCCAGCTCCCCTTAATCTATCTAAGAAGTCCTCCATCGTGAGGCCAAAGCAAGGTTCGCGGGAAATGCCTGAGAGACCCAAGATGAATCCCAATCCTCTTGATCCCGTCCAACAGTTTAAATATACACCCAGGCCCAGCAACTTGACGAAGGAGGCACCCCCAAAGTTTCATGAGAAAATCAAGTCGTATGAATCGGGCTTTGTGCCTCTACCTGGATCGCTTCTTTATGAGGCTGACAAGAATGCGGATATCATTAGAATGCCGCAAAATCTATCAAGCAGCTCTAACTCAAGCAGCTCTGTTTCGACTATCATAACTCCCTCCAAGCCTGGTCCAGTCAAAGTACCAAACTACGCGGCTCAGCGCTCAGAGAGAGTTAAACACGAGCCAAGGCCTTCTCGCTCTATGAACGAGTTGTATGATGCAGTTTCAGCGAGCAATGCCTCTCAGCCTCAGCGACGCAAACCATCTCCTACTCTGAGCGACCTAGACGAATTCTTCGGGATCGGGCCGTATGAAAAGGCATTCTTGGAAAAGCATCCGGAGGCAGCAAAGCCGTTTGTCCTTCCCCCCAAAGTCCTGGAGTCCCCGGAAGCACCGGTCTTCACAAATCCTTCCCAAGCTACTCTAATGCTTCGTCGACGAGATAGGGACATGCAGCAACAGCGCGCTCTTCCGCAGCCAGTCAGGGGCACACAGCAACACCGGGCACCTCCACAGCCTACGGTTCAAAGAGTGATGGAGAGAAAGCCAAACACTTCAGTGAACGTGAGCAGCTTCGCGTTGCACAGAGCTCAGGGCAACAAGGCGACCATCTTGCCAGTAGTTGAGGGAAGAAGCCATGCGAACACGACCAATATCAGAGGGCGCGACATTGGCACCAGCCAAGACTACGAATACGAGGATAGCATATCCGAGGAACACATGCCGCAGCAAACGCAAACCTTTCTAGACGATGTTCATCGATTCTCTCTCCAGCGGTACGATATCAGTGCTCGTCGCCCTTCGACTGCCCATGCTCGCCCCAGCACCCTCTTTGAGCGAGCCGCGCCGATCCCACCCGTAGAGAGTGTCGCTTCCGAGGGTAAGAAGACCACTAATTCGCCGGCTACAACGCTGGGAAATCTCTTCCGAAGGCGTAATCGGAATCGTAAGGAGAATCAACAGTAAAACTTTGTACGAGTCAACAGAATAGTTCAGCCATGGGAGCTGCCAAGGAATGAATATGGGAATGGAGATAATGAATCACGTTGCGCGCAAACGGCTAGATAGAGCCAGATAATCGAATTAGGTAGTTTGAAAAATGAGGCTTTTGAAATTAACAACTTTGTGGTTCTACTGTGAAGGGTGCTGAGTTGTCTTCATGCCCGATGGTGCTTTTGCTTTCAAACCCTACAAGTCCAAGAGACTCGCCGACGCGATCTGGAGAAAATGGATCTACAAAGTCGCACACACGCATACCAAGACATGTCGTTGGTTGATTTTACCAGCTCCAGTTTTCAACGTTGCCACCGAGCTCGTACGATAGCACAACTTGACTCGCGATCTAAATTGCATGCAGTCGGCATCTCCTTGACACAGGCCCATCAAAACAGAAAAGACTACGGAGTACAATAGAGAAATTATCAACTGCCTCTTTTCAAACCGGTGATCCAGCACCCAAGCAAGCGACACGAACCGACAAGGAAAAGTGAGCCATAACCTCATTCGCTAAAGCCTCGTCCCGGAACCCTGGTCGAGGACCAGCGCGGGAACTCGCCCAAGCAGGCATCCCGGGCCATCCACACCCCAAGCGAGAAGGCGTGACGAGAGAAGAGCAGGGCTATGGAAGGAGGAGAGAAAAAGAGAGGGAATAAAAAAAGGACCCTTGAACAGGATGCTTCGCTTGGCCGGGTTGGAACGGAAGCATCTCGGTCATGCTTTCTCACAGCCCGCCGCAGGAAGATGCGCGTTCCGGGTCGAGATGAGGTAATGTTACAGCACGCTACCACTGCGGAGTCTCGAGCCTGACTTGTGTGTTTAGCATCGTGCCTGTACAATGAACGGCAAGTATGTCTGAGCCGGGGGCAACAGGCCACCAGAATGCGCCTGCTGGTGTGGTGTTTCAGACCAGAATCGCCCACCAATGCCCATCACCAGCAACCACATCGTTCGACCCAAGAAAGCGGGGGAAGAAGCAAATGGCCCTTCGCTGCCTTGCAGGCGTGGGTAACGACGGTGATTTGCCAGATGCAGGATTCGGACCCCCCTCCCCTTCTCTGGGCGCCTCCTCTCTGCCTCCCATCTGCCTCCCATCCGCCATCCTTCTCCAACACACGAGAGCCGAACCCCGGACAGACGCGGAGAGCGAGACTGAGACATGGCTTGATAGCGGCCCAATATGTGTGGGAGTCTTGTGTATCATCGAATCCCAGCCGCACGCACGCTGGGGGGTTGGCAGAGAACGCGCACGAGCACGCCAGCGCTACGGCATGCATGGAATCATCATGGCCACGCACGAAATACGATCCGATACATGGCGGAGGTGGTCTGCTGGCTCCAGAGTTGGGGGTCAGTCAGCCATCACCACCAAAGCCCAAAGCCCGACCAGGCCAAAACGGCATCATGGCCAGCGGCAAAAAAGAGTCCAAGCCGGTCTGTTCCTCATTCCTCCTCTCACCCCCACTTTCCGGATGGTGGGCTGAGGCGCAATCTCACAGGCACACACCTTCTTTGTTGCCCTTCTTCTTCGTTTTCTTCTTGGGCTTTTGGAGCCTAGGCATATGGGCGCGTGCATGGGCTCGTAAATTCAATGACAGATGCAAATGACCCCACGTTGTGCTCCATATCTAACTTTGTTTTCCTACTTAAAAGTCTGGGGAAGAGGAATCGATGTGGTAATTCTCCGACGAGCCCGACGGTGAAGTGTCTGTAACGTAAAGAAATGCAAATCAAATCAAATGGGATGATTTCTCAAGGCGCCTACACGTACGATACACGTACGTAATAAACTGGCGTGCGATTTCGTCGATGTTCCGCCGGCTTGCATGCCACCAGACCCTTTGATCAGCCAAGCCGTCAGAGAAGATCATCCGCTAAGACGGAGACTAGGCACGACAGATGAAAAACCAGTGCTCAACCCGAGCTGAAAGGGCTGCGTCGCCCAAGTCGAAAACAGAGATGGATTGACGCTCCGAGACGAAGCAAGGAGAATAAAAAATTTGCATACAGTACGACGTTGGATATCACGGCTCTGCCCTGACCGGTTCGGCAAGGAGTTTCCGATCTTTGGCCCCCCTCGCCCCCAGCTTTTGACAAATTTCAAGGCTGAAACAGCCCTTGAGAACAATATAGAGTGGTTACACAGCATTTGCATTCGCCTGCCAAGCATGTTTCCTATTTCTCCCCGGCCGTTGTTGCAAGCCGTACCTACCGATGTGAGCTGTAAGGGATCCATGAGCGTACATGCTAGTCGTACGGAGTACATGGTATGGAGAAGATGCCGCCCACAAAAAACTTCAGCTCCGGTCTTAGTGCTGAACCCCCAAATCCCACGGCAACATGGCATCTGCTAGCCGTCTGGAGTCGCTGATATCGACGTCATCTCGAACAAGAATAGAAGCTCCTCAGCGGCACGATACCGCTGTTTTCGCTCTGTCGGGCCTCTTTGTTGGAGACCAACAAATGTCATGTCGGTGGGGAGTGGGCTCACGTCCCATCGAATAAAGCCCATGACCAAATCTGTCCTGGTCCCCCAGAAAGCAACACCGACACAGTGTTTTCTTTACTAGTACTTCGGAGGTACAGACTGGTACTCGCTGCTAGCAGTAAAAAAAAAAAGAGAGAGAGAGAGAGCTCTCAGCCAACGAAATGTCCTGAAACCGCCGCCCTACCACCTGATCTTCACTGCCGTGATTTAGTGTCTTGTCCATCGTCATGAGCATGAACCGTTGGCTTGACAAATCCGCTCACCGCACTTTTTATCTACACCTTTTCTCTTTTTCTTTGCTCTGTGTGGTCAGTCACCACGTCAGGCGTGTCCCGATGCTAGCCTAGTTTCGCTCCTACGTATCATGCGAGATGGAAGGGAAAACAACTAAACAAGATGCTCTGGCGAGATTGGATTTGGCGGCTCCTCTCCCTTGGACGCGATGACGTGCTGCGATACCTCCAACCGCTTATTCGGCTTCTTGAGATGTGATGAATGGATTGGCCTGGCTTGGCATCGGAATTACGAGTAAGTCGGCCTCAAGAAACGAAGAATTTCATGCGAGTCCTGAATCAAGATATGACATACGATGGCGCACCATGCTCTAGAGCCTCGTTTTAGTATAGGCTTACGGACTTTTGCCGCAGACCTTTATTGTTTTGTCCCCTCTATTATTTTTTTTATTTTGAGACCGCGTGGGACACCCATTGGGAAATGCATCATTGGGGAACAGGAGGGGAGAACAGGGTCATACGCAGGCATTTGTCGGAGGATAAGTTCCTTGAAGGATCAATGGCAGTCAGTCAATGAGATATCCTCCATGGCCGCGGGCTATTAGACGGTCCGCGGCTCCATGTCAGTAGGGCGTCGAGACAGGCATCTTTGTCCATGTCTGTGTGTCTCAAGGTTCAAATATTGGCTCCCTTGGCGATCCAAAAGCATGGCTGCTGACCACGTATTATTGTATCCGGCACATAGTAGTATGTGCCATGCCACCAACCTTTCAGAGTAATATTGAAAGCATGTACAGGGACCTTTCAAATGCAGTCGCCCGGAATGTGTCAGGGATTTTTTGGGCAAACTGATAGATGATAGCCGTTCGTGAAGGATGCAATGAGCCATCACCCAGATACCTGCAGCTTGCCTCATGCGAACACGCATTCAACATGTACCGCTCCCACTTGGGACTCCCGGAAACTCAATCACCAGCTTGCAAGTGCCTTGCTGAGCAACCTGAACAGCTTTTAGCCTGCCACTCCAACGCCTGGCATTGGCTCGGCCGTCAAATGTAAGCGCCAGCCTAGCCCGTTGCTCTTAGCTATGGATGGCCGCCACGCCGTTCCCCCCCGAACTTGTTTGATTTTCTTGCCACCGAAGATTGGCATGGGCTGAGCGGTGCGGCGCGAGGACGGTCCGCATGGTGTTTATCCGCCGTTCAAACTCAAATATCGTCGGTGAGTCTAGACTTGTCGCCCAATTGCCCAAAGGGGCATGACATTGGGCTCTGCTGGGTAGCTGGGCTTGAGATTGACTTTCTTCCAAATTCTTCTATGATGATGAACAAGAGGGGGGAAAAAAAAGCTGTGAGAGAGATCCCTCCCCCACCAGTGATCATATGCATATGTACGAATGATGGGGCTGTCACTGACTAGGTAATTACCGCCTCATTAACAGTGGGCAAAACTGGAATTAAGAGCAGCCTGGGTCGATTTGATCACAACGGCGTGGCAACTACTGGACGCCGCTATCATGCTATTCGCGATACTAAGGGGCTACAAATGGCAAACTCGTCTCTTTTCGCCCTTCATCTTAGCATCAACAGATAGCGCTGGCGCATAATTTTGCCCCTAGCAAGTCACATGAAGGTGAGTATACTGCGGTCACTCGATTACCGCTTCTCTGGAAGGGGGAACAAGACAACAGACGGATCCTCTTAGCAGAGTTAGACCTGAGGCTAGATGCCACCATCGGGTGCCAAGGTCAGGGTACTAGCAATTGCTAAAAACCAAGAGCCCGGCGTGGAGGATCAAGTATTTCGTGTCCATGTACCCCCAAGTAAATCTCCGTACCCAGCCCACTTAGCCTCCTGGCCAATGTCACGTATTCATCCCAATTGCCAGCCTCATGGCGGCCTAAGCCTATTGCAGCGTAAGGGCGGTCTTTCGGCATTGTTTTCTGGGGCCAGATGGTTACACAGGGGATGGAGGGTTCAATGCTGTTTGTGCCATCGAAGCCGAGCCTTGATGTTCCTCGGATGCGGGGAGGAATAACGCCCTGTGTCACCATATCCTTGGTCACAACTGATTTTTGAGAAATGCTAAGAGAGCATGTGAGTGTGTGAGAGTGTCTGTGGTGAGGCGTGTGTGTGTGTGTGTGTGTGTTGGGCGAGGAGAAAAGAGACAGCGAGGCTCGGCATACAGCTGGCTAGTGGAAGGATCTGTCTAGCCCACACTACTGTAATCGATTGAAGCAGTGCTCCGTATCTCCAGCCAAGTGCTCGCGTTTAGCTTCATTTTGCCAATGGCGAGTTGAAAAGGGGAACATCGTGTCAAGGGAACGTCGATCATTAGGCCTTGTGCGTGTTGAAATTAGCTGTGCTAGTAACGCTAGTTCGAGTATCCCATCATGGGTGGAGATTCAAGTCATACTAAGGCCCGTTAGTGATCATTGGGTGTAGTCTGGCAGTGTACGAGTAGTGTATGTACGAGCATTTGAAGCCTAAAAAAACCGAGTCATCTTTCTCCAAATCTGGCACTCGAGGTGCCCCTCATCGTAGCTATTTCAAGGGCATCTACGGAGTAGTCGGTATGAAATTGATATACATAGATAAGTACTTACAGGTATATTTACCCGTAGGGCAATATCGGGGAATCGTCTCATGTGACTGCAATAACCTCGTCTGAGAGGTGGGTTCGGCAAAGCCAAGTCTTCACGGAAAGAGTATCCATTCCGGGAAGCCCGACAAGGAGCCTCGACCATACCAGTATCATGTTATGTAGGAAGGAGTACGGAGTAGCATGCTAGATAAGCACGCAACACTCCTACAGTACTCGTACATACATTTCACAGGGTCGTATGGGATGTGATTGATAACCTGTCACTTGCGCTCCTTCGTACTGGCACCTACCGGAATGTTGCGGCTTTTGATTCTATGCCTGCCTTTGCTTTCAATTTCTTGCCAACAATACTACGGCCGGCAGGTGGCAGCTTTTCGCTTCATAGCGTGACATATCCTTCGTTGCCAGCGTTGCTGACTTTGGAGCTCGGTAATGCAGCCGTCTACTGGTCAAAGCGAGCGTGGAGAATAGAGGCTAAATCTGTAAGCTGGGGGAGAGCTGGCGTCAAAAGCTGATGGTTCCATTGGTACCGGAATCGTAGCAGGTCTTATTAGTAACTAGTAACACCTTGCAAGTTTCGAGGCTCTGTCCGTGGGATAAGTACGGAGTACCCAGGCCGCAACACTAACACGATCACCGTCAGGACGCTGATGACTGCGGGGACCAGATGATGGCTTCAGCCGTTAGCGTCTCTACACGGTCCGTTGCGCCCGCTTCTAACCAGTCGCTAGCCAGACTTGCTGGTGAATCTTGAGGCACGGCTCACTTGAGGGGCGTCGTCTAGGCGTCTGGAGAAGCAGTATTATCAGCCGTGCCGTTTGGGACGAGCGGCTGGTACGGATACACTCGTATGGATCGTGGACGCGTGGCAGCTCCTAACGGCAAGATGCTACAATGCTTCTCTGTGCTGCCTCGAATTGCATACGGAGCCTGGCATACTCTATACTGAGGTCGCGGCAACGGGATATCAACCAGCTGTGCATAGAATCGAGCACAGCATCAGACTGACACGATCTTGTTCTCAGTATCACGATGCTATCTATAGGTATTCCATATGTAAGGCAGTAAGCCTTCCCATTGCGTTTGCTCCGTTGCCAAGAGGAGAACATGCTTCCTCCTCGCAGCCTACGGGATTAGTAGACAGTACAGTATACAGGTACTCGTACATGTAGTCGTGGAGATGGCTGTTATCGTGCCTGGATTTGACCAGGGTCCTGGCTGTCGTCTTTTGAACGGAGAAACCGTATTCGCTGCTTCCACGACAAGGTCCAGCATTGGCCAATCTCCTCATTTGCAGAACAGCTGCGACTTCCGAGCGGCCAACACAGATCAGCCAGCCCCACGCCTCGTGGGGGTTTGCTCGGAGCGTACCGTCTTGATTTAGGACAAGCAGCACCAGGTCTCCTGATGGCCCTTCTCCGCTCGATCTCGCCTGCTAGCTTTTAATGGCACAGACGTGCGTAGGATTGCCTGTTAGACAGTGGGCTCATGGGCCTTTGCTCCAGCGGTTGATAAGATAATGATCTACAAAGTGTTCATCGTGGAAGTCAGCGCGGACCAGGGAGGCTCAGCTCAGGGGCTCTGGTACGGATCGTGACCTCGTACGGATATGCTCTCATTTCGTGCGCGGTAGTTTTGATCACGCTCGAGGACAGGCTGTGACGTGGTGTACATGTACATATGTAGGCCGTACGTAAGAGTCGATAGAATCACGACCTACCTTAGTAGGTGGCGCATGTCAGTGTTGGCAAATTCGCTGTACATCAGATGTAGTTGAAAGCGAAGAAAAATCAAAAAACCAAGACACAGGTACCGGTGGCAAAACCGCATACAGGTACGGACGGGCATGCTGATGTTTTATTTCGGGGAGGCTCCTCCATCATCATCCCGCATACGCCGCGATTCCCTTAGCCTTCCAGGTACAAATTAAACCAAATGACTAACCGTTCCGCCTGAGCGATGCAACGCTCTGATCATCCTGGATTCTCTGGTTGGCGGCACGAGAAGCTCCGTAGCCCGGAGACCAGCCTGTTTATGACCTTGGCCCGGCGGTAATATGAGAGGGGAGAGACCCAACTGACTGGCCCCTGGCTAGCGTCCATGAGAGGCCACGATGATAGCGTCAACAGCTGGGCGTACATGTCTGCACAGACTGATTACAGCAGACGCCTATCATATCAGCCAATTAACAAGACGGGAGCGTTCTCGTACTTCGTACAGTATGAGCAAAGGCGTATAGTAATATGGGACTGTCTTGGGGATATGTACTGTACACATGCATGTGCTCGGGGAAGCCTTGCAGCTGGAAGACAGCCCGTAAAGGTACTCGGACATGACAGCTTGGTTTCAGGCAAGCTGTTGCTACATATACCCGACCTGTACTCGTACCTACATGTACGGTGTCGATAGTGCTAAAGTATGGATTTACGGTTAAGTTCAGTGTCCTGAGGCGCCAAATCTCGTACTAATGCTTCCCTTCCTGCAGTTACTACCAAAGTAGTTAGCAGGTACATCCAGTACTTTGCACAGTTTGTAGATTTGCCCATGCGTGAGTCCTCGTACTGTACTCGCAGCAAACTCAGACAACCTGAGGCAGTGACTGAGCAGCCTTGGGGAAACATCAGTCGTCACTTCTCATTCTTCTTGAGGAGGGGCCTCACCTTGACCTCACAATGGATTGCCGACGCCATGCAAAAGAACGCGGAAAGAAACAACAAAATGAGCATGAATCCTCTCAAGTCATCACGCCACGACCTGCCAAGCCGCGCAGGGATTGCCGCCGACTACTGGGTCGCTATTGAATTAGCTCCGAGCTCTGTGAGGAGCCGTCTGGTCCATGACAGGGCACCCAATTCAGCCACGCACGTTTTTGCCAGCTCCCAGCGACGATGGCCTAATGATAGCCGTACGGAGTACGACGACAGCTTACGGCTGTTGGTATGCCACGAAGTACTAGCATACGAGCAGCAGCAGGAGTACGAGTGCAGATATCGAGCCATGCAGCAGCGCAGGACGGACGATGGGCATCAATCCCTGTCCCTTCGTAGTGCCGTCAGTTAGGTGCTACGACAGAAGCATCTCGACTGGGCCTGGCTGAAATCGTTACGCCAGCAACAGCCACACGCGGCCAGAAGAAGAAGAAGAAAAGGGCGAAAATAAGCCAGCCACTAATAAGCTAATCAAATCCCATCAAGGCCATCAATCTGTCGGTCTGGGCCTGAACAACGCGCCGCCGCAGCTTCAAGTAGACGTCGAGTGGCCCTGTGTCCCTGCCTAAAGGGCACACACACACACACCTCTTCACACACACACGCATACTTGTACACACGCACCGCGGCAATGGCGAATGGCTCCCGAGAGAATGCAAGGAGAGAGGAGAGGAGAGGACAAGAAAGCATTCCGCCGCCGACGACCATGATTATGCGCGCTGGCTGCTTAAACAGTGAGCCAAAATGCGAGTAGGGCTGCAAAAGCAAAACCGCGGCGGGGACGGTGGCCCGCACCCCCCGTCCACAAATCACGTCCTGCTACCTGACACACCCTGGACTCGCGAGCAATGATATCATGATACAGGACGCTATGTCGGAAGCAACCTTTCTGATGCTTGTTCGCCGCAGAGTCTAGCCGGGGGGTTGAGGGAGGCCAGTTGTGGACAAACGGCCTACTGCTTGTGCCTACGAGTACTCGCACCGTCACGCCTCTCCCAGACACCGCGTTGCACGTTGACGGGCCAGAAGATGGCGTCAGCAATGGCTTCCCCATATAGCGTGCCACATTCCCGAAGCACACTGGGCGTCAAGGCCCTGCAACCCATGCTCTTCTCACCAAAGGCCGACGTTGGATCTCGCTCCCTGGACGGAACTAGCCAGCAGGCCAGCCTCAGCTCCCAGACTCACAAGGGTCAGCTCCATTAGACGAGTGCTTGTGCTTAACTCTAGCACAATTAAGAAGCTGGAATTGTCCAGCTAAGCGGGGCCTCCTGAGAAGAGACAAGACACCACGACAAGAGCAGAGCGCAGGGGTGCGGCACGTCCCTCCCCCAGCACTCGCAGCTCTCCAACCCGGTACGAGTATAACGAGCAGCTACTTGGCCCCTACCGACCAGGCTTCTTGTACCGGGGAGTACCTCCACGTCTCTCTGCAGGGACTGCTGGCCGACGCTAGGATAGGGAATGTGTGGGTTTGGAGGTGGAGATAGGTGCCAAGGCCTCGACCCCGTCTAGATGTCATCTACTGCTCCTCCCATCAACCAAATCCTAAGCCCAAAGCTGGCTTGTACCCCCATCACAATCGTCTGCCCACGGGAGCGACGGCACAACAGCTCTTGAGTCGTAGCAGCTTTAGGGGAAGAACGGCGAATGCATGCATGTACAAAGTACGAGTACAGGCGAGGTTGTGATTAGTACAAGTAGCTTCGCGCTTTTCGAGGGAATCCCACACGCCCCCTTCCCTAGGTGTGGTGTGTTCCCAACCTCACCCAGGTCTGGGGGCCAGATGGATGGCTGTGGGGGGGAGGAGGAGAGGAGAGCTCATACACGATTAACGGATGGTTCTCATGAGAGGATCTTATGTATATGATTTAAACGGATGCCGTTTAGACCCTGTCTTTGGCCAAATAAGACCTCTCCTCCACCACAACCCCTCCATGCCGCCCAATCCTTACTTCTCTCTGTTCGCCACGATCTTCGCTTGCACCGTGCATTTCGGCCAGCAATCCCTCTGATCATCTCCAGTGCCGATGTCGATGAATTACCCAACGTGATACTAGCACGAACAGCCACTCCTGCCTGACGGCCTCCACACTTGAGTTTCTACGCCGCCTGCAAGGGGAAAGAAAAAAAAAAGTGATAGAGTAAAAAGAGCGAAGAGCTTGTGTCATCTTGAATCGCCATTGATTCTTGCCTCTCAAGTCTCTCTCTCAATCTCTTACATTTCCAACCTCTTGTCTCTTCACACAATCTATTCCACGTGCCAACGCTTTTTCTCGGAATCCATCTTCGATTGGGCATGTGCTTGCTATTGACGTATAATGGAACATACGCTCGCCATCGTGACGAACGAAGACTTTACCCAGTCAGACGATAACAGCATGTCCCCCGATGAAGGGTCCTACGATGGGATGGTGTTGCCGTCGCCTTCGCCTACCGAGACCGCATGGAGAGCAGGCGTCTCCACGGCACCTCTTCAGATGGGGCAGCTCTCGCCGGTGAGCTCCAATACCGACGCCAACCTGGACAACTCGTCCGTCCCTCCCATGACCAATTCCGCATCGTCGTCATCGTCGTCCTGTGTAGACTCTTGGAACGCCGGCTATGCCAATCCAGATGAGGGCGAAGAAGACTGGGAGCAATGGGAACAAGGCTCCGACGAAGCACTCACCATTCCAAAGCTGGAACCGATCGACGATGATATCAACTTGGAAGACGTAATCGCAGTCCCTCTGTCGCAAACGCCGCCGAACGAGCTACTGGGAGGCTCCCAGCTCAAGCAAAAGAGGCCCCGCGGACGACCAAGGAAGCATCCCTTGACCCCGATAGTCAATGCGAATAAAGTTACCAAGGGCCGTTCAAAGACTGGGTGCATCACTTGTAGGAAGCGCAAGAAGAAGTGCGATGAGGCAAAACCAAGATGTATGCAAGCTCTTCTCAATTCGACAAGGCGTTGTGGTCCACTCAAGCTAACATATGACTGAATCGACAGGCATGAACTGTGAGAAGAACGCTGTCGTCTGCGAGGGATATCATGAAAAGCAGGTCTGGAAGAGCGGCAGGGAAAGGGCTGAAGAGGGTACGTTGAACCAAAGCTCGGAGCAAAGAAATCTGGGCATGGCAGCACACGACGGCTTCTGAACTACATAACTAACCCTTGCAATAGAACGACAGCGTTGGGAGAACCTACCCATCATAACCATGCAGCCCATCTTTCACGGCGTTGAAACCACCGAGGACAAGATTTTCTGGAAACACTACGTCAACCACTTCAGCAACGTGCTGACGGTCGAGGGAGAGGCTAAAAATGCCTTCAAAGACATCATACTGCAGCTCGCTAATCGACATCAGGGCTTGATGCACTCGATACTTGCGGCTAGCAGCAAGCATATTGACTGGGATACGCCTTATGGAATGAAGATTCTTCAGAACAACCCATCTACAAGCAAAAAGACGCTGGAGGAACGGTCCGAGTATCACCACGATGAGGGCATGAGACGAATGTATGCCGAGATGAATGAAGAGATGGACAAGAACGACCCCGAGTACAAGACGGTTCTGGCTGCGCGGTACGGCCAGATGATGTGTCTACTTCTCCAGACTCGAGCCGAGGGCAACCCACGGGGTGATCACAGAGTTCATCTGCAGGCGTATAAGTTCCTAGTACAGCACTCGCCTCCAGAAGATACCAACTTTCTGACCTTCATCACGGAGTTTTTCCAATATCACATCTACGCCGACGACCTCTTCTGGTACCCTGAGAAGAAGACGGAGCGTCTCGCGTCGGAAGACTGGGAACCGACGATGCCTATTCATCCTCCACGCCTGCTGGGAGTCGCTGATGGATTATTCCGACACCTCTCCGAGATTACCAGTATTCGAAACGTAATCCGCGTCAACATGGCCAGCGCTGTTGACCCCCTCGTGGACTACACCAGTCTGTACAAGGCCGCCGAGATTGATGCCGCCATCAGGGAGTGGACGCCACGCTGGCCGTCTGGTGACAGCCGTGATCGTGTCGGGCTGCTGTACAAGCAGATGCTATGGGTCTATCTGTTCCGGACGATATACCCTCCCTCGGCCCTGCCTGGCCGCCGCAGCACCATTGGCTCATTGCCCACGGCCGTGTTTTCTTCAATGCCGTCGACCCCACAGCCGCGACGGGCCTCGATGGCTGCGGCCATTGGTACCACAGCTGCTTCTCCGCTCATGGGAGCGGTCAATCCCTTCTCCCGTTCGAAAACGACGCACAGCGCTCCGTCTTCTCGCCATCCCTCAAGAACCAGCTCCATGCATGAAGGGGACTTGCAGTCCGAGTCGCAGAGACAGCGGCCCTCCTCTCCGCCGCCTGCCCGTCGACCGGCTCAGGATGACAAGCGGATCACGGTGGCAGTCGACGAGTCTCTGGCGCTCTTGGAATCATTCAAACCTTCGGATCCGTCACAAACTCTCCTTTTAATCCCGTGCCTGGTGATTGGAACGGCTTGCTTCGAACCCGACCAGCGATATCGCATCCGAGCAGCCGTCAGGGCAGTGCGAGGGTATACAGGCTTGAAGAACTGCGATCGCGTCCTGGAATTGCTTGACGAGGTGTGGGCACTCATGGAACAAGGCGACTGGGTGGCTGTTTGGGATTGGCAAAGGGTCGCGAGACGAATGGGTCTCGACTTTCCCTGCACATGATGAGGCTTGTTGGTGATTTTGCCTTTTTCAGCCGGTTTATCTCATGACGATTTTTCTTCTTTTTTTTTTCCTTTTTTTTTTTCTTTTTTTGAAGAGTTTTGATTTTACAAATCAGTCCGCTTTTCTAGAAAGTCACGTTCCCAGTAATGGTTCCTCTTTCATAAAAGACTCTTTAAAACAAAAAAAAAAGGAGGGTTCATAGCGATGAACTCATTTCAAACAGCACGCAACACAGCATGGCCGGGTTTTCTCTCCTAGCGGCCTCACAAAATATATATACGTTTTTTCCGCGACGTTTCAAACGGTCACGTTTTTAACGCTGCAGTCACTCTATCTATGCCCGGATAGAACCCAGTACCGTTAGTCAATTCTAACAATCACGCTTAGATACTACGACCAGTATCGCGGGGAAGAGAGGAGAGGAAGGGGGGCTTTTTTATTTTACAGGTTTATTATTTTATATTTTATTTTCCATACCGAGGAGGATGGGTTTTCAGGGCTGGATGATTTTGTTGTTTGGAGTTTCACGGACAGGGTGGTAGCATGCCAGCCATGCGGACTGAAAGTGCTTCATTTATCGCACATGGCCTGGTTTTGGAGGGAGAGGGAGGAAAGGAGGGGGGGGGGGGGGCGGGGGGGGGGGCGGGGGGTCTCTGACGTCTTTTTTTGTTTTGTTGTTGTTTTCTGTTTTTTTGCTCTTGCTCTTGCCCACGGCGTTGTCTCAAAATGTTGGTTGTCTTTTTTCCATCTTTCTACAGCTGCGCACTATCCCCCTGCATTTTGGGTTTTCCATTTGGACTTTCGTTCGAGCCGAGAATTGCTTTTATTGCCTTAGAGTTTTGTTTTGCTATATATCAACTAAAAGGAGGTGGTTAGATGCGTTAGATTACGTTTGACAGAGGATGATACGAAAAATCCCTTCGTTTGGGTCATTGTTTTCTGTTAGAAGTTAGTTTTTATCCGTTATACAGCTTTTCTTGTCCTCATCTTAGACTTGGTGCCCTCACTACCCCTATTGTCTTCTCAGAAACAAAAGTACTTTGTAGATCGAATAGATAGCGTGATGCTTTAATTATCAATATATTTCTTATTCCATCCTAGGTAGAGCGTGTACGTAGGAGAGCATCTCGGCTCAGCCGAAAATCCGTGATCAATCCCAAGTTACCATCCCACAGGTCGATTTCCCGATCCGTCAAACATATCAAACGTGACGACTGGTGAAAAGAAAAAGAAAAGAAAAGAAAAAAAGAAACTGGATACACGAAGAAAAAGAAAGGGGCAAAGGAAGAAGAATGAAAAGAAGTAGTGATACAACGCCCCCTCCAAGGTGATTTGTTTACCGCCGTAGACCGAATATCTGCGGTGCTGTGTTCCTTTGCCGTTTGCCTGCCCAAATTCCCAGATTGAAAAAGAAGAAAAAAGAAAAAGAAGAGTCATACATATACTCGAAGAGTAATATAAAGACGATAAGCCTCCCATTTCCCTCGTTAGTCATCCGGTTTGTCAGTTTCAAAGTAGAACCTGCCCAGCTTGTCTCCTCCTCGACCTGGGCTGCCCATACCCGATGGTCCCGCCCTAGACTCGCCGCTGTCCAGCCGTTGTACGATCCTCTCCGCTGCTTCTCTGGTAGGCTGACGGCCAACAGGGACCGGCCCTCTAAAGGTTGTGTCAACGAATACGTCCTGATCAGGGGAAATTGGGTTGGTGGGTGGTCCGTCTGTGGCAACGCCATCCATCATGCGGGCATGTTGGCGCTCCTGGACGGCGGCGGCGCTCATGGGCGTGTCGCCTCCTCCCGACATGTACGAGTCTCTATCTCGCCTGGCGTCGCTCATGCCCGAGTTGGTCCGCTCGAGACCCCATTGATATGCGGCGCCGGGAGCCGGACGGCGGTGGTAGATGGGCCCGGATACGGTGCTGCCGGCGCCCTCGCCAAAGCCGACGAGAGACGAGCCGTCGTCGCTCATGCGGTCCTCGAAGCCGGTCGAGTGGGCGCCGAGGCCCTCAAGATCCTCGTCCATGGCATCATGATCGACGCCGGTGCTTGTGACGGAGTCGGCCTCGCGGTAGTTTGTGTCGGTGCTCAGGATATCCTCGTCGTGGTCGCCAATCGTTCTAGGATGGCTCTCAGTAGCACTAGCGGTACCGACGGTGCTCATCTTGGTCACGGCAACGGGCTGGCCATTGCTGTCGAAGTATGCGGGCGTCAGGTGCTGCGTCAACGGATAGTTGGGTGGGAAGCCGGCTGTCGATGTCGGCGTCGTCTGCGGCGACAGAGACGAGGCGCGGCCGGTGCTGGGCGTCTGCGGCGCTCGCAGCGTCGACACTCGCTCGAGGCCGGCCAGGCGCGAGATGCGGTCGGCGCGCTCAGCCTCAAGGCTGGTGGCGGATGGATTGTGCTGGTGGCCGCGGCTGAAGAGCCCCGTATGGAAATGGCCGCGATGGCCGTCCTTGATGGCGGTTGTCGACAGGGCCGACAGAGACGTCGTGGTGCTGGTGGGCGTGCCGCTGGTTCCCGGGCTTGTCAGCACAGCGCTTCTGAGCTCTACTAGGACGCAACATACGGCATCTCCGATGGAGTCTCGGGGTTGGACTCGGGGGGAGGCAGATTGGCCAGCGCCATTGCCGTGTCCGACATGGTTGCCGTCGTTTGATTTGCGACAGGCCAAGGCGGGAGACTGGAGCTGAGAAGAAGAGAGAAGAGCTGCAAGCTTGATGGGTCGAGGGCGAGATGTCGGATCTGGACGTTGGATCCGGCCCTTTGCGTCTTGGGCCTCTGGGAGGCGAGATGGCGTAGGTGATGTGTAGTTGGCAGAATCGTAGGAGATGGAAAGACTGAAAGCGATGATGTTGAGGTCGAGTTGCATGTCACTGGGACGTTTCACGCCACCCTTTTTTGGTGGTTTGGGTGGGCCAGGCGTCCGGATCTCTGGGCAAGTTTCGCTTTCACTGCAGCCTTACGCCAATGTCACTCCGCAGCCTGTGCTGCTCTGGATTTTGTGGCTGCGGAGCGTGGTCCATGCCATGAGCTCAGTTTGGGGTGATATCGAAACAGTACAGCTTGAAGAATCCACGTGCATTTATACTATACTGCCCACATTTACCTGCTTATGTACTTACATGCCTACATGCCGTGTAGCAACATGAAGTAACGAGACGCTAATACAGGCAAGCTTCAGCTACGTTGATTGTGCCGTCACTGACAAAAAGCTACATGCATGTGTACAGCTTGGTAAAAGCAAGCGGTTTCTCCATCTCCAGTCACCCTCTTTGTTGCTGCGGTTGTCTCTTCGTCGTGTCGGTACCAGAATTACAGAGGCTGTACGCCCATGACGTATGTAGTTTCCGCCAATTGGTGGTTTGAGGTCTGACATTCGGCTGGAGCCATCGGTAGCTTAGCATCTTCATGTGCATGTTGTGCTAAAACAAGCCACCGGTATATTTGCTTTTTTCTTCATGTAGGTACCCAGAGTACTATAAAGCTGACAGCCAACGGTTCTTTTACCTACCGACATGCAAGCGACACTCTAATATCTGCCATTCTACGCACTAGAATTGTTAAAGCCATGATCCGAAACTGTATTTCATACTTGGCACATCGCTAAATCCATGTACTTGGTGAAGCTGCCAAACACCGTCGACATCGCGGATAGCTTCCGGGTAACTTAGGTGCATGTATATAGGTAGGTTCCATATTAGGGACCTGTCCATGTTAGAGTTCTGGGAGGCGAAGCACATGTAGTACAGTACAGATACACATGTACAGTACTAGAGATTTGCTTCAATGCATTCACTGTATTTTGTAGTTTCACGTCTGTAATTGTAGCCAAAGAGTAATGCCCGTGATATTTCTGGCAGCCATAAAGTCCAAATACAGAAAATTCCCGTCATCAGATCAAGCAATTGGTTCCCAAAGCCACGCGTACGCCAAGCACTCCTCCCTCCCGTACTGTATTTTCCGAATACAATGAAACACCTCAATAATCACAAAATATTCTCGACATCCCACCAAAAAAGCAAACATAATAACCTGCTAATACGAAATAAAAAAAAGAGAATCACTCGTAGGTGTCTATAAAAATATCATGCCTCCGCTCATGAGCACAAACGTGACACTGAGGAGGGCGAATCCGGGCTCCTGCAGTATGAGATTTGTCAAGTCCGCCTTTAATCGGGATCTCTCAATATTGAAAGACGATGCCTTGATGGAGGATGGTGATGCGGGTGTTGAGGCATTGAAGGTAGATGAATTGTCGTGATAAGTCAAAATGTCGCCTCGCTGGCCATGAATAGATATTGCCGTCACCTCAGAGGAGACGGCACCATATTCAGCCAGGGCTAGTCCGAGGAGGACAAACAAGAGAGTAAGGTGTTTAAGCAGCTTGAAAACCATGTTGTGTGATTGAGAGAAGAGAGTATTTATGTTATGGCGGTTGCTATGTGGAATGGAGAGTGGTTTTCCCGCTGAGTGTTTTGTAGGAACGTATAGATGCGACGATACAATGTCAAGGAATAATTAGACACGAGGTGGATAATGGAAATAAATACGTCCGAGTAAAGAAGGGGGAGTGGCTTTCTTCTTGTATCTTTGCAAGCAATGCGTCAAGAGATAAGCACAGAGAGGAGAAGATGGCGTCAACGGCAGCGTCAATGAAGGGAGAATGCAATCAGACACCACCATTGATCCGATCCATGCATCGTCGGAATCAGGGATGCCAAGTTGTTTATAAATAAAAACAATTTACCAAGATACTAGATATGCAGCAATTGCTATCTGGCGAGGGGAAGCTGGTTTCCGTTATCATGGGGAAAGCCAATCGAACCAATCTCAGGCACGGCGTGTTAGTAGGTTTCATGCATACCAAAAGTAAAATGCAGACCATTCCTTGGCTAATCCGTATCAAAACAAGCACCCGCTCCGTCTGTAGGATATCATTGCTTCATTGAATGTGACCGGGATGGGATTTCGAGCCGTTGCTTCCGTCCAATTGACTCGTTGGCTCGTGTGCCATTAGTCAAGCCAAACCTTGAAAACCGGATGTTTGGCTGCCACCCTGCGGATGAGATGTCATGAAGCCATCAAGGCCGACGCAATTCACCCCATCGCCAGCGCCTCTTTACGCAGTCTATTGAGAACATATAATTACGTGCTTGTGTACATCGTGATGCACCCTTTCATAGCGCCCATTCCTCCCACCTCCTCCGGGACTCGGGGAGGCGCCGCGACCATCGAGATGCGCTTCTCATCCGCTCTCAAGGTTCTGGCGATGCATGGATTTGAAGCACCGGCTGCAGGCAAGCGGGGTAGAGCGAAACTCTCGTGGATTGATTGTCAGATTCAAAAACCCGCAACATGCAGGTTCCAGGCGCTAGCTTCTTGGACGTCGCATCCATGCTGGTAAGTCACATAAATGCTATGCTATTGATGCATTGCCCAGTCATTTCTCACCAGACCAGCATCAAAGTGAAGCGACCTACTGTATAGGTGTACTCGTACAGTACAGTGGCATCCCTCCATCAGTTAGCGCGATGGATACCTGTACATGCACCAGCCTAGGCTCTCACACGGGCTGCGAGAGCTAACATTGGAACTGTACAGCGGAGCTAGGTACTGCTGGAGCGTCAATGCCCACAGCGCTAATGTCCCGCATTGAACCACTAAAACCTGCTGGCTGCAACTGGGTGCGGATCCCCGTCCAGCCCGTCCAGCCCGTCCAGCCCGTCCAGCCCGTCCAGCCCGTCCAGCCCGTCTCGCTTCATTCTTGCCACATCTTCTGGAGCTTCGCATCGTCCATCGGCTGTCGCTCAAAGTCTAGACTCTGCACATCATTCCGTCGCCAGAGACACTCGATTTCGCTTCCCCTGGATCTGGAACGCACGCACAGGCCCCGTCGGATAAGGCTGACCGGTCAAATTTTTGCCGTTGTTTGATTTGGCGGATTGGCTTTTGATTTTTCTTGAATTTTTTTTTCGAATTTCTTCGAATTTCTTCTTTCCCCCAGCCGCCTTCCAGTCGTCAGCCTCTCGCAACAACATGAGCCCTCTCACGCCTGTTGTACTCGTACTCGTACTGCCGGAGATGGAGGCTTCAAATCAGCTCCCTTCACCTTGATCTGATGCCTCCGCTTCCTTTTCATGCATGGATGCCTTTCTCTGCCTCAACGGCCGCGCGCTACAGGCAGCTAGTCGGCAAATCCATCATGCAGCCAATAGCAGAGGGCTGACTGCCTTCTGGTCCTACCAAAGCTTTTCAGCTGGAGGCTCAGCTAGGCATCATCGTCAGTCATGCGACTGGCAAGCGGCTCTTTTTAGCTTGTAAAACACTTGTGCAAGGCAATCACCTCTTGTCTAACCTCGAGTTTTCCTCTTCACCGTTCGTCTTCTGGAGAGCATCGTGACTGTCCACTTGCCCTTCCTTTGCCTTTGCCAGGGGTTCAGTAAACGCACACAGTGACGGCTTCTGCGACATATTGACATGGTGCATTTCAATCTGGAACTTATATGGCTCTCTCGCGCAAGCCCGCACGTTGAGTGAGTGCCTGGTCGAAACAGCCTTGCTTCTGGGCTCGCGTGCTCATGATATCACAACCTCGTGGCTAACGACATGTCTCAAGTCTCGTCTTCGTCCATGGATATGGCGGTAATCCAGAAACCACATGGCATGACGAGTCCACAGGCAAGATATGGATCAAGGACGAAGAGTTTATTACTCGCATAAAGAGGCCGATCCGCATCTTCTCCTTCAGCTACAATGGCGACGTAGAAGCAAATTTGTCATCTTCAAGCCCGGCCTTCCATGCAAGCGATTTGCTTTGCTGTTTAGAGCAAGCTCTCGAGAGATCCGCTGTATGACTCTCCATACTTAGTGACGCATGATTTGGAACCATTTTCTTACTTTGTCCGCTAGGGAAGACCCTTGATATTCATTGCTCACGGCTTTGGAGGCATCATTGTCAAGAAAGTCAGTAAAACCTGTTCGTATTTCGCATAGGCCGGCCAAGTCGTTAACTTTGCTGTATTGTAACTGTAGGCGATTCAGTTGTGCTTCATGACACCAACCTATCCGCGGACCAAGAATGCGTTGGCCGGTGTCGTCTTCTTTGGCACACCACACGCCGACACAGATTCCGAGGCACTACTCCAATCAGTCAGAGGAACTATAGACGCTTTTGGTCCAAAGGATGGAGCCAGGAGTGAAGACGTCAGGGAATTCGTCTCCATAGTGAGCCGCATCAACACTACCTTCATCGCATGTAAGCCTGCCTATCTGAGGCTTCTGTCCTTTTGGGAGAAGTTGCCCTCAAAACCCATCGACTCGAGTGCCGACTCTCATAGAGCTTTGGCAAGTATACCCGCTGTCCTCGTCAAAATACTTTCTTACTGATACTTTCATAGGTCGTTCCTCTCCAATGCCAAAAAGAGAAATTGCAAGGCAATACAGATCACATAATAGAGTGCAGCCATGAGGAATTGCCTCGGTTTTCGAGTATATTCAGCGACAGATTCATGCAGTTTATGCAGATATTTTCTCAGTTCTTGGTGGATACATTGTCAGAGCGCACCGTACCTACCGTCCCTGCCTCTATCCCGCGCACACCATCACGGATTTTGGAACGACCGTTTCCTATTGAAGAAGTCCCAGGTATAAAGAGACTCGACTTTCCAGTGATTAAGCCTCGACGAAGGATTTGGAATAAGATTGACGATGACCGTCGAAGCCGTGAACGCCAGAAGAAGGATGAAGACTCCGCCTCCAGAGAACACTTTCTTCGCTCACTGAGCGGCTGGTCAGACCTCAATTACGGAAATGAGGTATATGTTGCTGCTGGTACATGCGAATGGTTCAAGGATGGCGCCATCTACAAAAACTGGCTTACGGATCCAAAGTGTGGCACAATCTTCTATTTAGGGGCTCCCGGGCATGGGAAATCACATCTAGCCCGTGCTGTTTATACACATCTCAAATCCTCCAAGCCAGAAGACGTCGTCATGAGTTACTTCTGCCAAAAGGGGGAAGAGAAGCCAGCGATTTGGGAATACTTCACCTGGAAGCTGATAAAGGAGTGGCCTGACTGGTTCTTGCACGTTCCTATTCAATTTCGCCGTAAGAAAGATGATCCTAATGCTCGCCTCGACCCATCTGCATATGCCGAGATATGGACTGCCTTTCGGAAAGTTTGCTCGCCGCGGACAGTATATCTGATTGTGGATGGGCTTGAGCAAACACCTTCAGCCAATTTCACTGAATTTTTCGCCTTGATAGAGCACTTGAGGCAGCTGATTGTGCTGGAGAATCGCTCCAGCAGCACCTTACTTGAGATGCCGACAAAAGTCAAGCTGGTTATAACAAGCCGATGGACAGACGCTGCCTATTCAGCCTCGAGTACTACCTCGTGTTGCACTCTGCCAGATCAAGATCTTAAGAAAGACGTCGCTACATACTTGGACAAGAGGTTCTTGGCGATATTTAACACTCGGCAAAAATCTGACCAAGACCTGATACAAAAGATCAAGGAACAAGCCATCCAAAAAGCAGGAGCTTATTGGCTCTATGCAAAACTTGCTGCCGATGAAATTGAGAGATTGTGCAGCTTGAACCCGATCCAAGAGCTTCAAGAAGATTACATTCCAACCGAGCTAGCACAGCTCTATGAGCAGAAGATGCTGCCTTTGTTGCAATCCGCCAACAACAGCGAAAGGCATCTGCGCACTGTTCTCACCTTGATAGCCTCCGAAGAAATTGGTCTTGCTTTTTCTATCAAACAACTCGACAGCATTCTAGAGTGCTTGTATGGTCAAGACGATATGCCGGTGGAAAGCCTTGCCAAATCCATGCAATTGTACTGTGGCGATCTATTCTGGGTCAGCCCAGCGGACTCCCTCATCTTTTCGGTCCACGCCTCTGTTCGAAGCCATCTAAGCAACTACCTTTCCCTGGAGCACAGGCAAACCAATATGGCTTTTATTTGCCTTACATATCTACTTCAGGATCGCTTTTCCGACCGCTTGCCTCTATCGTGGACTGACAGAGAGGGCACCGCAGAGAAAATGGCCAAGACGGCTGCATTTTACGGCTTCGCATCTCAATGCTGGTTATCCTATCTCCCCAAGCTGAAAACGCTCAGCCCACAATTGATACCGCTGCTGCAGAAGTTTCTGTCACTTGACTGCCCGCAGTATCAGACGTGGCTTCATTGGAAGTCATGGCTCCTTAGCGAAAAGAGCGAAGAAACTATGCTAGGGACCGAGGATCCGATAATGGCCATGGTTCGAGAGGGCTGCCTTGCAGTCATACAGCATTTTTTCCCGGCTTCAGAATCTCCCCGTGCCCCCTGGAAGAGCAAGTTTGGAAACTGGGCCCGATACATACCGTTTCCAAACGCACGGCCCTCTGACAGGTTTGCGGGACAGTGGCCAGATATCACGGGGCTGCATGGTCATACTCTCTTAATGGCAGCGGCGCTCAGTGGAAACCGTGGTATGGTGGAGCACATTCTACAATGGAATGTCGATTTGAATGCGCGTGACGAAGGTGGAAGGACGGCCCTCACACTCTGTCTTACCTCGGATCGATTGATGGGTATTAAAGCGAAAAATCAAGACGTATACAATGTTGTCGAAACGCTGCTGCTCAATGGCGTTAATCCAAACATAAGTGATGATCACGGTATCACGCCTTTGCACGTCGTCTCTGTTCGCGGCAGATACGACCTTGCCCGGCTGCTGCTCAGGTTCAATGCCTTGGTCAACATTACGGATTCATGGGGGTTTACACCACTCGAAAGGGCATATTCTGCCGGAAACATTCAGCTTGTTACGATGCTCATTGATCGTGGCGCAGATGCAAAAGCATGGATGTTGGGTGGAGAGCCACCCCTGGCAAGATGCATATTTGACGGGAAACTTGACATGTTCAAGGCGTTTCTTCCATTTGCAGACATTAATCAGACCACGATGCTTGGATTCGCGCCAATCCATCTTGCAAGCGATGGTGCAGATAGGATAGAATTTCTTCGGGTCTTGCTCTCAAGGCCTGGGTTGGATCTGAATGCTGTCAGCTCACTGACCGAACGATTCCATATCAAACGCACCACTGCTATTGGATTTGCTATCAACAGTCGCAACTACGCGGCGTTGGAGTGGCTTCTGGAAGCTGGAGCGTATCCTGGCCTACTACCAATGGTGAGTGTGCCGCCGCTTCACGATGCCGTTATTGTTCAAGATAAGCCCATGGTCGAGCTGCTATTGTTCTATGGAGCACCAGTAAACGATTTCAGGCGCAGCTGGTTTCCCTATACTGCGCTGGGCCATGCCGTGGATCTCGGCCTGGAATCCATTGTGGAACTGCTTCTTCAGAACGGTGCAGATGCATCCATTGAAGAAGGCTACGGCGTCGTTGCTTTGGTTGAAACAGCCGTGACGAGAGATGGTCCTCCCATCCCCAAAATTGTAAAGAAGCTCTTGGAGTCACGCCACCCTCCTGACGTTAATTATTTCAAAGATAACGAAGATCACTGTATAATAGGTGCCGTCGACCAAGGCGATGTTGAAACTGTGTCCATTTTACTGGAGCATGGAGCAGACATGAGCATCTATCTCACATCCGGCGAAAGAGTATCGCCCTTGCACAAGGCAGCCAGGAAAGGCAATGTCGAGATGTGCGATATCCTGCTAAAGCATGAGCCGAAGCTTCTCGATCTCCAGCTGGAAAAGGGATTCATGATTGAATCGCCCCTCTTTGCGGCATGCCATCGGAAACAGAAAGCTGTTGTCCGCTTTCTCCTGGATAAGGGCGCCAAAGTAGACCAAGTCAGCCACTACTACAAGGAATCTCCGTTATTCACCGCCTGTGATGTGGGAGATTTGGACATTGTCAAGATGATCCTGGAAGCTGCGCCTCATATGATCAATGTCCCTACAGTCTTCTACTGCACTCCCCTCGCATTTGCTTGCAGCCATGGCAATCTCGACATGGTGAAGCTCTTGATTGACGCCGGAGCCGAAATGTATCTTCCAAACGGCTCTGGCACTACAAGCGCCTTCAGCCGGATCTTTGAAGCCAAGGGCGATAAGCCTTTCAAAACCCTCCAACTGTTGCTAGACAATGGCCTGGACCTTCACGCCCTTGACAATGAGACTGGGCTTACTGTCCTTGGATGGGCCATAATAGATGCTGAAGCCAGGCACGTCAAATGGCTCCTCGAGCACGGTGCCGATCCGCTGCGTGCTCAGAGAGGCCCGGGTGGCAAGGAGTCGTGGCGAACGGCCCTCCAGGTTGCTACTCATTCAAGCAATAAAAACATCCTGCCAATTATAGATTTGCTGCTCGAGCCGCGCTGGGGCTTGTGGGATCATTTAACCCACAGGGACTATCAGGGAGGCACCCTTCTGCCTGTCCTAGCTCCGTTGCGAAAAGGCCTGCATATCGTATCACGAATCTTGTCCGTATGCGACACCGTCTTCAAGGAGACGGGCAACGACGTCTTTTCCGCCGTCGTAGGTCAGCCTAGCCTCTCTGGGCTCACTCCCGTTGACTGCGCGATGGGCAATTTCGATGCTAAACCCGAAGCACTGCCCGACCTGGACAAACTCATCGTTTCTCAGATAGATGAGCTCTTGGCCGGCCGTCGTAGCATGGAAATTCACCTCCTTGGGCTAGATTACGTCGCCGGACTCCTCTTCTCGCGCGGTGGATACGACGCAGATGCCAGGGTTTTGGTCGAGTTCATACTCACGAGGCCTCAGGTTCGATGGGACGATGATGGATATTACATGGGCTCGGTCTCCCTACAGCAGTGCTTTGTCTGCGACAAGAGCATTTACGATCCTTACGTTTACTGCACCCTCTGCGAGAACTCGTGGTGCTCGGATTGTAAAGACAAGGACATGATTAGTCTACACCAACACAAATGGTTCCCCGTGGAGGTCCGCAAAGACCTAGACATCAACGCACCAGACATCCAAGAAACCCTAGAGAGACTCCACAAACAACTCACCTCCAGCCCAAGCTTCCTTGAGGAGCCACAGCAACACAGCGAAACACTCACCATCAGCTCACCAACTCAGGAAGAACCTCTCCCCGCACCAGCCCAAGCCTCTCTCCCACTCGCCACACTGCACGCCTTCAACTTCCTAGCCATCACCCGACCCATCTGGACGCCGTTCCTCCCACTATCCCTCTCCGCCCAAGCCCTCGTCGACCCATGGCACGCTCTGTGGTCGCGTGAGGACGAGTACCGCCGATGGCGAAGCTTCCTGGAAAGGAGAAACATGAACTATGAGAATTCGGCTTGGAGACGCTTCCAGGAACTACGCTACTTGAGACGAGGGTTCACGAGAGCGTACACCGATGGCGAGCGGGTGAAGCAGGATCTTGTGCTCTATGATATACGGCAACTGTACGATGAAAAGGTTGAGATGCGGCCGGCACGGCCAAGGGAGAAGTGGCTTCCGGTAGTAAGGAAGAAGAAGTCATGATACACGACGTTACGATGAATAATCTGCAGCTTTGGAATTGTTTTGTCGTTTTAAAGCATAGCTAGCTATTGGATTCATGTAATACCAGTTCTGAATTTCTAGAAGCAATTTTGGCTATCAAACATCGTAGCATGTTATTACTCGTTTCTATCATAATCATTAAGCTGTTCCATAAGAGCGTTGGCAAGTATACTATAATTCCAAAACCCATCGCGTTGGATAAGTTACCGCGAGCAAGAAAACAAAAATCAGGCTTGATCAGGGCGTTAATCTTCTATCCAACAGATGCATCCATGAGTTGGTTCATTGTGCACATTAAATCGTGTATCTGTAGTGAGGGCTGTCGTCTCCAAGTTCCTTAAGCTCATCTTCTTGCAGCCCCTGGTGCTCTTCACTCAACTCTCCAGCATCACGGCTTTTATTTGCCCTCCAGAACCAGAACCATAGAAAGGCATAAATGCAGGTGCCAAAGCCAACCATGCTGAGAGAAACGGCATGGCCACGGATGAAGCGTGGTTTGTCAAGCGCGGGGCTGGAGGATAGTGGTTAGAGAAATATATTCAGTAGTATGCAAAGATAGATAGGGATGTTTCATTAAACTTACTATATAAAGGCGGACATGATTCCGGATGCGTTGCCAAAGGTAAGTTGCATCCCCGTGGCAGTTGTTCTCTTGCCGTACCGAGGGGTGTTGGTCGGTAGCTATTTACAGATGTTAATGTTTCCATAATAGTTACCTTGAGATGTCTAAAGGCTTACCCATGCAATTGGAAGACCGACGACGACGTAGAGCCCTGCAGCAACAAGAAAGCACCCAAAGTAGTGTACTCCGGGTGACGAATCGGACAACAGTACGGCATACCCAACGACACTTATCATGCCAAAGATGACGCAGAAGACTCCTCTCATTTGGAGCCGATCAGATAGCATGGCCATGCTCATATATGCTACTGCTCCTAGGAAGTAGCATGGGATAGTGAGAAGTTGAACTTGAGCGGTAGTCCATTGGCCGAGAGCACTGATAATGGTGGGCAAGAAAGTTGAAAAGCCTGGATGCGGGGAGAATCATGGTCGGTTAGTCAAGGCTTCCTCTTTTTGTATTCTCTCAGGACAAGATACTTACCGTAGAGCATGGTATCGACCCCAAACTGGGCAAACGAAAAGGCCCATACCTTCCAGTCTGTAAAAGCCTTCATCATATCTCTTTGGCTAAACTCGCGGCTGGAAGCTGTGTTTCCATATTCCCGCTTGTGTCTCTCTTCCATCAACACCTTCTCCTCTTCGGTAAGGAAATCCGCAGATGCCGCATCATTAGGCAGCGCATACAACGTGACGATTCCAAGTACCACGCTTGGAATGCCCTCGATAATGAAAATCCACCGCCATCCACTCATGTCGCAAACACCGTCCATGTGTCCAATGCCATAGGCCAGTAATCCGCCCAAGGCGCCCGCTATAGCAGCGCTGACAAAGAGATAGCCTATTCTCAAGGCAAGCTCATGTTTGGTGTAGAAGAAGGTGAGATAGATGCTGAGACCTGGAAACAAGCCCGCCTCAACAGCTCCCAGAAGCAAACGACAGACGATGAGCGAGCCGTATGACTCTACTAATCCGGTAAGAGTCGCAATGACACCCCATGCCGTAACGATGAATGCGATCCACCGTCGTGGAGTAAATAGCTTGAGAACAAGATTTGAGGGCACCTCGAACAGGAGGTATGTGACGAAGAGGATGGAAACGGCGACTTGAAACTGTTGGGATGAGAGGTGGAGATCTTCCTCAAGGCCATATAATCGAGCGTTGCCGATATTAACTCTGTGGCTTGTCAGTCATCCCTGTCTTCTCTTCGGTATCCTCACAAAGCCCATTCTAAGAGTCGAGGGCGGAACGCCTTACCTGTCCAAGAAACTAAACAGATACAATGCCATTACAAGCGGGATAATGTAGAGATCCAGCTTCCGCACCAACTTCTTCTCTTCGACACTTTGAAGCAGCGTCTCGTTGTCCGACTCCACAGCGGCCGGATCCTGCGACTGCACCCTCTTTCCATCCTCACCAGGCGCCGTCCCTATCGTCACCTCTTCTGGCGTCATATTTATGAATCCTCTCTTCCTGTGTCTCTGCCAAACTGCGCTTCTCTTTGTCGCCAAAGAAACGGGAGAACCTCGCCGTTCTCTAGCAAGAAAATGACAACCTTGGGAACAGACCGCTTAAGAAGGTAAAGGCGAGCAGGGTTTCTCCCCTTGGTTCAACTTCGAGTCCTTTCGTCCAGCCACTCGCAGAAGCCGAGATGTCTCAGAAATCAAAGAGGAAACCCCGGAACTCAATACGACATGGTCCCAAAGAGTCACAATGTCTCAAAACGGACCCTGGTATTAGTAATTCTCATAAAACTCTACCGTCATGAACAAGGATATACCAGCTGATTCTGTGAACCACGAAAAGCAAACGAAAAGAAGAAGAGGAAAACAAGCCGAACGCCCGAGCGTCGAGAATCCAAGAGTCACAGTCGTGACCCAGAAAAAAAACTACCTAAGGGAAGGGACTCTCTTGAAGCGAATAGTGGCGTGAGTCGCCGTTCCGCGAATCAACTAGCGTGCCCGCACTTCGGACCTGGGCAAAAAAAAATATTATAATAGGGAATAAAAGCCTCTCTTGCCTTGGCTCTTTCCCTTGGCTCTTTCCCTTGGCTCTTTCCCTTGGCTCTTGCCTCGAATAGATACGGTGAAGTCGGCTCTTGCTTCTCTTGCCGGCTATTATGTACTCGTACGTAGAGGCTTATCAAGAGGCTTATCATTTCGATTCATCAAACAATTGGGCAATCCATACATTAGTGTGTACCAGGTAAACCATGTCGGTGATGCCTGCCTGCTGCAGAGAACCCGGCAAAGAGACACATCGACTCGATTCAAGTTCTCGGCATGCATTGTTGCATTGTTGCTTCCCACCCTGTGATGCTGGTCCGCTCGCGTAATCGCCCACCGGCAGTTCTTTCTCCTCGCTTCACAGATCTCGCCATGAGCACGTGTAACCAGTGACAAAGATCTTTTGCTTGTGCGACTTATAGACTTACCAAGGTAGGGACCTTAGTAATGTTGTAAATAGGTACCATGTCTAGGTCTTTTGTCCACCGTCTCTCTCTCATATATATAATTGGTGCGCATTAGCAGCATGATACCCTCGTTTAATCTACATCTACTAAAGCAGAGAGCAAAAGAAAATGCTGCAACTCTCATCGCTTCATCACTCCATCTCGGCCAAGGATAGCACGACTCATGCTATCTCAATTCCAATGCCATGCGTTGTCCATCGTCACTAGTCGCGTTAACCCCATATAAGCTTCTTTTACTCTATTTTCAAAGTTTGGCCTCGAAATTTGCCGAAGCGGCTGAGGCGCAGCCGGCTTTTCTCCGCGGAATGCATGGCTGCGCATTAGGCCAGGAACCGCGTCTTCAAAAACCATATTCAATAAGTAGGCAGGGCAAAATAATAACAACAATAACAACAACAATAATAATAACAAAGCGAAAAACCAAAACAGGCCAAGCAATCAGTGAATTGAAACGGTCCATTATTAAAGATACATAAAGTGGTTACGCAGAACAAGGCAAAACAAGGCAAAACAAAAGGCTTTCCGTCTGCCCTCCAAGTTCCTGTGAAATTTCATTCATCACATGTGTCGATTCTTCCAGCATCATCACGCGTCTTCCCAACGGCATAGCCCTTCTTCTAGCGTCAATTTCATACATCACATCAATCGAGAATCTTTCCCCAAGTCTGTTAGAATCACCAAGCCACTCCTCATGCAATTAAGCCTAGTTCGTGGTGAACACGCCGGGTATAGACAGTATATACAAAAGACACATGCCTTGTATGTTCCCGCCGCGGCCGCGGATGGGTCCTCCCAACGAATCAGTCGGGAGCCATGCCATCCCTTTGCCGGTCCAGTTTCTAGTCTCAAGCCCCCAACAATGCCTTTTTTTTTTTGTTCTTCTCTTAGTGGTAGTTTTGCGTGGGCATTTCGTAGACAGGCCCGCTCTGGTGGCTCATGACAGCATTGCCGTCAATTTCGGAAGCTTCGGGATTGTTCCATTTCGCGGCGTTGACGTTGTCGTTGCCCAGCTCAGCCGCATCAGCATGAGCAGAAGCAAGATTAGTCCTATCGAACGAGACAGGGCTGACGGTGTTGGCCATTGTCGTTGCTGGGCTAGGAGAGGTGTAGGCTGAACCGTACGGCTCTGGTTTGGCATATCCAGCACGTCCGTCGCCCAAAGCAGTACCACGGTAACCCTCGGGAGCGGGCTTGACGGGGGTGCGGCCGGGGGCCAGGAAAGCTGCTGCGTTGGCGGTGTGAGCCGACATGGGCTGCTGGCGACCGCCACCAGCTCCGCCGCCAACGCCGCCGCCGCCGATCGGCACCTCGGAAGCGCCAACCAGGTCGTCGTGATCAGGGCTGGGACCGCGGTTGCGACGCCTCAGGATGAGGAAGAGGGCGGCGCCGATGATGAGAGCGCCACCGACACCGACACCGACACCAATACCAGCCTTGGCACCGGTGGACAGGCCGGAACTATCATTGTTATGGCTGGTGTTACCATCCGGAACGCCGGTACCAGAGCCTGTCGGGGCGGTAGAGGTCTCCTGGACGCCGGTGGTAACAACAGTCGAGGTGACGGTCAACGTACTAGTCGTAGTAATTGTCGTCTTGGCATTGACCTGGTTCGTCTGGGTGATGGTGCTGGTAACAACGGTACGAGAGGTTGCGGTATCTCTGACGGTCTTGGTGGTTGTGTCGACAACGGTGGTGCCACTGCCGCCTCCGACGGTCACCGTCACGACATCAGTAACGATGGCGCGCGCCTCCAAATCGCGCAGAGCCAGATATTGGTTCACGTAGTCGGCATCGACAACCTCGGTGGGAACAGCATCAACTGCCGTCCTGGGCGCAATCCTGTAATCCCGCTTCTGCGCTGCCGTGGGCGTTTCGAAGACTGTGGTGGTCTCAAAGACGGTCGTGGTGGCTGTTTCGGCGTTGCTGCTCGTAACAGTAGTCGTGGTAAAAGCCGTCGACGTCGTGACAATCGTGGTGGTGATGGTCGTCGTCAGAGTCTTGGTGCTTGTCGCCGTCTTGCCGCCAGGGCCCGTCACAGTCTCGGTCTCGAAGACGGTGGTGGTGCTGTCGTCGGCAGGGGTGCTGCTGCTGCTGCTGGAGGAAGACGAGCTCGGGGGAGGGGTTGTCGAGGACGGCGGAGCAGAGGTAGACGAGCCAGATCCTTCATCGGTCGAACCGGGAGCGGTGGAAGATCCGGTGTTGTCCTGTCGGATTACAACACTTGCCTGGGCACTTCCAAGCAGCGCGCCGAGGACGAGTGCCAACGGCAGGCGCATTTTGAAGGGAGAACTCGAGATTCGGCCAAACTATGCGTCGCCCAAGGATGAGACCATACAAAAAAGAAAATAGTGGTGCAAATGCTGTGGGAAATGAAAATGAAGAATGATGTCGTTGGCGATGGCGATTAGGTGCCAGGCGAGAGTGAAACAAGCGAGTGGAAGGGGTCGGTTAGGATGGAAGTAGCAAGTTCAAAGGCGCTGGGGGCTTTGATGGCGACAAGAGCCAGAGGGAGAGAAACGGCCCGTTGTTTGGCCATTGGCCGCAGCAGGCACACGCGGACTCCGGAGAAGCCACGCAGACTCCGTTGGGGTACCCGGTACTTGCGCCAAGGGTACTCGGACAGGCGGGTGAGCAAGTATCTGTACTGGGGCCGGCAAAATGCACAGCATGCCAGCCGACCTCTGTAAGCAACTTTTTTCAGCGCGGGCAGCCCGCTAAAGTTCCAGTTCTTACAGCGGTCTCAGGTAGGTATACGGAGTACTGGTATACGAAGATGAGGCCGCCCAAGCGTCTACGACTCAGCTAGTAGTGCCTACTACTACCTGATACAGTACTAAACCGTACATGCGCCATCAAGTACCGGTACCCCGTGGCGACACCGCACAGGTACTCGTATTGTCGCGACAGAAGCAAAAGAACGAAGCACTTTTTGCGCAGTTCGCAGGCAAAGGACCCGTTGGGCTAGTACGGATTGCACACGGGACTTCAGGAGAGGGTGAATAAACAAAGCCCGCTCGGGCCCGGTTTGGCTTAGCGGGGCAAAAGTGGCAATGCAGGGACCCCCCAGAATACGAACTGTTTAGAGGGAAAAAATCATGGAAGACACCAAGAAAAAAAATTGGACGAGAGAAGACGAACAAAAAAAAGAGAGGTAAAAAAAAAAAGAGGATCCCCCTCCCCTGAAAGAGACCGAGGATCGAATGAGTGCACGCCGAGTCACCTGCCAGGTGGAGGGACAGGTAACGTGTACATACGAGTACCCGATATTACATGTTGATGCTACCTTGCGCCTCGTTGATTGTTTCATCGTCATTTCTCTGTCCATGACAATCTATCTATTCCTGGTGACTGGTGATGACCAGCAGATCAATCAATGCTGTAATACTCACTGTAATTCTCGCAAGTACCGTGCTGGGGCCCCCCTACAAGTTCGCCCGAGAAGACGCTGTAATCGCTGCCACTTTGCCCAGAACCGTAAGACTTGGCCGGATCGCTGGTTCATGAGCGAGTCGTTATGCGAAATGACGTCCCCCAAGCTGGCACTAGGACTCGCACGACTCGACACTAACAGCCAGTAGTCGAACGACTTCGCATGGCTCTACAGAGCTGTACGGAACTGTACTTGGCTGGCCATTGCTGGACAGGTGCTGTGCCATGTATCCTCTGGTCGTTGCAGAAGCGAGAGCATATGTCTCTCTCCAATAGTCCCTGCATGGCGCCCATTGTTTTGCAGATAACGTGCACCAACAATACGAGCCACCGCACCAAATTCCAAACAGAGCGTCATCCCCATTCCCTCCCCCCCAAAGCAGTCATCAGCCTCCGCCACAGCCTGCAACAATCACCCAAAACGGGACGTGAGAAAAAGCCACTCAATGTCAAACTAGCCCGCGAGGCTGGAAAACGTTGAAAGCCAGCTGAGATGCTGCTATTCTTGTCCCTTATTCTGACTGCACCGTCCCAAAACTAATCTCCCTGATGTTAACGAGGCGCCGAACCACCGTCTCGCCCGATGGAATGCCGGAGCTGTCAGACTGCATGGGGCTACCCTCGTGACGATCCTTTGGTTGTTTTTGGGCCTCTGTTTTTTTCCTTTTAGCCCGTAAATAAATTCTGATAACCGGTGAGATCTTTGCTCCCGTGATACCGGATCGGATATCCCGAAGCTTTGTCTCCCAAAAACCTGTCACTTGGTACACCTGGTTGGCCAGCCTTTCTTCAGTGTCATTTTGACGAACTCTGGGTCCGTAAATAATAACAATTAATACATGTAAAAAAAGAAAGAAACACTATGAAACATGCTCGAAGGGGGAAGACGTGACCACCTGCCTCATTTTGCTGCAATATCGACGATTGCTGATGCTGCTAACCAACAGCGGCATATGCATTCCACATGCTGCTCCGCCGTTACGAAGCCGGCATAACATGGATTACACGGGGCAGCCATGTGCCGAAGAAGTAAGATGTGGGCTACAGTAATACGCTGACACTGACAGCAATCGCACTCTAAAATGAGCATCTTAGTTTGATAGGTATTATCAAAGTTTGATTCATCCAGCCTTGGTCGACATTTTGTTCTGCTTTACTTGCAACTTGGTACATTCACACAAGGCGAGAGATGTACATAAGATACACAACACATACACTCAGATAGTATATATAGGTATATATATCTTGTATAAGTCATCTCTCATCAGCCTGCTCCATCCCCTTGTATCCAATTTCCCTCTTCTTTGCCAAACACACCCCTCCCCTCTCGGGCCTCTCGCCAACAATTACGTGTATGCGTCCAGCGCAGCGAATTTTTACGAAATTACTATGTTTATAGAAAGAACTTTCTCCATCCACCACTGAGAGCAAGCCCTGGTATCATGAGAGGGGCAACAGAGACGACAAAGGGAAAAATGAAAAAAAAAAGGAGAGCAAAAAGGGGATTCTGCTGCAGTAGTATCGATCTCGTTGTGGTGGAGAAATATAGGGAAAAAGAAAATAAGAGCAAAAAAGGCCGTTGACAAAGTAATTGGATAGCATCATAGGCACTTTAAAAGTTTTCTTTGCCCCAGACGAACGAGAACCTAGATAGAATTCAGAATTAGTTTTCACGAATAAAAGACGCCCAAACTCATATATGAAACAAAGAACTTACTCAGGATCAGTATACTTGTTGCAGTAAACGTGCAGGGAACTTCCCAGACCCTTGGGTCCACAGAAAAACACACCCGCCTCGCAAGGAGTGTGCAGCTTCCGGATACCTCGGAAAATCATGTCCCAGTTGGGGCGGCCAAAGTTGGTGGGACTCCGCAGTCCCGTAATGGCATCTTTGTCGGCGTTGGCATCGTTGATCATGATGTTGGTGGCATCGTCCGCCTTGATCTTGGCCGTCAGGTACGTGTGGATTTCGATGCGGTTGTCCACGTCCTGTGCCTCGACGGCCAGCAGCAGCGATCGGAACCACTCAAAGGAGCCAAAGTCTCGGCAGATCCAGAAGAAGTAGACCTTTCGCAGCCGCGTCTTTTGCTGGGGGTAGTTCATCCGGTACCAGATGGACTTGAGGATCGAGGCAAAGGGCGTGACACCAATACCGGCACCAACAAGAACCGCCACCTCGTACTTGAAGACGTCCTCCGACGCAGATCCGAAGGGGCCGTCGACGTAGACCCTGGGCAGGACGCGCTTCAGGGCCGGATCGTTGGTCTCGTCACCGGCAACTCCAACAACCTTACTCGAGCTGCCCTTCTTGTCCCATTCGCAGCCCAGGAGAGTCGAGACGGCCATGGTAAAATCACCCTGGCAGCGCATGTGGATGGAAATGTAGTCCTCCTCGGGGGCACTCGTCAGCGTAAAGGGGTGATATTGCCACAGCGACACCGCCGGGCAGCAGAAGAAGATGTACTGTCCAGCTCGAGTCTTGGTGTGCTCCTTCTTGATCTGAATCTCACAAACGTTGCTAGGGTGCTGGATGACCTTTGAAATGTACGTCTTGTGGCGTCCTCGGATTTCTCGAGCAATTCTCTCCGCCAGGTAGATGAAGCCTCCATACATCCAGTACTGCCAAAACACACCAATAGCCGACGGTCCGACGCTCGTGCAAAAGGGGGCGACGTCAGGCTGGATCATGCAGTAGGCTCCGTGGATGGCCCAGAAGATGAAGAAGACGATGAACATGTGGTGCGTGTACCAGAATCGTTCGTAGTTGGCGCGTCGAGGCTTTTCGATCGAGGTGAGGACCATGCCCATGAGGGCAATCAGCATCACGTATCCAGTCCAGCCGGGGCCCGAGGCAAAGTTGGCAAGCAGCCATCCGTAGATTCCAAGGTTGTTCTTGGCCGCCACCTGCGCAAAGTTGTTCCAGTGGGCAATGGTGTGCACCCACGAGAAGAAGACAATGGACCAGGCCGTCGTGATGTGGAACGTGATGTTCTTGTCGAACTGGATGACGCCGTTGAGGGGGGTTTGTCGAAGAAGCGAGATGAGGGTTCTGCAGACGGGGAAGAGGATGATGCCGACATCGACGTGGAGGACCAGAGCGGCCGCTCGCGCAACGACGAATGTAAAGCCAAAGGTGGCCCGAGATGTCGCCAAGCTGTCCTTGACACCGTAATGGACGCAGGCAAAGGCGAAGATGAGGGCATGGGCCAGCATAAAAACGAAGACAAATCTATTCGCCCTGGTCAGCAATTGGGTTCTTGTTTTGTTTCTTCTCCATTATCCTTGCTCCGCGAGTCCCCTTTGGCGCAACGTACACTCTTCTGTATCCTTCGTTAATCATCCACCGGTCAAACTTTTCTCGTGCCGTCAGCTCTTGCTGCTTCTCCTGTGTCATTTCACCCGAGAGCAGCATGCGCGTCAGGGGGGTCCATCTGGACCGCTCCGTCGGACGCTCAATGCTCTCATACTCCTCGTAGCCCATCTTGGAACAAGGTTGTGTGGTTGGTCGGCTGTCGTAGTTCAAACGTATACTTGAAAGCCCGAGCAAGGCCTCTCGCGCTCTATCCCAGCAAACGTTCGGTCGCAGTATATAGGTAAGTAGTCTGTATGATTCTCCTCCAGTTCAGAAACGACCAATTGGCGCAGGCAGTATCGTCGGTTCAGATCCCGCTGAACGAGCAGCAGCCTGTCGAATAAGAGAGTGTAATGACTAAGTCAACAAAGCGCCGGTGCAATCACGCGGCTGTAAAGAAGAGAAGAGAAACGAAAGGAGAGAAATCAATCCCGAGATCTGCAGCAGAAACCAACAGTCAGTGTCAAAGCGTCGAGAAACGAAAGAAAGACAATTGGCATCCATATCAAATATCCAAAAGACAGGGGGATGAATGAATGAATGAGATGAATGAATTCACATACCACAAAGATTCAACAATGCAAAACTCAACCAGCCTTGCGATCAACGCAACCCACGGGAAAATATCCAAACAACAACGACGAAAACTAGAGA